ATAATAGTTATATAGCATATTTTGTAACTATTGCTGTCTTCAGGTCATAAATAAAAAAAGACAGTAACAGAATGAACGACGAAGTAAATATTTTCGCATTTCCAGCTATGGCGGAGGAAATAAGTCGCTTGGATTATCCAAAATATTCTCAGCAATCAGGAAATCGTTTATACTGGAATGCTTTTTGATGTTTTCAGCTTTTATTAATTCCCATGTATATATCTTGGAAGCGAGTGTGCTGTTCGGAGTATGTCTCGTTAATGGAAAATGGAACATGTCCCTTTTAGACATGGAGGTTTCTCTCGGATTTGAAAGAAAGTTCGTTTCAGGCAAAGGAGCACAATACTGCGTTCTTTTTTTTTGCTCTTTTTTGTTGTTAACCAGACATTAGAAACATTGTTTGGCCAAGGGAACATGCAGAACCAGGAGAAACGGTGGGATCAGAACGGTTTTTCGCTGTAATTTTGTGGGTTCTTCCTATAAAAAACTACTAATTTTTTAACCAATATGTATTTGTGTATATTTCACTTAAAAATGTAAATCCTCGGTTTTTTGCGAGGTCTTTGAATACAAGAGATATTTACAATCCTAGTATGATATAAAGATGGGATTTTTTTTATGTATTCGGGCTTCAATTTGGATTAAGTTTTCTATAAATGAACTAAATCCGCCTACTACCTTCTGAAAGAAGATTTCGATTCATTTAGTAAACAGGCTTAAGACAAAATAAAACCCTAATGTAGCCTTGGCATGGCTCATCGGCCGGGCCGGGTCAAAAATCGGCTCGTTTCATAAGTCACTACAATCTTAATATTATACTTCGGCCCGGACCCGGCCCGGCCCGTCGGAGCAAAGGCGTGCCAAAATATTAGACTTTCGTTGGTAAACCCAATTTTTTGCTTCGATACTCAGGATTGTAACTATTCCGGGCCGGGATTAAGGTGGTCCGGCCGATCTGAAAATTTGGCCAACGACCCTAGCCATGTCTAATTTAGCCATAATTGCTTCCATAAGCCTAATGTCCATGCTACTCTTCAAACAACCTCGAACGCTAACCACAAGCCTCCAGTCCAGTCTTTTTCTCACTCTCATTTCATTTGCACAGACCAAGTTTCACCGTTTCAAGAGCGATGACGACACGGCTCTGTCTCGCCCCTCTTCCACATGTGTTTTTTTCGAACCGTCCGCGCACCAATTTTTCGAGAAATAAAAAATTTCGTAGCCCTCTAAAATGCGAATTTCTCCCTCGAATTTTAGTTTTTTAAAACTTTTTCTTCAAAATAAAATTTCCCATTGTTCACACGAAATGTTACGTAGAATTACGTAAGCCGTTTTTTTTTGACAAAGTCTCCAAAAAACTTTGGGGAGCGTTTTGTCCTGCGGGGCTGATTTTCGTCGCGCGTTCTCATTTTCCCATTCCATTTCTTCGCTGAAGGCTTTGGGAGCGAGGATTTTACGTTTAGTGGGGTTGCTGGTAATCTTTAGTAGCTTTTATTATTTTTATTGGGCTTTGAGTCATCTATAATTAATTATCTTTATCTGGAAATAGACCTTGTTGATGAATCCCTTATTTGGACTTGCAGAATAAGCGCTGAAGAACGACGCTCAGATTTTATTGCAACTTGTCATAAATTTAGATCGATTTTAGATTTCTTGGTTGGAAACAAAAATTGATTTTTTTAGTCCGTAAGTTGATTAAAATTGGATTTTTTCTAATTCATCTGTTAAAATTTTTAGTCTTGTCTTTTTTTTCAAAACCGATTTTTTACGCGGAATGGTGCCAGGGATATTGAAAAAAAAAATTTTTCCATGGCAAACTATTCCGAATTTTTTTATGAATAAAGTCTGGTATCTAATCCAACAAGCGCTGAAACTTTCAGACATTGATACTTGGCCTGTGCATAATCCACAGGCAAAACTGACGAAAAATATAGGGCTCGCATTTCAAACACTTCCTAAATTGGCCAAATTATTTTCTAGCGTCAAATTCGGCTCTTCTTTGTCTTCGTTAACTTTCTTTTACCCCTATTATTTTATAACCACAAAAGAAATTTTTGATTGCATCCGGAATTCGCCCTCCAATCTTATTGTCCTCATAGTTCAAATAACAGTTCAACTCGTCAAACAATGGGATATCCGCTGTTTACAGAACATGTTATAATAACGACGAGATGCACTGAATATTCTCGGCTGACTCACGATCAGCCGTATAAGTCGCCCAATTTGGGGTTTGTTTATGCAGTGGTCGTTCGTGGGAATCAATGAGGGCTCTGTTCAGGTTGCGAACCGCTATAAGTGTGATTGGTTTTTTTTTTGTTTGTCCGGAGGCTACTAGTTTTAATTTTAATCTTGTTTGGAAGTAATTATTTTTTCCCTGTTATTTTTAAATTTTCCCTCTTTTTATCGCCGAAGCGGCGATAAAAAGATTACTATGACACTTTGGACGTCTAGTACTATAATTATATATACTCTGCCATTTGCAATTTTACAGGCTCTGTTTGGACGGCGGGTGACGAACAAACTTTTTCTGCATTTTTTTAGGCCGCAAACAACGCAAAACCCTTCTTTTTTTAATTCAAAAAAAGTTTTATACCAATACTCTACGAAAATCTTGAACCTTGCAAAATTGAACCTTACAATTAGTGTTTATTTAGTTTCTTTTTCAAAAAAAACTGCTGTTGGTTTTTGTGAAGTTGATGTCAAATTTTGGGTTCATTCAGCAAAAGAAAATTTATGTTTTGTCTATCTCCGGACTCGGAGTTGGACGATTGGGGAAAAAGACGATTGGGGAAAGGGACGATTGGGGAAAAAGACGATTGGGGAAAAGTACGATTGGGGAAACCGAAAAGTATTACTTTTCTTCGATGCAAATGTCGAAATTAGGATAATCGAGGGTGCTCATTTCGAAAATGACGTTCTTTTTTTGATTCTTACTTTTTTTCTTAAGTCGTACTGTAAAGTAGTAATTTTTGATTTTTTTTCATAAATACTCGATTTAGGGGTTTTGGAGGGTGCTGATTTCGAAAATCATGTAAATTTTTCCTCTAGTACTACATAGTACTATTCTGATACTATATAGTACGAAGTGAAAATATGGCTTTTGACGTTAATGGTGTTGTTTTGATGCTTAGTACTCTTCAAAAACACGTTTTAAAGACTTGGTGCTATAGAGTACTGTCTGATACTATGTAGTACGAAGTAAAAATAGGCGTACTAAGCACCAGAACAACACCACGAACGCCTAAAGGCCAACTTTACACCTCGTACTACATAGTATCAGGTAGTACTATATAGCACCAAGTCTTTAAAACGTGTTTTTGATGAGTACTAAGCATCAAAACAACACCATTAACGTCAAAAGCCATATTTTGACCTCGTACTATATAGTATCAGAATAGTACTATACAGTACCAGAGGAAAAATGAACATGATTTTCGAAACCAGCACCTTCGAAATCCCCTAAATCCAGTATTTTTCGAAAATTTTTAAAAAATTAGTACTTAACAGTACTGCTTAAGGAACACTAGTAATGTTCAGAAAAAATAAACCCGATATTCGAAATCAGCACCCTCCAAAACCCCTAAATCGAGTATTTATGAAAAAAAATCAAAAATTACTACTTTACAGTACTACTTAAGAAAAAAAGTAAGAATCAAAAAAAAGAACGTCATTTTCGAAATGAGCACCCTCGATTATCCTAATTTCGACATTTGCATCGAAGAAAAATAATACTTTTAGGTTTCCCCAATCGTACTTTTCCCCAATCGTCCCTTTCCCCAATCGTCTTTTTCCCCAATCGTCCCAGTTCCCTCCGGACTACACGTATTTTTTTGCTAACTTTAATTGATCTTTCGTTGAATGGTCATCGATGGCGTCGCGACTGTTTTAGGCAACCACTAATCGGTAAATGTCGGCGGGCAGCCGACATTTACCGATTAGAATTACGATTTTTCTACCGTAATCTATGTAGTATGAAAAAACTTTTGAATTGGCAATCTCTGGTACAGATAAGTATACGAATCAATTGAATTCACTCACCGTTTTCACAGCTATAAGAGTTTTTTTTCCAAAAAATGGTTTCTGAGCCTTTAGAAATCTCTGGTGAACCTTATAGTAACTATTCAAGCCGCGTATACGCCTAGAAATTAATTCGCAGCATCTATCTGCCAAATCCATCGTTTGAATTTCCTATTTTAAGCAAAAGTTGGCTGATTTCTAAACATGCCCGCAGAATCTCCGCAGTTCTTTTTGCTGCCCGCAAAGTGGTTGCCCGCAAGTGTGGACCCGCCGTCATCGATGTTTTCGCATTCGCGCTGCTCTTTGCTTACTGACCAACATTTAATAATTGAACCCTGCAGTTAACTGACTAATCAATACGATTATGTATAACGCGCTTACTCATTCTTCCTGCGTAAAGGCGCTATGTTTAGTATTGTTAAAAATGCCATGTTATTCTGTGTTATCCTCATGTTTCATAAATCACCACTCCAATTAATTTTAACGCCGTTTCCGCCTCTTCCAAACGTTTTATTCCCCTTGTCATTTCCCCTTAATATCAGTGGCATTTGAATATAGCAACGGCTCCATTGTATTTTTGCGTCCGTTGTAAATAATTATTGAGTCATAAGGTTGTTGAACTCAGAATAATAATTAATAGAATTGGACTTTGCCATTTTTATAACCCCATTATATAAAAAGCAAAGTTTCGTTAATTTTTGCTCTAAAACATTGAGAATTTCCAGGGAAATTCGAATACTTGAGAGCCAATTTTTGAGCAAAAAGATTAACCAGTGGGATTTGGTGCCGGAGGGTCGCCAGACAAAGAGTTTTTTGAATATGCGGTTTTCGATAATCCGCGTTTTATACATATTTTTAAACAATGTTTTAAAAAACTCATATTTCGCGTGAAATTTTATAAAATTTTTACATTGCAAACAGTCGCTTTCACGTATTTTACAACCACATTTATTTCAACAATTATAACTTTTTTCAGCCCCGCCATGACTGAGTTAGAAACCGTCGAGGAAAATCCAAGCGAGACGACGGAGAATTACGAAATCCACGCCGACGATAACAGTCAACATGATGAGGTAGACGGTATAGAATTAGTTGTAAGTGTCGTGGTCGTGGTTGGTCGTTTTTTTTATTTTTTCTTTATTTTGTGTTGATGTTGTGACCTTGAAAAGAGATTTAGATGTTTAATTGGAGCCCTACAGTTCTTGCTAAAAATCAGACAGAAATTTGCATGGGAATTTTCAAATTACCAAGTCTTAGGTCGATAGCGATGATTTTCCATGATTTTAATTTGACTTTTTATATATTTCTGCTCAATTTCCGCCCGTATTTTTCATCAAAATTTGAGCAATTTTCTTTTTTTTATTTTTGTTTTGAATGAAAGGTTCCATTTAACCTAACTAAAACAACGAAATTCGTATTTTAGTTAGAAGAAGTGGTCCAGCGTCGTGATCGGGCGCAGAGTGTAAACGACATCTCCAAATGTCAAGTTCTTGCCTACTCAATCGGCCATTTTTACAACGATCTCTGTTCGAGCATGTGGTTTACTTATTTGATGATTTATCTGGAGCGGGTCATTCGTCTTGATCATTCGCTGGCTGGACTGTTGATGCTGATTGGTCAGGTAAATGAGTTCAATTGGCGGTGTTTTTTGTATAATTTTTTGTTTCGATGGCTGCAGCGTATTTTACAAAAGCATATAATTTAAGGTGACAGATGCGATTAGCACACCAATTGTCGGACTGCTTAGTGACGCTTCAATTTTACCCGGGTTTTTATGCAAGTTTGGAAGAAGGAAGTCTTGGCACATAATTGGTAAGCATCGATTTTTTACGCGCTGCTTGAGCTTCCGTATTTTAAATTTTGAAAACTCGAATTCCCTTTTTGAAAAGTAATCCTTAAGTTTTCTCCGTATTTTAGGAACCTTCTGTGTGACAATCTCGTTCCCATTTATCTTTGGCGGCTGCCTTCTTTGCGAAAAAGGTACCGAAAGTTGGCTGAAGGTGCTATGGTTCGCCCCATATATTGCCATGTTCCAATTTGGGTGGGCTGCGGTTCAGGTAAGATAAAACTTTGAATTTGATTTGGGAAAGGGTTCTACAGAAATTGAAAAAAAAACTTGAAATTTTTATTTAACACGCAATAGAAGGGCTTTATTAAGCGGAGGTGAATTTTGGTCTAATGTAAAATTGACTCGTCGATCTCAAAAAAAATATTGTTTATTATTGAAAGGTTTTTTGTATGGAAGTTTGGCGTTCAAGTTTGCCTATCACTTTAAAATTAAAGAAATGGGAATAAGGTATTTTTCCTTTGATTTTGACAGGTTCCATTATAAGGGCGTTCGCTCTACAGAGGTTTCACTGGCTATTCATTTCCAAGTTTATTTCAGATCTCCCATCTGGCCATGATCCCTGAACTCTCGGAGAACCCAAGCCGTCGAACCTCAATGAATTCGTTGAGAAATGCCTTTGGAGTTATCGCAAATCTAACAGTATACATTGGAATGTTCACTCTACTTAGCAACGACACCAACTCACTTGAGGTCAATCCAGGAGATCTCAACTACTTTAGAGTAGGTTCGAATTTAAAACATCTCATGTTTTAAAAAATGACTTACAAGAAATTTTTTTAGGAAGTCGGAGTAGGCTCAGTTGTCCTCGGTCTGACAATTACAATCGTCTTTTATCTGTTCGTCAAGGAACGATCGTATCAGCGAATGTCATCTTCCACTTTGTCACTGCAATCCGACGCTTCTTCGATTATTCAAATGGGCTGGAAGAATTGGTTCTCGCATATTGAGTTTTATCAAGTAAGATGAGTTTATGCGAAATAAGGAATCTTCAAGCCCCTATATTAAATGATATATTTATGCTTTACCCATCAAATTTCAGGTCGCATTCCTCTACATGTTCTGCCGATTGTACATCAATGTGGCTCAAGTGTACTTCCCGTTCTACATTACTAGCAGTCGAGAACTTCCCAAAGACTATCTTGCAATCTTGCCGTTGGTGAGCTATTTGTCATCGTTTGTCGTGTCGATGATTATGGGAGTTCCGATGATCAACAAGTTGTTTAATCGAAAAGTAGGTCCGGAAACAAATGAGATGTAATATCTGTACTCCCCAAACTTTGTTGTTGGCCATATATTTGCTAGTTTTGAGCCTTGTGAACTCATTTCTTCAGCCTCTTTAGCATAGAAATTATGCTGAAGGTTTTCATGTCAAAACTCGGAAACATATGCAGATTTTGTACCACTAATCGACCAAAACAATTACGAAAATTATGGTATAAGGCAACCTGGCAAGCTCAAACAACGCCTAGATAAATCAGACCCCAGTGATCGTCATATTTTCAAATCCTCAGCGCCAAAATATTTACCATTTCTCACTTTCAGGGTCTATTCATGCTCGCCGCAATCATCGGAGTGGCAAATGGAGCTGTTGTTGAGCTCACCACTGACATCTACAGCATTTACATTGTTTCAATTCTTCTCGGAATCGCTCAAGCTCTACTTTTGATCAGCTCTCTTGGGGTGACTGCTCAACTCATCAATCGGAATACTGTAAGTTGCGAGGACGCTCTTATTGATGTATTTTACAAACTGTTTCAACAAAAAATTTTTCTGCAGGAAAGCGGTGCCTTTGTTTATGGAGCGATGAGTTTTATGGACAAACTTTCAAATGGGGTTGTCATCCAGGTCATTCAGTTGTTTGCACCGGCTTGCGAGTAAGTATATTGCAGTTAATCTTCTGTGAAAAGAACAGGGATTTTGTTGAGGTTCTTCTTGGCCTTAATTTAACCTTTGTGGCTTTTGGATTTGTTCATAACGGACATATTATATTTGGTCATAGTTATACATAAAGAGGCTCTACCATCAATGATCATTTTAAAAAAACAACTTTTTACTGCAATTTCTAACATGTAATATTTAATTTTTCAGCGAGCACTCCCAGGAAAGCCCGGCTTGCAAAATGTTTTACAGAAGAGTCATGACGTATGTTCCTGGCTCATGTGTAATCATCATCTTTGCTATTTTGATCTTCTTGAATACCAAAAAATTGGGAGAGAGGCTGAAGAGGCGCCAGAGTGAAGAAGATTGTAAGTCGCTAGAACTTTTAATTTTTACTGTCTGTTTCAGTAATGGATGACCATTTGGTGTCCACCGAAGAAATCTAACCCATGAAATTACTTTCATTACTTTCATATTATTGGACTACGGATTCACTTTAAGGAAGAGTCAGAAAGATCTCATTTATCCCACATGTTAATATATTATTGTAGAAAATATATATATTACTTTGTTGATTTTTAGAAATTTTATGCGTAGTAAACAGGAAATGAAAATTATCTCTGAACACTTTGTATGCGGATTTTTGCAACAAACGCCGCAATTTTGTGGCTATCGAAGCTATTACAAATGTAATCCATTAATACATTGTTGTAAAAAAATCATATCTTCCTGAATTTGTTACCGGTCAGAAACGAAAACAGACTTATTTTGTAGATAAAGAGCAAAGCATATGGTTCACATGAGCGTCTGATAAACGATAAACAAGATCAGTCAGTAAGTACATGGCTGAAAGCAATAGACGTCTCTACCAAAAATGATAAAACTTCAGTAAGATATTTTTCGGTTAGTGATATCTTATGGGTACTTCTTTGACGTCGAAAATGTCGATTTTTTTAATCAATCTGAAGGAGTTTTCCTGTCGCTGGGACTTTGGAAGAGCCCCTTCTATTGACTTGAAGTTCTCTTATATCCAAAACCAAAAAATCTCAAACGCGATGACATTGCAACAGAAAGCTATGTAAAAAGGCCTTGTCCAGACCTATCACACCCAAGCAGCCCCAAAACTGTCGAAAACTTAATTTTGTTGGAAAATCTCTGAAATAAAACATCTGTTAATGGAAGCGCCGCTGAACAAGATTTTTAATGGATAATATGAACATTTATTCCCTGTAGCAAATTCACTTCCTCGATAATGAAACATCCACTGAACACTTAAATAAATCACAACTTTTACAAACTTTTCATGCAATTTATAAAACCGCAAAGAATGGGTCAAGTGTCTTTGAAGAAAACGCCTTTTTGCAATAATAGCTTCACTTTTTGTGGTGTAGTCGACGAAAAACGTTGGTCAGGCGCGTTGATAAAGAGAGGAGACTTTCGAAAAGAAAGGACAAAACACTTTATTTTGGTTGTAACTAGTTATTGTTAGGCTGTAGCACCCGTTTTTCACAGCATATATTTTCAGCCATGACGGTGTTCAGTCGTTTCCTGGAGGCGGCTGGATTCACCACTGTATATACTCCTTGTCATCAACTGACCCACCCCTGGAATGAGTCTTGTATTGGCGCCATGGCTGATGTGGTACCTCGAAGTTTGATTTATTCGCTAAAAACATATCTGACTTTCTACACCTTGGCTTATGGGCTAAGATGGGCGAGAGGGAGAAAGATCAAAATCGATCAACTCATCAAGGATACCCTGAGATCGATGGCCTTTCTGACCAGCAATATGTGCCTTTTCCTCTATGTCTCATGTCTGCTACGGTAAGGGAATCATTTTAATTTGATGTTTTAAATTTTAGCCAGTTCTTCGGGTGCTATTTTTGGTCATCGTTTTATATCGCCGGGGTTATTGGCGCATACTTGTCGATTATCCAGGAATCGAAGAAAAGAAGGCCGGTTTTGGCGTTGTATTTGACTAATTTGGTAAGTGCAAAATTTAGAGAAAGAGGGATTTCAGACCACTCCGCTGAGTTTATAAAATACGTAAGCGACAAAACAATTTTTTTAAAAAGTCGTCTCAAGTGGCCCCTTGCTTACAGTTTTCATTCTCACAGAAGACAAAATTTCAATCGATTTAGGAAGAATCTTATAAAATCGGCTCTCGTTAGCTCTTTTTGAGGTGAGAAAAAAATTTTCGACGCAATGGTTTTATGCGGAAAAAAGCCGAGCGCTCAGAAAGGGAACAAAAATTTTCCCTCTCTCTTTTTCGAAAAAATATTTTTTTTGGCTTTTTTTAGTCGTCCAATCTTTTTATTCAAAACTTGCGCCATTTTGAAAATTTTTCCACAAAGCTAAATTTTTTTAATTGCAGAATTCAAAGATCTCTCGTTTTCAGGCCTCAGAATCTCTCTTCTACCAGCTCCGAAACCGTGGATACGTCTCCAACATTCCCCATGGCGTTCCCTTGCTGTTTGTTATTGGACTTGGTCTCCTATTCTATTTCAAGGCCTATGGCATCAAATCTGATATGCATGGAATCCTCAGCTTTACCCATTCTCTAGAGAACGACGAGAAGATTAAAATATTGAACAGACTTCCGGACGGAATCCAGAATGTGATCAGGAGGATACGAGAGAAATATTCGAAGTCACGTGAATGTCATCATCAACATAGCTGTGTTTCGAATATTTTAGAGGTATGAGAAAAATAATTTTTTTCTTTGAAGTTTAGATGATTTGACAAAATTTTTTGGACTTGGTAAAATACGTTGATCAAAATCATTTTTTGATTTATCAGTTACAGAGAAACGTCTGCACAAAAAACTACCGCAAAATTTTACTTTTTAAATAAATTTATTGTCAAAACAATTTCTTTAATTTTCAGTCATCACTGGCCAATTTCAATAAAGGTCTGGCCGTCTCTGTCGTTTTGACAGCGCTGAGATCACTGTCCTCTCCAAGAAACTTCTTCAAAAATCTCTTGTCGACTAAAACTTTAGCAATTCCAACGTTTTCTGCGCTGCTTCCCGGAATTTATCATGTAAGTGTCACTCTAAAAATTTTTTGAAAATAGTTGAAGTTCTACAAAAATATAATAATTTTTCAGACAGTAAACTGCGGATTAAACCGATACAGCCGTCTTTCGCCTAAATCAATAATGACAATAGCCGGAGCGTCTTCTGGAGCGGCAATGCTCGCATGGCCAAACCTAACAATTGCTATGTACATTTTGTGGAAAGCCATTGAAGTAGGCTTTATTTTCAATTTTATATCGCAGACTGCGAGCAACGTAATTTAAAATTTTTACGTTTTTAAGAACATCTATGACCACTTGGCGGATAAAGGATATTTGCCGAGATTCAAGAACGGTGATGTTCTACTATACTCGATAGTAACCGGATACATTGTGGGTAATTGCGTTGTAGAACCGCACGCTCTCCGGCCCGGCTATTACTTTGGATTTATTCGAGGACTCACTCTTAATCAGTAAGTTTCATTATTCTCATATATCAGTTGTATAAGAGGCATATTTTGCAATAGAACTTTGATTATTCCTCTGTAATTATTTCAGTATTGACTACCTAAATCGTCAACATCTCCGACCGTTTGGATTCGACTCCGACCGCATATATCGGCAGTCAAATGAAGTTGTCAAAATAATGGCTAAACCAAAATAAGAGCATCACTGAACTAGACCCATGAAGATAAAGTTTGGAGACTTCTATTGATGTATATTAAAAATAAACCTGCGTTCAATGAAAAGAATATCAATTAAATTACTGTTAAGGATCAGGCAAATATTTATGTACTTGTTGCTTAAAAACTGGTTTTTAAAATACGGTGTCCATCTATAGCCAAACAAATTACTGTCTTCTATTGATTTTCCGTTAACACGATGATTACACAACCCTTAACAGAAAAAATTCCGTATTTTCTGCTTATTTAATTTTTTCTGCTTATTATTCCGCGTTTTTCATATTTCATAAAGAAAACCTTAGTAACTTGTTTACCCTCCTTTATTTTTCAGAAGTTCTATAAATCTTTTGCCATGAACTCGAGTAAACCCAAGTCCAAATCCAAGAGTTCTGCTACCCAAGAGAAGAGCCAGCCTTCTGTTGCTCCTTCTCTTTCTTCAGACTTCCCTGGACTCCTCCAGATAGAAGCACTGATGAAAGAAGCTGGAGTTTCCGAATGGGATCGAGGAGTATCCTTCCAAGTCCACGACATGGCCGTGCAGATGATAAAAAGTATAATCAAAAACGCGGAGGCAATAAAAGAGCACAGAGAAGGAAAAGCAGTTGAGGATGAGGATTTGGACGTTGCAATCGAAAGCTTTCGTAAGTTTAGAGAACTTTATTCATATTACAGAAGCTTTTTCAAAGCAACGAGAAAATGAAAAAAAGCGAAAATATCTTAATTCTACTTATTTGTAATCCTCAAATATTGAACTTCTTTTTTCACCCTCAAACCTTTATTTTCAGACGACTCCTTCACTACCGCTCCAGTCATTGACGGATCAGATCCTCTCTTTAACAATGTCCAGATAGTAAACAACAAAGCATTACCTCCCGTTCGGACAGATTACGGTTACCATCTTCCAACGGAACGATTCCTTCAAGTCCAGCCAGACTTTGAAGTCAATGACGACGTTTATGAAGAGAGCCTTAAGAACGCGTTAGCCTCAAGTTATGAGACTACATTTCCCCCTCCGCCTCCAAAACGTCCGCATATGGATACAACAGTCCAGCAAGTTCAACATGTCCAACGGACAATTCAAAGAGCTCCACCATCGGAGAGCACCGGGACTTTTCGAATTACCCTTTCGTCTGGACCTTCAACAGCTTCCGCAGCTCCCAGCGGATACTCTGCACCTCCGCAGAATCAACAGTATGTCCAGATCGAAAGTCAAGTTCATCATGAAGCGGTTAGTGCAGAAATGGAAGGGAGATTGGTCCAGCAGAGTCTCAGTGAGACCGAAGAAACAACGATGCTGTCGGCATTCCAAAGCGAATCACAGCAGAACAATGATTTTGACTAGGTTCGAAACTAGGGAAAATTGTTGGCAATTTGTTGACTTGATTGTTTAATATTATAATTATTGGAATAATAAATTAACTTATTAACTACATATAAGAAAAATTGCTTGCGACACAGCTCAATGTCCACATGAAATCCCACACTTGATGTTAATAAATCATTAAAAAAAGAAGCATGCAAGACATGCCAGTTGACCAAAGAATGGTTTCGAATTGGTGATCCGAAAATGGTGCGATTTTTGCTTTGGAGGCGGAGAAAAGAAACGTTGCGATAAGAATGCAACTTCCGTTTTTCAATTTTTAACAATGCTCAGTTTTATAATTGTGATGGTAATCGAATGATTACCATCACAATTACTTTATTTGATCGAATATTTTATATCGGTTCGTGTTTTACCCAAAAAATAACGAAAATTTCTCATCACCCAAATTTGAGTTCAGCCACAATGCCTTCATTCAGCAAGCTTCTTCAGGCAACTGGCTGCATTACTTTGGAGAACTCGTGCCATGAATTAACTCATCCCTGGAATCCCTCATGCCTCGGGGCAATCAAAGAGATTCTCCCTCATGGTCTTCAATGTTCTTTTAAAACTTATGCAACATTTTATGGTCTGACCTGTTTGCTAAAAATAGCAAGAGGAAAGAAAATACACCGACGAGAATTGATCAAGGACATTTTGAGATCCACGGTGTTCTTGACTACGAATTTCTTGGCATTCGTTTATGCCTCTTGTTTGTTGAGGTACTGTTTTCATTTCTAATTGTAATGATGGCTACTGTTTAGGGTTAAAAGTAATGTTAAATCTTATTTCAGAAGGCTTTTTGGCTGTTATTTTTCCTCATCCTATTATATCGCAGCCACCATTGGCTCGTTTCTGGCGATTATCCAAGAGACAGAGCGTCGACGGCCCGCTTTGGCTTTGTATCTGACCAATTTAGTAAGCTAAAACACTGTAACAAAAGGCAGCCCCGTATTTTTTTACAGGGTGCGGCAATTTTTCGGCCGGATTTGAATTGGCTATAACTTTTTTAGTTTTTATCCGAATGTTAAAATTCTTTTTTTCCCTGAATCCATAGACAACCCCATTTTGTTTGATACCAAATATGTTATATATACAGGGACCTAGTTCATAGTTATTGGCCTTTCGGTCGTTTTCTCTGCTTTTTCGGCGTGTGTGAAAATCGCCAGAAAAAATGACTTTTTTTTAAGAATTTTGTCGTAAAAAGTTTCATACATGTTCATGCCATGGAGAATACCGTTTCCACAAAAAATCAGCTATCTCCGCACAAAACTAGCGAAGATATAGCCAAAAAGTTTTTCTGTGTGACCACTCATGTGTCCTCCTGACCGCAACGAATCGTTGAATATCTTGGTCGCCCCTGAAAGGTGCGGGCTGAAACTTTCAGGAATTGATGTGTGGCCTATGTCCGGCCCATCTGCAAAACTTAAAGAAAATCTGAGAGTCGCACTAGGGGTATTTCCATTGTCAGCTATGAAAATTAGAGCTTTTTCTTTGTCTCGCATGTTTACTGTAGTCTAATGAACGGGTATAACATATTTGGTATTAAACAAAATGGGGTTGTCTATGGATTCAGGGAAAAAAAAGAATTTTAACATTTGCCCAAAAACTGAAAAAGTTATGGCCAATTAAAATCCGGCCGAAAAATTGCCGCACCCTGTAAATTACTAATTGCAATGTCCATTTTCAGGCCTCGGAATCTGTCTTCTACCAAATGAAAAATCGTGGATATGTTAAAGAAGTTCCTAACGGCTTAACGATAATGTTTTCCATTGGACTTGGAGTTCTATCATATTTCAAGTCTAAAGGAATCAAATCGGATATCCACGGGCTAATCAACTTGACTCATTCTCTCGGGAACGGAGAGAAGATTCCGTATTATAAAAAGCTACCCGAAGTTATGAAAAACGCCATAGAAACAGTTAGAAGTAAACTGTCAAAGGGTGATAGGTGTAATCATCAACATAGCTGTGCTGCTAATGTTTTGGAGGTAAGAAATCGAAACCATACTTTAGCCTATTCTATCTTCTAGTCATCTGTCGTCAATTTTGGATACGGACTCTCTGCTACGGTCATCATTGCGTTAATCAAAAACGTGAACTCCCCCAGAAAGCTTGTCCAATCTTTGATGAAAAGTGAAACCTTGTCGTTACCAATATTTACCGCGTTAATGCCTGGTATATATCATGTAAGTATGTTCTAACAAAACTTAACAAAAACAAACTTTCAGACAGTAAACTGCCTCTTAAAACGATTGCCACTCCTCTCCGACACCTTCACAGAAACCGCAGCTGGCCTTGCCTCTGGAGCGGCAATGCTGGCTTGGCCTAATCTAACAATCTCTATGTATATTCTATGGAAGGCAATTGAGGTAAGACTTCGTTCTACCTCATAGACCGTCCCTAAACATTTAGCGTGTCTATCATCTGGCGGCGGACAAAGGCTACGCTCCGAGATTCAAATACGGAGAAATTATTTTGTATTCCATTGTAACCGGCTATATTGTGGGCAATTGTATAGTTGAACCACATGCTATACGAAAAGGCTACTACTTCAATTTCATCAGAGGGCTTTCTGATAATCAGTAAGTTTTTTGAAGGCTTTTGGACATGAAATTTCATATTGTTTAGCTTCGACTACGTAGATCGGAAACTTTTGCTCCCATTTGGTTTTGATTCGGATAAATTGTATCGAGAGGGCACAATCCTGGTAAAACCGATGTCCAAGATGACTAACTCGGCATTTTAGGCCAGTTTTCATTCCCACTACCACTGTAATTATGCTTGTAAATAAATTTTCAACAGAATAAATCCAGATAAAACATTTGATTGCAATGGTCATGATAAAAACTGATCAAAACGTTATGGATAGACAATTTGCGGTATAATATTCAATAAGAAGCTAGAAGGAAGTCGGAATTGACGAACTCAAGATTTTCCGCGTCAGCCTTTGCGTCCTACCACGAAAACAACCCGATGCCAACGCATTTTGGCGTTCCGCAAAAAGAAAATAGCCACTTGGAAGTAAAAAGAAGAAAAAATCGGGTCGTGGATAAATGGTAACCGAGAGTTTACCCTGATCTATCAGCAATCTGAAACTCTCTTCTGTTTTTTACCTCTTCTACACGTTTCCGTCATGGATAATATAAATTTTCGCGTTGAATTTGTTTTTTTTCTTGATCTTAAGTGTAATTTTATATTGTTTCTTCAATGTTTAGGTGATATGTACGCTCCGGGTCAAGACCAACAGGCTTACCAACAGCCTCCGGGCTTTCAACCGCCTGGATTTGTTCAGCCAGGTGCTCCACAAGCGGGATATGCCCCTCAGCCGGGATATCCTCAACAAAATTACGCTCAACCGGCACCACAAGCACCATTCCCTCAGTCGGCGTCTCCGCAGGGCTTCCAGCAGCCGGCTTTTCAACCAGCACCACTGCCTCAGGCTCCCGTTTCGCACAGTTACACTCCCCAAGCGCGAGGTTTTGATCCTGGATGGAATGATCCTCCAACCACCGTGACCAATGCTCACAAAAATAGATTACAGAAGATGAAGAGACCGCTGGATCCTACAATCACGGTGAGATTATTTTCTTTTTTGATTTCAATTTTAGGATAAGGTCAAGGGTAGTATAAAAGATCTTCTTAATTGATCTTAAACTGGTGTCGTTTTGAAGTATCCTCGTTATCTTGCTCTGTGGACTGTTTATTTTGTTCTTATAGACCAAAATCTATTCTTTTGCCACTTTTATCTTTATCTGATACCTAAAAATTTAATTTTATTCTTGCAGAATCCAAGCAGCTATGGAGGTGGCGGATATGGTGGGTATGGTCAGCAATCCTATGGTCAAAATCCTTATACTCAGCCAGCTGGAAATCCGGGTCTAACTCAGCAGGGATCGTTTGATCAACATCAACAAGGTCAATATGGAGGTCAACAACAACAACCAGGCTATGGAGGTTATCAACAACAGGTACCAGCTTTTTTTTTACTTTGAAAGGCAGATTTGATTGTCCTTGATGTTGTTGGGACAGCTTAATATATACTTGTTTTTTCAGGCGCCAGCTCCGGTCCAGCAGGGTTACCAGCCTCAACAAGGACAACAAAGTCCACAAGTACGCTAAGATTATTATTTACAACTCTTGTGTAGCAATTTCCTTGTCTTTTTTCCCGTTCTTTGGTCTTTTTCCGATTCAATAAAGTCTTTCTGACCTTTTCTTTACAGCAAACGCCATATGGTCAGTCCATTCCACCGTCTGGTCAGCAGGCCCCTCAGACCTTCCAAGCCCCTCCCTCTGGCCAAGTCTCCCCAACTGGACAGGCGCCCGGGTTCCCTCAACAACCCCAATATGGTCAACAAACCGCGCAAGGTTATCCCAGCCAATCGCCAGCTGCCCAACCTGGAGCTCCTGGATTCCCACAACAGCAGGTTGGCTATGGACAAGCCCCCGCTAGCCAGTCGCCCGTAGGCCAGCCAGGAGCGCCAGGATTCGCCCAGCAACAATATGGCCAGCCAAGTCAACCAGGAGCTCCTCCCGCTAGCCAAGCACAAGCTGGATTTGCTAGCCAAAGCCCTGCCGGCCAACCTGGAGCTCCAGGGTTCCCTCAGGCTCAATTTGGACAACAAGCACCTCCTGCTAGCCAAGCCCAACCCGGATTTCCCAGCCAATCTCCGGCTGGACAACCTGGTGCTCCTGGATTTGCTCAATATGGGCAAAATCAGCAAGGATATGGCCAACAAGCGCCGACATCTCAAGCATATGGCCAACAGCCTCCAACATCTCAAGGATATCCTCCGGCTAGCGCTGCAAGCCAACCCCCGGCTAGTCAAGCGCAATTTCAAGGATTTGCACCCCAAACTTCAGCCCCAACTTCACTGCCAGCTGGAATTCAAAGCCAACCCGGGTATAATCCAGCGCCTAGTGCTCCAGTGCCTTCTCAACCAGCCCAGGCGGAAACAAATTTGCTGGACATCCTAGCTCAGCCAAATTCAGCGCCACAGAGCCAAGGTCCGACCTCTGGAATCACTCCACAAAATATTGGATTTATGCCGGCCCAGCAAGGATTCCAGCCACCTTCTGCTCCAGGAGCCCCTCCTCCGGCCCAGTTACCCCCTGCAAGCATCCCTAGTGTCCTGCCGAGTGTCCCTGGCACGCCCGGAGCAACCCAATCCGGTCCTCCGTCAGCTGGATTGCCTCCAAATTTCTCGAGCTATAACCCCGTAGGCAACACTCCCGCTCCAACACCGGCTTGTGGACTCCCTCAGCCAAGTTATCCACCAGCCCCGACGGCTCCAGCTCAACTCCAGCAAACCCAACCACCTTATAGTCAATTCCAACCAATCCAGCCCGGCCTATACCCCCAACAAACACCATACGGACAACCACAGCGACTGTAAACCTGATTAAAAGTTGTAATTTATATGGAGAAGGGTGCTGTAACTCTTTTCGAGATTAGTGTGAATTTTACAGTAATTTTTAAAAGGATTACAGCAGGTTTCTACAGTAAGAATTTCTCCAGAAATTGTTGGTGTTTTACAACATTTTTAACTGTATAACTTGTAGCTAACATATATTAGTCCAAAAACGCGTGATTTTTATTTTAAAGAGGTAATAAACTATTTATGAAAAAGTTGGGTTGTTTTTTATTACGTCTCAACATTTAAAATATTAGCAAAATTTTTTTGGATGGAATACTAAAATAGGGCTTTTTATTAAGAGAGTGATGGGTGAAGAGCTCATCGATGTTGAGGATTGATCGGTGCGGTGAAAGCTTCGGCGACCATTGGGCGGTTTCTGAAAAGAAACAAGGTCAATAAGGATGAGATTTGAAAATTTGAGGGGCAAATTTTATGCATGGGTTGTCTAGAAGGCCCCATGGTTCAGTTTTCAGTATCTTGCTTCTATATTTTTTTATTTCTTTTTTTTGGGAATTTGAGAGATTTTGAGGAAGAATCCGTTTGATTTTTTTGATTATAAAATGGCCTGCGGGCTTTGCTGTGCCGAAATTTTTGGCATACGGTGAATTATTGACAGAACACAGTAGAATCAAGCGAAATTTTTAGATTCCAACCGATTTTCTGGACTACAGAAGCGGATGGACAGTGGGGACCTGATCCAGTGGCAAAAAACGTACCATTTTGCAACCGGGAAGTATGAAAAATGTGGCAAAATGCTTCCCTCTCCAAGTGAAAAACTCCGATTTCAAAAGCGCGCTCGTTCTTTTTGTGAGGGACAAAGGCGCGCCCTTCAAAACGAAGTTTTTTCACTTGGAGAGGGAAGCATTTTGCCACATTTTTCGTACTTCCCGGTTGCAAAATAGCACGTTTTTTGCCACTGGATCAGCGGCAAAAACCCCACTGTATTCAAAAAATGAGTTCTCTTCTGATGGAGTTATTGTTGGCCAAAAAATTTGCTGATTTTTTGCTATTGTTTCTCTATAAGCTAGCTTAAGCCCAGAATGCTGTCAAAGGAGCTTTAGATGTCTAATTCTAATAAGTCAAGACTTATTTTTACAATGAATTAGCTTATAATATTAGGTTGGGACGAAAGTTTTCCCCTTTTTCTTGTTTTTTTCCAAACAAATTTATTTTGACAGTTGTAACGGGAAACCAAACATAACATCCACCGTCGGTATCCACTACGTACTGCCAACGTTCCGACAAGGATTCAATTGGCGAGCTTAAAAACTGGGGTATTTATAATAAAAAATGTCAGAAAGACCTGTTTTGAGGTCCCCCAAACAATCGAACCGCACATCTCCCAAACGGTAGCTTAGCGATCTGATCAAATGGTAATCAGAAGGTGCCAAGGCTGGGGTGTAGTGTGGGTAGGGCAGCAAAGTCCATGCATTCTCCCTGAATTTTTTGCGCGCGATTTTTGCAATGTGGTAGCAGGCGTTGTCGTGAAGGAGGAACATTTGTTCCACTTTTATCTAGCATTTTCGGCGACGCGGTCCAACTGGCGATAATAATGTTATTTAGTGACAGTTTTACCATCAGGGAGCCATTCCTAATAAGTACCTCCCATACAAGTCCACCAATCGCAGAACATGACCTTTTTTGGGTGAATTTTGGTTTTGGGGTTGGTTCACCGTTGGTTCTGGTTCCCTGTAATGATATTGATCAGCCAAGTCAGCGTGCGGCGGTACGACAAAAATTAGGAGCAACGGTATAAGCCGTGACTCCGAAAGTTCGTGCGGAACAAATTAACCACACTTCCACACTTTTCCCAACCGATGTAGATGGTCCATAATGGTAGTATGGGAGAACCCAAAGAGCTCTCCAAGTTCACGTAATGGCAATTTGGGATAGCTCACGATTAAGCCTTTTAGGGCGTCATCATCTATCTCAGATGGCCGCCAGAACTTGGTCGTCTAACTCCTTTTTTTGAACCTCTGGAACCAATACTTGGCCACACCATAAAAGAGGACGTCCTTGCCTATAACATCCTAGACTTCGGTTATATCTTCCATGGGTTTTGGTATTCTGCGATAGTTTTAAAATTTGACGCATCGAAACAGCAACTTTGGGACGGAAATTTTTCCACGTTTGGAGAGCGCTATGGGGACAAGTTACGTATCAGTCTATATGTTATCAAGTCACCCTTACATAGTCACGTGATAGAACTTTCCAGGAAGTTCCACAACTTCCATAACTTTTCCCGAAAATTAAGGGGAAAACTTTCGTCCCAACCTAATATTACAGTTTGACAACCGAGGTATATATCATAATATCGAAAGTGCTGTTTAGACAGGAGTGAGGCAAGATCCGTGAATTGCATGCTAAATCTTTACCACTAGTTTATTTCTCCTCCTCCTTCTTGAATCGGTCTCCCTTGTCCATAGTCAGAGCGCCGGCTCCGAGTCCGAATCCCACTCCCTTGGGGCCGTATTTCCTGCCATGGCATTGCTTACAATAGAGCTCGGCCTCGTGCTCACAGCAGTTGGTCGAGTCCAACAACTTGTTACACATGTCTGCAAGTGAGAGAGGAAAGTGAAATTGTGACGATAGAGAGGTTAGAAGATAGGTAAACACATACAAAAAACAGTGATACAAGTAGCACAGCAAAAAACGTGGAGAAAAACGGAACACAGTGTGTTTGGAGGGTAAAATACGGTTCTTCTTGTTGCGTGTTTACTTCAAAATATTTAGTATCTTTTCTAATCTCTACCTATATAAGTTGCGACTATTTTATCAACCTAAATCTAAGAGTAGACACATAAATTTCCAAGTATAATATGAATTTTCCCCCAAAAACATAAATCGGGTTTAAAAAACGAAAAAACTGACGTCATCTCGACTTCTTTGTTTCCAAATTGAGCTCCAGTGTCCATCGAGAGTGAGCCAGCGCCAATTCCGAATCCGACTCCTTTTGGCCCGTATTTACGGCCATGGCATTGCTTACAATACAGCTCAGCCAAATGCTCACAACAGTTGGTCGAGTCCAACAACTTATTACACAAAGCTAAAATACAGAACAGTAGAGGACTTGGAGGACAGTAGGGACATTTTTAGGGACTTTGAAGGGGTTTTAGAAGCGTTTTGGAGGGAAAATGATGATTTTTGGCGAAAAAAATTTGATTTTTTGGCAAAATTTATCATTTTTTGGCGAAAGCGTAAAACTAATTGAACGTATGAGAAGGACGGGTAGTAACGGACAAATTACAGTAGATTTGACATTAAACTTACTGCATTTGAAACAGAATTTGTGCCATTTGTAGCCGCCGGCGACCTTTTCTTCAGCGGCATACACTGATTTCCCGCATTTGGGGCATTTCGCTTGGACTGGGGCTTGGAAAGGCATCTAAAAATGGTTTATAGGTAATGGCGATACTATTCACGCCATTTGAATATTCGAAATCACAAAAAAAAATAAAAAACGACCAAAAATCGAACTCGAAAATTCATGTTTTATTCTAATAAAATATCGGCTATTCGCCAATTTATATTGCCCTCCAATCTCTTTACTATACATTTGTAATATTTGTTTTACGTTTGAAAAAACAAACAAAAAGGGACAAATTCTTCGCAAAATTTAACGGATCTTTTTGTAGCACTTATCGTTAGTCATTTGGCCGCAAAAAAGAGCGAACAGCCTAGGGCGAAAAACTAGATCTGTTCGAAAGAGTGGCAAGCATTACAAAATTAGTAATTGTAACGTCGCAAAAGGGCTCAAAGAGCAAGAGGAATTTGAAATTCAAAATAAGGAAGGGAACGGAGAAGTGTGTGAAAATCGCTTATCAGTGTTGTAAAAGGTGTAAAGCGCTGGGAGCTGATAAGAAATGAAAATTGGGGGGAATTTACAAGGAACGTGTCTCAACTGGGGCACTTGCGCTTTGCAGGGCAGCCAAGATATTAAATTTTTTGGTTATATAAGTTTGTCGGAAAAATAATGACCAAGTCGCATCTAAAGACGAAGTTGGTCATCTTGGAGGCTTTATAAAAGCCGTTATGTAAATCCCTACCACATGAAACATATATTAGTGGATAGCGTTTTCAGCGTTCTTTCAGAAGCTCTAAACAGAAATTGCAAAATTTTATTGTGACTTGTGAAAAATGCGAAACGAGAAAAATGACAAAGTCATACTTCTAGACCTAATAAAATTGCATGGCTTACGAGAAGATGAATTTTGTCGCGGCAAAATCAAAGAGCTATACTTCAGCTCGCAATTCGATTACTTCCTAGATCAAAAAGCATAGTACAGGCCAAGTATTCGATATAAACCTTTCCCATAACCTTTGTCTCCCACTTTAATCCCGAGTAAAGATCGCTGAATGGGCCTTCGGCCCTATTCTTCATTTGAATTGCCAAAATGACCGATAGAAGGGTTCAACCGGCGAATAAAAAGGCATTTGTTCGAGGCGATATCAGAAAGTTGTAAAATCGAACGCAGCTGGTTTTGGCCCGTTAAACTTGCCGATGGGTTGGGAAATTGAGGGAAATTTGAATTTCAAAACCTTTAAACTTTCAAAAGACATTGATTTATCAAAAAACCCTGTACTTTAGGGTCTCTAAGATGGTTGTAAAAATATGAGAACGACTTTGTAATTGAATAAAACCGAAACCAAAACAAAATTTCGATCAAGCGAAAGGCAAAACCGAGAGAAGAACCTGCGAAGGTGACTAACCTATGACTCAGGGGCTAGACTTTTAAAGCATCGTCATTTTATGAACACAGATGTCAAAGGCCTTGAGAAGCTGGAATGGGACGGAAAAAGAGATGCCAAAGCGAAATTTTAGGGGTTTTACATGTTTATGATGAAATTTTTCTAATCTTGATACGTTTTTTTGAACGAAATGTATAAAAAACTCTTGATTAAGATTGTAAAATACGTCATTGGAAAATATCCATTTTTCAAGCAAAAAATTAAAGTGAATGACTTTAATCCTAGACATTGGCAACAAACACCAGAAGCGTAACATTTGCTCCGATCATGATAAAACGTAAACAAGTCTGCTAATCCACCCTTTATTCTCATTCAGTGGACTTGAAAAAATCGAAAATATTTTTTTAATCAAAATTTTTGGCAGATACTTATTCTGTGTATATCAGTTTGTTGGAAAAATAATGAGCACTCACTGCAGTTTTTATCAAAATCCAAAAATTTTAATTTTGGTCCCACCACGGCTTTTTTAATTTTGCAAAATCTCCGCCAGTCTGTCGGGAAAATAATGAGCACTCTGTTGCATCAAAAATCGCATCGCCGCCGAGAAAATGAATTGTGTCGCGGGAAAATCAAATTGCTTTTCGCTTCAGCGACGCGATTGGCGCAGCGACAGAGCGCTCATTATTTTCCCGACAAACTGATAAAATGTATATCGGTCTGTCTGGAAAATAATGGCGGTTCGTCGCGCCTCGGAGTCGCTCATCATCGCTTTGCGACTGCAAGCCGCGACTTGGGATTTGGTGCGCGATAGCGGCGAGGCGAGACATTTTGCTGCGACGATCCGCCGTTATTTTTCCGACAGACTGATACATTAGTGAAATCCGAGGCTGCCACATCTCAAAGTGAAAAATCGTAAACCAAAACTCGTTAAAATCCGAATAAAAATTTAAAAATATCCACTCATCTCGCTGGCATATCCCCAGTCCAAACAGATCCGCTCAGCACCGCCAAGCGTCCAGCAGATCGATCGCGACGTTCTCGAGATTACGCAACACAATACAAACAAAAAAAAACGCTTGCGGATCAAGCCGGTCCTTTATCAGACGGGGATAAATGACTCTTTCCGTTCCGGCCGCCGACTGTTGTCCACCCCGGCCCCTCAGGGCTTTGAATTTCCGCTGCACTCGGATCGCTTTAGAGCGTTTTTCAAGACAAACAGACGTTAAGTGGGGGTTGAAGGCAGTCGGGAAAAAGTGGCCGGAAACAGGTGCTGCGGGCCGAGAACGTCAAAATTCTGAATCAGAACGGAGAAAAAATGAGGAAATGATCGAAATTAAGCAGTGTTTAGCTGTTTTTGAGGCGATGAGAAATCGGGACAGAGGAAGTTTTAGCCGAGTGTTCATAGAGAGATGAAAGCGATAGTGGAGGAATTTTTATTGCAATTTTACAGTAAGCAAAATAAGGCCATAGAAAAAAACTGAAATTTTGTAAATTTTTGTAAGAACATCATAGTAAATGGCATAATCCGCATTTGTCTTACAGTTTGTATGGCTTACAAGGGTAGAACCCCAAGTGCGAAGAAACTTGGGATACTTCCGCTGTTTTGATGAAACTTGGCACAAATTTAGTATAATTTTTGCTAAAACAAATATATCCTAGCTCGCGCTTTCCAGAAACAACCGAGATTTTTAGATCGAAGGTCGGCGAAAATTTGAGACTTTTTTTCGAATTTCGGCACGAAAAGTTGCGTCCCTATTTCTACCGGAAAGGTTAATGTTTCCACAAAAAATGAATTTTTTCCGCACGTAACTAGCAAAGTTATGGCCAAAAATCGTTTTTCTCTTTGACCGCTCTCCGCGTTTAGCGTACTCTCTCGGCCGCAAAGATCGTTGAATATCTCGGCTTCGCCTTCAGAGCGCGAGCTAAAACTTTGAGAAACTGATATTTACTCTATGGCTGAAGTGTGTGCAAAATCTAAAAAAAAATCTGAGCGTTGCACTTGGGGTACTTACCTAGTTAATTAAAATAACAATTTTTATCACTTTTATGTCAGTCATCAAATGCAATAAAAAATTAATCATATTATATAATACAATTTTTAAACTTATATATCACAAGGTACTTTGCAATAAGATGTAATTTATCTAATTAAAAGCATTTTCTATCTTGGTGTCAATTTTTATGTTGTTTGCGATGAAGTTTATTTTCGGCACAAACTCGAGAGGCGTTCGCATCTCTTATCAGTAACCTTTTCTCAAAAATGATCTGAAACTATATCTGAATACCTTAAACATCTTCAAAAATTGGGCTACGTCAAGATCAAGGCGAAGTATAAAAGAAGTCCATAACTATGGAATCAAACAAGTTCCAATCCTTGAATCATGTGGAAACTGCTCTCTCTAGTGTTGATCGGCGTGGTCTCAGGAGATCCAGTTAAGGCAATGTATCGAAATTTCTACGGAGTTGGAACAACTGATCTCATTGATCTCACTAAAATGAGGTGTCTGTTGGAGAAGCATTACGAGTTTGTGTTTCTGCAGCTTTTCAAGGACGGCCAAGGGGATGAGATTGGATTGAAAAACCTGGCATTGACGGAGAATAGTAAGTTTCTAAGCAGAATACCGAAGAGGTATGGGAAATTGTCAGCAGCGTTATTAAAGTAGGCGTTAACGGAGTACTGAGTAGCAGCCCTTGACTTTTAGTCCACATAGTGAAAAACAGGTAGGGCTACGACGTTATTTTGTTATTTTAGATTAGCCTGTTTAAAAAATAAGCCCGGCGATTTTAAGGCTTTTCAAGCGTAGGCCGGACTTGGTCGGCCTTTTGACCGTACCTGAAAATCCTAAAACCCTCAAAACTGTTCCTTTTCTTATGATCCGCCGGCCCTAGATGGCTGACAATTGTGAGATCCAGCTCCAACTCACAAGAAGTGTCTTACTTTAGCTTTAGAAATTTATATTGCCGAAGGGGTTTAATGAGACTCCTTCAGGTTCCCTATACACCGAACTGTACGTCATTCCTGATCCTTCGAAGCCTGCGGCCAAACAGCTCAATGATATTGTTGCTTTCGGCAAGAAAAACAACTATGAGTTCAACTTTCTCTGGTTCCAAATCACTGATCCTCTCAGATGGAACAGCCTGAAAGAAAAGAATGTGATTTTTATAAACCAATTTGCTGCAGCTGCAAAAGTAAGCGTCGATTTTATTATATTTATAACAACCGCATCTGAAAAAGCGTATAAAACAACATTGCAGGCTCAAGGAATTGAATTGGGATACTTCACGAACTGGTACGATTACAAGCAAATCACCGATAACTCGCAGAAAATACAAAGCAGAGACATCTTCTATTGGAATACATTGGGGTCGGGGCCAAGTGCCGAGACTGCCAATAATGTCAACGATTTTCGGCCGTTTGGGCCGTTCAAGGGCGATCCCTTTGCAAAACAATATGGAATCGACGAAGAGGAGTGTGGATTGAAAGTCACCAAAAATGTGCATTACGGAGATGCAGTTCCATTGCTTTCACGACGTAAAAGCTTCGTTAGAATTTCTGGAAATGTGTGGTGATAAGTTGAAATAAAATTTTGATTAGAACTTGAATTAATAATCGCTTTAATTCTCAGAGTTGTCCATCTTCTACAGACCACAGGTCTAGACTATTCATAGATTTCAGACAATTTTAGCGTTCGCTTTGCAGAAAGAGCCGATATATACATAATATCTATCTTTGACGCGCCCTCAGGCCCAGCCAAGTTACCGGTAGCATTGCCAAGGTCTTCGGCAAGGCCCCTCAATTCTTATTTTTTTAACCGAGTAGCTTTGGCGACATCTCTTCGCTGAGGTAATGCAAAGATATCCCTGTGATGATGTTTGTCCTTCTCAAACTACACTTCTTATCATAACAGTGACAAAAACCAATTGCTTCTTTATTTTTATTCGCCTCTTTGGTTTTGGGACCTCTCCGTTTTGGGGTTCTCTTCGTTTTGAGTCCTCCTTGGTTGGAGGACTTCTTGGGTCTCAATCTTTAGCAACCCATTCGCATAAACAATGCAAAGATATCCATGCGCTGATATTTGTCCTTCTTAAACTACATTTCTTATCATAACAGTGAAAAAACTAATCGCACCTTTATTTGGTCGTATACAAGATTCGAAGGCCTATTTTCAAAAGTCAATTCTCAGTTTGATTCAAATGCTGCAGGTGTTCTTTCTTTCCTTTCTCTCAATTTTTACTGGGATTCCAACAATATCTCCGCGATACATCCACGGGATTGGCACTACCGACGAAATAAACGATGAGCAAATTGAATGTTTGTTGAACCAAAACTATAAATTCGTCTATCTTCGGATCTTCAACAACGGCGAGGGCGATGAAATTGGGATGAAGAATGTTTTGAAAGTCCGGAAAAGTAATGCCACAAGATAAATCGCTAAATCCTTTGCATTTTAGCTAATTTAGAATATTTTGTTTATGTCACTCCGGACACGAAGAGCTCTGCCGATCAGCAAGCCGAAGATCTTTTAAATTTTGGGTACAAGCATTGCGCGGAATTCCTTTTGTTGTTCCTGGAAATCACCGATCCGTTGCGGTGGAAAACAAATAAGCAGAAAAACGTCGATTTTATTAACGAATTCGTTGATGCTTCAGAGGTAATCCCTTACGAGGACATTTTCTATGAGATTTCTGCTGTTTATGTCGGCCTGTCGAAAAAATAGTAACTGAAGCGAAAAGCAGTTTTTCGAATGCCACAGTGTGCTCATTGTTTTCCGGACAGACTGATGGTAAAAACAACTTGCTCCATTTTGATTTTTCCGCGATAACTCTTGGACTTTTCAGTCTCGCGCCATGCGGGTTGGATTCTACACTAGCTGGTACGACTACAAAGTAATCACAAATAACTCCAATCAAACTACTAACGACATTTTATTCTACTGGAACACGCTCGGAGCTGGACCAAACGCCGAGACAGCCAGCAACATCAATGATTTCCGACCGTTTGGGCCTTTCAAGGACCTGCCAGCCCTCAAGCAATATGGAAAGGGCCAGCAAAATCGTCTACGACAATGAGCATGTTGCATTGCGGGAGAAAAGACTGACAGGAATTAAAGGTGCTACCTCCCTGTAAATGTGATCGAATATTTTTGTGATTATAAACACTTATATGAAGAAACCTTCGTTGCAATTTTCGGGTTGGGTACTCAATTTATAGTCCGATGTTGGGTCTTGTTCACGTATCACGAAGTTGAAGTGAAAAGATAAAGTCAAAATTTTCTCCTTCCTACCTATAAAAGAGACTGCTGATACTCAAAGATCAACGCATTGCCGAGCAGAAGCGACGAAGCAATTTAACAAAAGACTTTCTTTTTCCGAGCTGTCCCGTCTGGATAAACGCACAGCGCATTTCAAACTGTGGAGTCCGGTGACCACATTAGACTCTTCGCTATCGGTTTTTTACACTTCGTCTTGATTTCACAGAGAAGTCAGAGAAAAGACGCGCAAAAACGTGCTCTCTCGCCCCAAAAATTCCCCATTTCTTCCCCGACGAAAAGTTTTTTCGCGTCTTTTTTTGGCGAATTGCCAATCCAGTCACCGGACCGCTTTAGCTTATCTCAGTTTGATGTGGACTTTATGTGTAAATCGATTTTGGCTTGGGCCCTAGTCAGATCGAAAGGTGTGTGGTAGTCGATTATTCACTTGGGGGGAAATCTCTGCGCGGGGCTTCAAAGCCGAGAAAATCCGCTTCAAAGTTTGGACGAAAATCAAAGGACAGGGATCCCGGAAAAGGAGCAATAAAAAGTGTGAAGCAGTGGCCGAGTGGTCAGTGCGCTCGCCCTTTGCGCAAAAGGTTGCAGGTTCGAATCTTTCCAAGCTCAAGTCATCATTTATCGTTTTTACTTTTGCTTTCTTCGTGCTAATCCGGCTGTACATTTAAAAAAGGGGTATAGATAAAAAAAGTTAACATAATGGAAAGTTGTTTTTGAATACTTCAGGTTGATGGTGTGCCCTGCGCTCTAAAACTGTAAAGGGAAGGTGCGAAGCAGTTGAAAATGGAAAAGTTTCGTTTAAAATATACTACTTGTATTGATAATCGAGTTCAGGGGAAAAAATTAATAGAAGTTTTTTTCTAAAAAAATTATGAATGGAAGCAGATTCGAACTTGCGACCTTTTGCGCAAAAAGCGAGCGCACTGACCACTCAGCCACTGCTTCACACTTTTTATTCCTCCTTTTCCGGGATCCCTGTCCTTTGATTTTCGTCCAAACTTTGAAGCCGATTTTCTCGTCTTTGAAGCCCCGCGCAGAGATTTCCCCCTAAGTGAATAATCGACTACCACACACCTTTCGATCTGACTAGGTCCCAAGCCAAAATCGATTTACACATAAAGTCCATTCCCTTATCAGTTATTTCACTGGAAGCATGCCAAGTTTTGATTCACAAGCCATACCGTTTGAACTAATCAATGTTGTGCAAGAGGTGTGAATTAAGAAAATTATGAGCGTTACACTAACGTAGGCTTCTTTAATTAGTCTGCAGTGAGTTCAATTTGATATGAGCAGCGCCGCACAAAGCGCGATGGACTTACCCCGCGCAAGGTCGAGGTTACCCAAAAATGCTCCGTCATTCGGTTTTTTGCGCGTCGGAGATCGCTCGTGCGAAGTTTTTGATTTTGACACTTCAGTAAATTCATTATTTTATTAAATTTGTATACATATAACGTATATTACTATATATATTAAGTTATATGTGCTTGACACAAGTGTTTTTTTGTTATTTTATATATTGCACTATATAATAAAGATATCAAAAATTATATATAATAATATTATAATATATATAATATTATAATAATATAAGATTTAAAAGTTTAGATTTTTGGGTTCGGGGTTGGTTAATTCCGCTCACAAGGGGTACCCCAAGTGCGACGTTCAGGTTTTGATGAAACTTGGCACAAATTTAGAACAATTTTTTCTAAAATATATGCGAGAATCCAAGCTCGCGCTTTGCAGAAACAACCGAGATTTTTAGATCAAAAGTCGGCGATAATTTGACATTTTTTGCCGAATTTCGGCACGGGAAATTTCATGCCTATTTCTACCATAGAAGGTAATGTTTCCACAAAAAAACAATTTTTTCCGCACAAAACTAGCGAAGTTACGGCCAAAAAATGTTTCTCTCTTTCACCACTCTCCGCGGTTAACATGCTCTCTCGGCGGCAAAGATCGTTCAATATCTCGGCGGCGCTTGCAAAGCGCGAGCTAAAACTTTCAGGAATTGATATTTCGTTCATGCCCGACATGTGTGTAAAATCTAAAGAAAATCTGAGCGTCGCACTTGGGGTACTTCCCCTGTCAATTTTATCATCCTTCGATTTTTAATTTTTTTCGAGACTGTACATCCATTTTGCATAACTTGGCATTTTTTCTAATTCTGCTAATGTTGTTAAGATATTCTTTTTTGCTTATATGTAAAGAGATCTTGTATATAAAATTTAATAAAGACCAAGAAATTACGTTTTTGTGATCTTCCGACTTTCCAACTGGCCTGTGTCCAACATATCGGGCTTCATCGCGCTCTTTTCTTTCTTGCCACCATGTTGAGCGTTCCTAGGACGTTGCTTAGGATAGCCCCGTTAGTACGGGATTGTTCCGGTGCGTCGGCCATTGTTGCGTGGGATGAGGTGCGGTTGCGACGACGGACAATCGGGTCCGAATATGGCTGGGGGAGATGTCCTGTTGCCTGGGTGTGGCTCCGCGTGTGCTATCGGGCGGAACTTCTTGGAGGCCGTGGGGTATCAGCCTTGGACTTGGCGGCCAGGATTTAAGTCGGATCACAACAAAAGTTTATTCGATAAGTTCACACGGAACTTCGCTTGTTTTTTCGAAGCGATTTTACTTCGTTTATCGACCGCGACTTTACGTGGTCGTTGAATTCGGATGATAATATGAGAAGCCCAATATAATTCTATTTTGTTATTTTGTCTAGGAATTTTCTTTTTTTTCAATATATTTTTTGTCTATTACGAAAATTTACAAAATCCGTATATTAAGAAGAGAAGTTACTTAAAAATAGTACCACTTGAAAAGTAAAAAAAAGGAAAAAGATTCTTTTAACACACCGAAAATATTCTCCACACGAAACCCAATTACCTCCTTCCTATCTGAACCCCACTTGTCGGCACGGAGTGGATGATCGTGAGTGACTGGCTTCAGAATCCTTGTCCCAGCCGTCTCGGAAACGGGGCGGGTCTTACATTTGTTGTATTGTTACAGCGCCTCAAACCTTTGTTTCTCGTTACGGGTTTTGTGTGATGTATAATAGTTTATCGTTCCGCGCGCGTATTTCGTAGTGGATGTTGTGTTTTGTAGGTCTACTCTCTATCCTCGCCTCTGACTATCTCCAAAAAAAAGATGAGTGCTCAATCCGATGCTTTGATCGAAATAGAGAAGGCATACTTAATCGTCTTCCACTTTACCCAGTACATCGATCCAGTGTCCAAAATGGTGCTGCCTTGGCCGAGCGTGTATCAGGCCGCCTTGGCATACTGGGGGTCGTACCCTGGTCCTGTCGCCGAGGAGGTCATTGGATTCCTCGACTTTGCTGACCAAGCCATCGAGGAGTGTTCGCACTCAGGATTTGTTTCCCTTATGACTCATCCTTGTAATAATAGACTCCGTAAAGTCCCGATTCGGCGACTCTACGAGTCATTTGCTGGCTCTTCCGACGGTCGCCAGCAGCAACTCGCCGCGGAATACGAAGAGTACAATAGGGAGATGGCTACCCCTTCGTCACGTACATCGGTTCATCCCCACATCCTATGCCATAACCGTCCCGACCCCCGGTCGTCAACCACTAATTCCTTTACTCGTCAACGGGATTTTTGTCGAAACCAAAATCGACACCGGCGCGTCCATTTCATATCTACCAGAGTCGACGGCAAAAAGATTGAGCCTGGTACCAAAATCGACGTCTACATGTTGTCAGTTCGAAATCGCTTGGCGACAAACCAACTGGAGAGAATCAGCCCAACAGCCCCAAAATACCAACTTTTTAACGATGTTCTGTGCATCGAATTCCAGAAAAAACCAGGAAAATTTGGCGCCGGTGTGACGCGTTTCGCGTGACCGATCGACCCGAGGCGTAGAACGGCTCGACTCGGCGCGAATCTGCAAACTCTCACGGCGGAACGGGGAAAGTTAAAAGAATGTCACTTACCCTTCATTTACCACCAAAAAAAATTAAAACAAAAACGTCCATTCATGCATACATGGCCAGAAGCCATTTAACACTATTGTGTCTCCTTATCTTTTTATAAGTAGCTTCATTTATCAGTAGTAAATATTGTTTGTTTAACCAGTCTACTGTTGTACTAACCTGCGTGTACATGTTCCCAACGGCATAATGGTAAGCGTGGTCGCTCAGCAGATATGCGGGGGAGGATGTTACGGCGCAAGCCCGTAAAAACAGGACTTTACTATTACAGAAAACTCATCGCAACCTGAACTCCCCGGAAAAGAAGAGAGGAGAATCAGTCGTATCGGCTCCCGTTTTTGGGAAGGGGACTGAGCGCTCCGATCTCAGGAAAAGGGTGCGATGAGGGAGTTTTAAGGGTAATTGTATAATTGTTATATGTCTTATGTATCTTTTATTTAGTAACAATAAATGTAATAGATAATGTAAGGTTAGGTCAATATTACTCTTAGGGGATAAACGGCAGGGTCAGGCCCCGAACTCGGTAAGTGAATATCATAATTTAATGTGCAGTACCCCCCTCCGCTACACCAACCGGGGCTGTAACGGAAGGCCAATAAATTGCTGTGATTTATATTTGTTATAGATTGCTCTCGTGGTGCCCTTAAGGCAGACGAATAAGGCTTGGTAGGATAGGTAGGCTAGCGGGTCCGGCAAGACTCGTTAGGTCGTAGCGAAGCTTTTATATAGGGAATTAACAATCATAATTTTTCCTCTTAAAATAATGGAGGTCCCACCGAGATGGAGCCGACAAAAGCACTACCGGTCCATCCAGCCTACCCGCGTATTCTCCCTCATTATTCTCTAATGAAATTTGTTGTTGGTGTATCCCGATTATCAATGGCCAAGTGGAACGGAGTCAAGATGGAAACAAGGAACGAAGGGCTTCAGAAGTTATTATAGTTACAATATCTGCGCAGATTTATTCAGGTCGGGTGGAAAGGCAGAATCGCACCTTGACCGACATGATCAGTCATTACGTTACAAAAGGTGGCACTGATTGGAACGAATTTGTTCCTTTAGTGTGTTACGCATACAACACGGCGATCCACCGGTCTACCGGGTATACTCCTTTTGAACTTCTTTTTGGCAGACCTCCCAGATCTCCAATTGAGACCGAAATTATTTCGAAAATTCCGAGCATTTACGTCGATTTCCCCACGTATGCGCAAAAGCTAGCCTAGTATACGGAAGGGGCATAAAAATTTTCGGCCGAATTGTTGGCTCAAACCCAAGACAGAATGAAAATCAATACTGACCGTACCAGGAAGGGAAAACCGATGTCTTTATAACGGGGAGATTTAGTCCTTAGACACCTCGATGTCTACAACGAACGAGATAGACATAAGTTTCATAAGAAGTTTTCCGGACCCTTCGTCGTCCATGGGGCTGGAGCCAAGGGTAAGTTTCCTAGGCCGTTGCTTAGGATAGCCCCGTTAGTAGAAGTCCAATAAATTGGTGTGATTTATATTTGTTGTAGATTGCTCTCGTGGTGCCCTTAAGGCAGACGAATAAGGCTTGGTAGGATAGGTAAGCTAGCAGGTCCGGCAAGACTCGTTAGGTCATAGCGACGCTTTTATATAGGGAATTTATAATCATAATTTTTCCCCTCAAAAATATCATAATGTAGAGTACCCCCTCCGCTACACCAGTCGGGGCTGTATAGACTCGGATATTTTGCGTTTGACAACATTTTCAAAAATTGAAGTTTGCAACTTTGTTGAAAAAAAACAGCCGAGGGACACCGACTGTCGGATCATATCAGTCCGTTATCCGTGTCATAGTCCAGTCGCAGACTTCCTTGCTGGTATAGTGGAGAACCGTAGGAAAAAAAGGTGCTGTTATCAGAACAGACAGCAGTCCCTTGTGTTCCCTGCTCAAGAAAGCCGACACCACTGGAAGGTTAGGCAGATTCAAGATCGCTCTTCACGCTGTAAGTATGGCATAGCAGCGATTGTCATATCGGACAATGGAAATGAATTTCTAGGCGAGCCGTTCCAGGCATTGCAAAGGCAATGCGGGTTCTAACACCGCCGTACTACCCCTTACCACCCAGCCGGCAATGGACAAGTAGAACGTCAAAATCGCACGCTCGTAGATATGCCGCCAATTATGTAAGACATGGAGGCACAAATTGGAAAGATTTTGTTCCGCTTGTTTGTTATGCGCATAACACGTCGCCCCATCCGTCCACCGGATTTACACCTTTTAGGCTTCTTTTTAATAATGAACCGTTATCACCAACTGAGACAGAGATAGCAAGAAAATTACCAAGCGTTTATGCAGATTTTCCAACATATGCCGTAAGTTAGCTAAGTACGCATAGGCTGCATGGAGAACAGCCACTAATTTACTTTCAGAGGTTCAAGAGGACATAAAAATCACAACAGACGGTATCCCTATGATCTTCAAAGCGGGAGACATAGTTCTCAAGAACTTCGACGCCTACAAGATCGACATAAATTTCACGCCAAATCTGAAGGCCCTCTTGTAGTTAAAAGAGTCCACGCTCCACATGTTCTGCTAAAACATCCCAAGACCGGAGCCGTGAGAAGGATTCACTCAGAAAACGTAAAGTTGTATTGGCCGTAAACGGCTGATTCGGAGTTAAAACCAAAAACTTTACCAGAATGGGGGTAGATAACAATCATCTCTTTCTCCGTAGGGAGAGAAAGAGAATAGCGCCCTAGATCTTCAGTCGGGGTTTGTTGTAGGCATTGGGAGCGAACGCGCCCCCTTGGAGTCTCCTCAATAAACTTAAATGGAATATAATACCGGCATATTCTGAGCTAATTAATATGCGCTACTAGAACCAACGGGTCAACACCACCCGCTACAAGAAGTTCTGAGGCCAGAACTTTCCCCGGCCCGGGAGGCACGAGCGTGTATCAGGCCGCCTTGGCATACTGGGAGTCGTACCCTGGTCCTGTCGAGGAGGTCATTGGATTCCTCGACTTTGCTGACCAAGCCATCGAGGAGTGTTCGCACTCAGGATTTGTTTCCCTTATGACTTATCCTTGTAACAATAGACTCCGTAAAGTCCCGATTCGGCGACTCTACGAGTCACTTTCTGGCTCTTCCGACGGTCACCAGCAGCAACTCGCCGCGGAATACGAAGAGTACAAGAGGGAGATGGCTACTCCTTCGTCACGTACATCGGTTCATCCCCACATCCTATGCCATAACCGTCCCGACCCCCGGTCGTCAACCACTAATTCCGTTACTTGTCAACGGGATTTTTGTCGAAACCTTAATCGACACCGGCGCGTCCATTTCATATCTACCAGAGTCGACGGCAAAAAGATTAAACCCGGTACCAAAATCAGCGGTCATTGAGCCAGCAAGAGCGGCAAACGGAGAAGTCATCTCCTTCCTGGGAACAGTTTCGCTTAAAACCCGAGCAGTACACCTCCGAATCCACGAACCTATAACATTGTCACCACACACAGATAACTTCGTATGGGCAGTCACATCCGAACCCACCGAAGGAGTGTTCCTGACTGAAGGACGAGCCGTTCGAGAAGGAGTTCGGATAGGAAAAGTTATCTCCAACGCTGTTGATTCTAAATTTCCTCTAAGGATCGTCAATACGACGAATACACCTCAACGTCTACATCCAAACGTAAAACTGGCAACACTCGTCCATATTACCGAGAATTGCTATCAAGTGTTTGCAGTGACGAACCCACAGCCCGCAGAAAAACACATTCCCGCTGAAATCGACGTGGCCGATAACTTAATACCTCAGCCAGATACCCAGTTCAACTTAAAAGAGAAAATCCAATTGGACCCCTGGAGTCTCCTCAATAAACTTAAAATGGAATACAATATCGGCATATTCTGAGCTAATTTATATGCGCTAATAGAACCAACGGGTTAACACCACCCGCTACAAGAAGTTCTGAAGCCACAACGTTCCCCGGCCCGGGAGGCAGTCACGGGCTACTTTCAGATACCCCAAGGCCGAATGTCCCAACCGGTCCACGCCGCAGGGGACGTCCGGGAAAGCAACGAACACTGGAGGAGGTGGAAGCAAATCCTGCGCAAGGTTCAAACTGCCGACAACGAGGGGTCGAGCTCCGGGGCGTTAGAGAAGGGTGATGGTTTACTGTGGAATAAATGCTGCCCCTATACAGTTCAGCTTCGGAGCTTCCTGTTTTATAATATTTGTGTATCCTTTTTCAAATATAGGCTATAAATGACCATATGTCATCTAGCACAAAGCAGAGGGTCATTCTTGCTCCCTCAAAGAAACCTCAAAGACAACTAGTACCACACCCCCACTGATAATATAGTATTTATAAACGTTTAAATTTTTGCTGAGGCCTTGACTAACTAATCATGTGGAAGGTTGGCCTACTGTTGCTGTCTATCTGTGCTTTGGCAAAATGTGCTGACGATAATCGTTTCGAGCTTGGCTTTGAGACGACAGACGAGATTAAGAAAGAGAACCTAAAATGTTTGAAAGACGCCGACTACAAAGTTGTGGGTGTACGTATCTACAATAACGGAGAGCACGATGAAACAGGCCTTAAAAACATGGAGACAGCTTCAGGTAAATGTTTTGCTCGTTCTAGAAGCCTTTTTTAATTTTGATATTGAAGATATGTCCTAGTCTGATGTCTAATTTCAGAAAACTTTACCGTACAAGCGCTCGTTGTTCCCAATATCTCTAAAGCGGCCGCTGTTCAGGTGACTGATATCGTGAAGCGTGGAAGAAGAAATAAACAGGCTCTTCAAAAGATCTTCCTGAAGATCACGGATCCTTTGTGTTGGTGGCAAGAACAGGAGCGCAACGTTGCTTTTATCAACTTGTTTGTAAAAACGGCTCAAGTAAGCGCACTTGATTAGGCTGGATCTTCATTTTAATTTGATCGTTCGCTAATATGATAAAAATCCTTTTTAGAGTCTGAAATTAAAAGTTGGATTCTACACCAACTGGTACGACTACAAAGTAATCACCGGCAACTCGGCCCGTTTCAGTCCCACAGAAGTTTGGTACTGGAAGACGCTTGGCGTCGGCGATGATGCCAAAGGTGAAACCAATTTCGATGATTTTTACCCATTTGGTCCTATTAAAGGGCATCCGACTAGACTTGGCTCTCGGGCCGGCCCGGGCCGAAAATCGCGGCCCGGCCCGCGGGCCGGAAGAGGTCGGCCCGGCCCGGCCCGTTTCAATTTTTCTTCGGCCCGGCCCGGCCCAGCCCGCGGCCCGGCCCGGGCCGGCCCGGGCCGGCCCGAAAATTGAGAAGAAGTAAAAAACCTTAATTCGCTATTAGATGTGACATATTTTTCTTTACTATAACAACTAACAGTACATTTTTAAAGCAAAAAATTACTTAACAATGCATTGCCTTTTAAAAATTAATCAAAAAATTTCCGAAATCCGTTTTCAGACTATTAAAAATTGTCCCAAGGTCAATTTTATAGATTCAGCAAAGGTGAAACCACGTTTATCAAGGTTTTCAACTGCAAGATGATAGTGTTGCTTCACACGGCTTCTTAACTGTGTTTTTAAAGATGTGGGTTACGCTTATTTTGAGTGTTTGTTCAAAAAATTACTACAAACACTAATATACATTAGCACTTAATAGATTTTACCAGTAAAATTACTTATTATTAGCCATTTTTGAGTACTTCCGTGCTTTATTTTTATAAAATTATGCTTACTGTAAGAAAAATATAAAGCCTATTCTTGGCTTTGCGTTTTAATTTTATTGGCAACCCAACTTTTCGCGTTGAAGTTCAGAATTTAAATTTTGCCGGGCCGGCCCGGGCCGAAAGTTGCGGCCCGGCCCGCGGGCCGGAACAGTTCGGCCCGGCCCGGCCCGTTTCAATTTTGCTTTGGCCCGGCCCGGCCCGGCCCGAACACCGGCCCGGGCCGGGCCGGCCCGGGCCGGCCCAGCCCGGCAGCCAAGTCTACATCCGACCGCAAAAACATTCAGCTTCCACACCAAAGCTTGTGGGTTGGACATCAACGAAGCCGTGTTCAACGGTATTCCCAAACCCAGTGTTTTAGGTTTTTAGTTAAATTGTAAATGTTTTGATGCAACAATAAATAATGGTTTGGCAAACGGTTATGAGGTTAGTGGTTGTCGATAATGAAATATGACTGCTGGTAATGAGGATAAAACTAGCTTTTACTTCGAATTTCGGTCTAATGAGAACTAACTAGGCGAATTTTTGGTAGACATTTGGAGATGTGAGTTTTAAGAATTCCTTAGCATTGTCGGCCCAGGCCAGCGAAATAAACCTTCATAAAGCTTTTGGATTTTGCGTTGATGAAAGGGAAGAAGGAAATAGCTGTTGATCGTAATGGATCCTACTGTAAGATCAATCAAAAAAACGAGGGAAAATTGGAGCAGTTCAAGTAATCGTTGGAAACGGAAGTGATCAGCCAGCATCGTCGATCCATAAGATGAGATGGATCCACGATACAGGCAAGAATCATGACCTTAGATGGAGCGATCTTACCCTGACCTGAGAATGGGAACCGTTATGATTCACTCCATGATTTTTTGCATGTGATAAATGTAGATAAATTGCAATTGAAAGAGAAGAACTGTTTAGTGAAGGCAAAAGCATACGATAAAAAATTTTTGTTTTATTTTTTAATTAATATGTATTACATATATGTACTAGCCGTTCGCAAAGTCGGTAGAGTGATTTCGCCGACATGCAATGCAAAAAATAAAAGCCCACTTTGCATTGCGCTTTTTTCGGCTTTTGCACAGGTCTTTCTGGGCTGTCGTTCGCATTCTGGCTTTTTTTTGCCAAGTGCATGTCGCTGTAATCACTCCAGCGACTTTGCAAACGGACTTATGGCCGTATTTGTGCAACTTGTGTGATCAGTATTGAACCAAAGCACACCGTCTGCTTTGTCAGCGTGATTAGAGAAAGCTGACGGTGCGAAAAGGGCATAATAATGCTGTAAAAATATATAAACGTATGACCATTTCTCCTATCAACAAAAACTACCATCGGAAGCTTGAACATCGTATTCTCAACAGTCTCCGCTCGTTTCTTCGCATCCAAAAAAGTATTAAAATGTTTGAGAAATACGTTCGATCACTAGAGCATAAGACACAGCATCTGCGATGCTCTTTTTTATCTGAATTATAGGCCTATCAGCCCACAGCACAATAACCTACAAAACTCCATCTATTATAAAGAGATGGAATGTTGTTCTACACGCATCAAAAATGTGGAAGAGCGTTTTGTTCATAATCGCTTTCGGCGTTTTCGTTTTCGCGGAGGAGCTGACTGAAAGCATCGATACCGTGGATGAGATCACCGAGAAAGCCTACAGGTGCTTGAAGTCAACGAACTTGGAGCACGTCACGGTTCGTGTGTATGCGAACGGAACGAGTGATGAGGTGGGATACAAGAATTTGGAAAGGGTTCTCGGTAGGAGTCTCAAGTTTTAAGTTTTCGTTTTTACGTCATCATTTCAAGGTTGCTATGAAATTTGTTGTAGGACGTATGTCAGTGAATGTTTACGTCGTCCCAAGCCCATTCGACGACCCGGTCCGTCAAGTGGAGGATATGGTGAACCACACAAAGAGCCACAAATGGGTGAATGGCACGCTCTATATTCAGATAACTGATCCGTCGAAGTGGAGTCGAAATAAGGAAGAAAACGGGCATTTTATTAAACGTTTCGCGGAGGCCGCTCAGGTACGTCGATCACAAAAATACAGCTATCCGTTGATACAGCAATCATTGTTTACGTTTCAGTCGAACGCGATTAAAGTGGCCTACCTTACAAGCTGGTACGACTATCAAACAATCACCGGCAACACCAAGATCATTCCCGTTGGAAAGTTATGGTATTGGGAAACTAATGGAGTTGGTCCGGAAGCCCAGACGGAGAATAATTTCGCGGATTTCCGCCCTTTCGGTCCGTTCCAATCTCCCCCAATCGCCAAGCAGTACTGTATTCAAGAGAAGTATTGCGGCTTGAATGTCAACAGAAACGTTTACACACCTAAACTTTTTTAACTTGTCCGTTTCTTTGCTCGACAAAAACCATTGAATTTGTTGATTCCGGAAATAAAATTGCTTGAGAGCCTGCACGTGTATTCAATTCGCTTAGATCCGGCACAAGATCAAGAAGTAAAAGGTAGCCAAGCCTGCAGACATATACATATATGTAGAAAGCATTATTGTTTTGTCGTCAGCAACTTCTCTTCAACCAACGACTCCGTCGATAACTTGTTGAGTTCAGATGTTTCGAACAATTTTGCGATGTATTGTAATTACAGCAAAAAATATAATAGACAGCCAGAATTCATTTAGAAATTGAATTCAAGTGTGGTTAGTGGAAGCAACACTCGGCCCAGGTGCCAATGGTCCATTCATAAACACATGTTTGTTCACAACCACTCCGCACACATTTTCTTCAAGTCCATACATCTTGGCAAACGGAGCTCTGCGAAATAGGCCAAACGTACGAAAATCATTCACATTCGGTTGAGTTTCGGCATTCAGTCCGACTCCGAGGGTATTCCAATACCAAAGAGGCGATTCAGGAATGGTATTTGAGTTTCCAGTAATCAGATAATAGTCGTACCAGCTGGTAAAAAGCCCAACAGTTATGTTCCAGGCCTAAAAATTTGAATGACTCCTCCCCCTTTTAAACACTCCCCCCCCCCATTTTGAAAATTGAAAAAAATAGGTCCAACTTACAATATGACATATGTGACATATTATACGATGAAATTTTTTTTCAAGTTGAGATTTCAAATTAAAAAAAAAATTTCAAATTTCTTCAAATTTCAAATTGAGAAAAATTCTCATCGTACAGCATATCACATCTCATTTTTCTCAATTTAAAAAAAAATTTCATCGTGTAACATGTCACACATTCATTTTTCTTAATTTGAAAAAAATTTTCATCGTATAACATGTCACACATTCATTTTTCTCAATTTGAAAAAAAAATTCATCGTATAACATGTCACACCTCGCTTTTTCAATTTTCAAAATGGGGGAGAGTTGAAAAAGGGGACATTTCAGATTGGGAGAGAGTTCAGAAAAGGGAGTTCAGGCTCAACCGATAATTCGAATATTGGCCGCGAAGGGATCTCAATCTTACCCCGGCTTCTTTTATAAACTGATTAATGAAGGCCACGTTGTCTTGCTTCGCCTTGTTCCACCTCATTGGGTCAGTCACTTTGAGGAAAATCCTGTAGAAAGTAAATCCATGCCTCTTTGCGGCATTGTAAATCGCGATGACTTGACGAAACGCCGGTTCAGTTGGATCAATCTTTGGAACCACGTAAAACTCAGCTTGGAACTTCTCTGCAATTAGGACCAATCTCTTCGTGTTTTACGACATAAGAGCTGCGAGGACAAGCTTACAGAGGATTGTATATTTTTTTGGATCCACTCAAAATTACTTTCCTTACTAGTCAGTCGGGAAAATAATGTGGGGTTGTCGCAGCAAAATAAAAAAAATACATGCCAAATCTCCATCCAGCCATCACAGCCGATAGACAGATATTTAAATTTTAGACCATCATTTTTTTAGTCGATAGAAACTCACGGTAAGCAAGCGCTACATTTTTGTACCCAATTTCGTCATCTCGACCGTCATTATAGATTCTAAACGCGAAAATCTTGTTATTCTGCTTGGCTAAGCACTGCAGGTTGTTCTCCAACAATTCTGAAGACGTGCCGATTCCATCGGTTATGGTATTCAACTTCAAATCTTGGGAACATCCAACAAAAACAGCAAAACTGAACAAAAAAGCAAGTATATTGCTCATAGCGGCCGAAAGTCCACAAATCCATCAAAAACTTGATATTTATTCTGTTGAATAAGGTGTGGTTATATGAAATCATTAATCCAAAGGATCCTCTTAGAGCGTTCTAAACAAAAAAAAGACAATGTCCGATCATCATTTTTTTGAACCTCACCCTTTCGTAGTATTTCTTTGTTTGTTTTTTCTACCCATAAGATTGTCAAAGAAATTTAGTATGACAGAAATTTTGCAGCCGCCGCTTTCTAAGTTATGGCAGTTTTCTTCCAAAAAACTGTTTTTGAACCTTTAGAAATGCCTGGTTAATCCTACGGTAACTCATGAAGCCACTTGCGTACCAGGAAACTTAATTCACAACGTCGAACTGCCAAATTCATCGTTAAAAATTCCTATTGTAAGCATTTGACTGATTTCCAAACATGTCCACAGAATCTCCGTGGTTTTTCTAGCTGCATGCAAGGTGGTTGCCCGCTAGTGAAGGCCCACTCATTGGAATGAAAAAAAAGAAGCGGAGATTCATTTTTAAGGATACTTTTTTCAGCAGCCAATATCTCTTGCCACAAGAATTTTTACATTGTCAATTTTATTTTGAAATGGCCTAAATTTCATGTCAGTCTTTATTACTATAAAAAGTTGGTTGGGAATGGATCAAATTGCAAAATGATCAAGAAAATTACATATTTGTTTACAATTTCAAACAGTGACAATAACAAGTTTCACAAACTTCACGCAACCCTTCAAATGTTTGCCGATCTCGCGAACAGTGTTGTTTGTTCGAAGCGATTACCGGGTTGTTTGGATTATTCTTTTTGCCTCTTGACTCTCTTATCTCCGCTGTTCTCGCCTCCGCTCGTCTTTTTTAAATTTTTTTGTCAAATGGTTTTTTAGGATGAGGGGAAATCAAAAGAGAGTTTTGAACTGCGAAAACTTATTTACTCAACTCGGTTTTCAACAGGGTTTTGGGTTGATTTGGGTCTATTTGAGTTGAATTCTTGCTTCACAAGAGTGGAATCTTACAGTAATCCAGTTTTTGTATGTTTTATAGCTTTTTCTTGATTTTCTTGGCTCAAATTACGACACTCAATTTTTGAAGAAACTTGGCTCAAATTTAGATCAAAATTTTTCAAGGCGTATGCAAGAATTTTCGACTGCAAGTTGCGAAAAGGGCTCTCTAGGTCAAAATTTGACAAAAAAAAATAGAAATTCTCTTTGGGACTTTCGATCTTTTTCTGCATTTAAATTATTTTTCCCACAAAATTGGCGAGGCCAAAACGAAAATAGTCTTTTTTTGCTGACCACTCTCTTCATTTCCCGCACTACCTCGTCTGCAAAGATCGTTTATTATCTCGGCTGCACCTGCAAAGCACGACTTTAAAACTTCAGGAATTGAAATATGGCAAAGATACGCTAACTAGGCAAAATTTGAAAAAAATAGAGTCGCATTTTGAGAATCTCTCATTTAAAACTCTCATTTCTCATCAAATTATTTTAAATTTTTCGAAAAATTCCGTCCAAAAAAACCGATAAGACCTCGTTGATCAAAAAAAGACCCTTTGAACTGGAAAACAAAATCAATCAGACTAAGTTTTCTCCACTCTACCCATCTTCCCCGCTCCATTTTTCATCTTGTTTTATCAACTCTCCATTAAAATGGCACTGCCATGTGCTGATTTTTGATTTCCCAATTTTTGGTTTCGCTTTGTTTTTTGATTTTTCGTCTATCAAAGGAATTGGAGGAACTGATAAACTTTTGCTAATTGCCTCAGGGAAAATTTTATTTCTTGGCTGACAATAGCTAATGAGGTCAAAAATATCCGAAAATTTTTTATTTTATGGTGGTTTAGACTGTTGCTTCACGAAGTTATACTTGTTTGGCTTTGAAAAAGGCAAAATAATTTTTTTGGGGTTGTTAGAGTTTGATCTTACTCATCAAAGCCTTATTCCTTCGCGAGACCCCGGAATCGAACCAACCCACAAAAGAATATCGAGCGGATGCTTTATCCACTCGGCTAACCGAACCACTGAACGCCGCTCTTCTTTTCCGAGGGAAGAGAAAGAGGAAATTTTTGTGGAACTTTCGGTCGATTTTTCTCGTCGGCCGTGCTTATTCCGCAGCTGGAAAATGGCTCTTTTTACAGGGTGACCCAAAATAACGGAGACAAAAGATTTCCCGTTTTTTCTGCGACTTATGAAGATTCATGAGTGATTCCTTATTTATACTAAAGTACCACGTTAGTGTAATTTTATATACCGAAAGTTTTGTTGTACGACGCCCTTGTGCCTTGAACCACATCAATATATCCGGTTGACTCGGACCTTTCTGCCCGTGGGGTCTTTTTGCAAGAAAGCTGCCTTGCTCAAAAAAGAAAATTCGGAATAGTTTGAGATTTGCTGTGCTTAATTATCATAATATGGCCTTTAAAACGGGCCATCGTACTAAGCTCAACTATCGATGGTTCAAAAGTTACAGCCGAGCATTTACAGGCAGTTGAAGTGCAAAAATCGGCCTTTTTTGAAAATGTAGGCGTAAAAAGGACTTTAAACGTTAGATAAGGCAAAATGTAATATGAGTTACTAGAAGATGATTAAAGAAACACCATAGAACCAAAAGAGAAACATTTTGTAACTTCTACGGAATGCTATTTGGTAATCACTAGGATTCTGCCTTATTTTTGCCGTAGGCGGAATACCAGTCGAGCCGGTGGCACATAAAGACCGAAAGTGCCCTAGGCCGATTCTCAAGAGTCGTATTCATAAGTGTACAAGAGCAGAATGCGCCGTTTTTATCTATCTTGTCATTCTGTTATCGATAACCCATCTTTCTCAAAGCCGCGTGCCATGGGGTAGTTCTGGGCAAGAAACTTGTCAAGGAAAATCTGTTGCTACCAGCAAGCAATCACAGCTTTTTCCAGAATTATTGTAGTTATGAATAGAACACGTACTAGTGGTTTTAGCTTTATTCGAAAAAAACTGAATTTTTTATGGAAAAAATTTGGAAAAAATTGCGATCTTCAATGTTGAGATCGGTACCACCGTAGAAATAAAAACCATAGCCCAGAAATATACATAACTGCTTGCTTAGAGACGTAGTAGTCTAGCAAAGCAAATGAACTTGCCATTTCTGCGGCTGTAGTACAGCCATGCTCTACACAACACAAAGGAACCAAAATTGAGGGCCAAAAAAACGGCGCAAGGCATTTTTGTTAAGCTGTAACTTTTTACTGCGACATGATGACTCCGCCAAATTTTCGTGAATTATAGAGAAAGTCTTATAGAATATTAGCCACTGTCGCTTGTGATTTTACAACGCCCGGGTTTCGCGGTGGGACCCTTCAAAAATTTGTCTCCGTTATTTTGGGTCACCCTGTATACCAAAGTTGACCTGCTCTATCCACCACTACTAGTCATTTTGCCAAACGCCGGGGGAAGTTCAGACCATTCCCTCGTCAGTAAATTACTCATTGTTTGTTCTTTTTTGGTTTTTGGATTTTGTTTCGCCTACTCATAAGGGTGCGGCTTTGGTCGGGATGAACAAAATTATTAATATTTTTTTGAAATTGAAGGGGAAATCCTAAAATTGTGGGTGTTAATGTTTGTTGACAAAGTCGTTTGAAGTGCAACAACGTGGGTGTGGTAAAAAAGAGACCAAAAAGATATAATTTTTAGAATTTGAGAGCGAGATCTGACTGCTTGTAAGCGCAATAGGACGGTTACCATTTTTTTCGACAAGTCATTCTGGGGTGTGGTAAGAGGAGATCAAAACCAAAGATTCAAAAATTCTTGCTATTTTATCTACAGCGGCGGACCTGATCCATTGGATGAAAACGTACCATTTTGCATCCGGGAAGTATTAAAAATGCAGCAAAATACCTCCTTCTTCAAGTGAAAAGCTCCGATTTCAAAAGTGCGCCCACTCTTTTTTTGAGTAAAAGGGCGCAGTTCAAAACGAAGTTTTTTTGTTGGAGAGGGAGGCATTTTGCCACATTTTTGATACTTCCCGGATGCAAAATTATACGTTTTTGCCACTGGATCAGGTCCCTCACTGTAGCAGCATTTTTCAAATTAAACTTTTTTATGAATGTATTAAAATACGTTTCAGTAGCTGAATTGTAAAAATAATCCGTCTTATGCTCATTTATGATGTTTATTCCAAATAAAAACTGTTAAATCCTCTTTGGTTCGCCGCTAATGACAAGAATAAAATACATATAAGAAAATTACTTTTTAGCGGATTGAGCAAGGAAATGACGGATTTTCGCATTTAGGGGTCAAGAAATATCCTATAAAAATAATTTCTCATCGTTTTTTACTCTAAATGTGAGTTTTTACTTTTTTATGCTACCAAGTTGACCTCAAAAAATGTACAAAGAATAGTAGAAGAACTACTCGTATTTTAAAATTCATATTCTTTTGCAAATTGTTCCTTGCTCTCCAAAAATTGGCCACCAAATCCAGGAAATGAATTCATAATTTATGAATCAACCCTGCCTTGCGGCCTTGATTTTTCTCTAAATTTTTGTCTCTTTCTTGATTGGAAAAGCAAAAAAATTTAATTTACTTTTTACGGGCTGTCATTGTAAGACTGTTTTTGGAACAAACCATGCGTTCTGAGGAAATTGATTGCAATTTTCAATGTTTTTCTTAATTTTCACGTAACAAATTTGGGAAATTTTGATTTTTGAGTAAAAGTTCACCGAACTTTTACCTCGAAATTGATCCTAGTTAAATCTAAGGATGACAGAATCTCTGTCTAGTAACATTTTTAGCATTTTCTATCCAAATTCCAACGCCTACGTCAACTTTCTTACACATCCATGGGATGACTATTCGCTAGTGTTTTAGTCATCTCGTTCCGCGATATTTCAGGCAAACTTAGCTTTAAGAATTATTCCAAACAATATTTGTAGCGTTTGCTCGCCTCTGGGTACTGTATTCCGCAGCAGAAATTTGAAGGAAGCCTTAGAAAATCTCGGACAACATCAGATATCAAGTGTAATATAGCGAGATGGAGAAGGAGAAATGTAAGTGCTTTTATTTTTAGGGTGTGATATTAGGTCCTATCTTTCCATTTTTGGCCATTTTATTTCACAAATGCATTTGCAAATGTGCACCTTCTTCTTTTAATATAGAGGAACAGTTGACTCATAACTAATAATGGGTCAAGTCTCCCGCTGATGCGCGAATTTTTCCCGAATTGCGAGAAATTCTCGAGAAAATAAAAATTTATGCGTTCGGCGCAAAATTATATTATTCAGGGCGACCCTCCACACATCTCCAAGCCCCGTTCGAACGGTTTCTCGGACCATGACCTCCTTTTCCAGCCGTTTCCACCCCAAAAATCTCTTCTCGCGGCCTTTTTCTGGTCCCCTCAAGGTTTTCATTGTTCCCGCGCTGCCTCGGACACTAATTTCCGTGGCCCTGAATGTGTTTACTTCCGAGATTATAACACCAAACGAGCTAATTTCACGAAATTCGAGATGATTTCGTTGCACGGCATTCTGTACTTTTGGGACACAACCGATCTCCGCGACTTTTTCTATTTTTTTCGCAGTGTGCGTTGTTTCAAACACGAAACGCCATTTTTTATTTTTACGGCGTTGTTTATACAAATATATTGCTTGCGGGTGTTTTGGCGGGTTGAGTCAGAGCATTTTATTGTTTTCGAAGTCGGAAAAGAACATTTTTAGTCGTCTTTAGTGGCTATTTTGCGTTATTTTTCTTTCTTTCCTCTAGTATAAGGTGCAGTTCCGGAAGTGGGCGGTAATTTTAAGCTGCTGATCCGGAATTTTTGCTGATTGTAGCTAATGCAATCACAGAGATTTACTGTAATTTTTGTTACTTTTTTGAGGTATTTCCTGTTGTTGTAATCCATTGTTTATAGTTTTTGTTGCGGGTGGAAGAAATTGTTTCTTCTGGATGCATGTCGGAGAACTCTGCCCGAAATGAGTTTGTAATTAGAATGAATCACCAAAATTTCGTTTTGTCAGTTTCCAATTAGACTTTAGTTTCAAATTTTATATTGCACTAGACGAATAGGAAAATTATCGAAATTTTAGGTGTGAATTGTCTGAATCTTTCATGTTTCTTGTTTATTATCTCGAATTTGCCTTAGTAAACCTTAGTCTTCTGATTTCGAGACCTAATTATCACTTTCGAATATTAATTTACCTTGCTTTAGTGGTCCACAAAAACGATCAGCTGAACGAGTTGCTAGCCATGGGTTGGCTAGACCATCTCGCTCCAGTGGTCACTAGTGGCATTTTGATGGTGGCTTGTTGGTCCATTGGTCATTACGGCTTCTCAATTATTTGGATTGGAATTTTGACACTGTTGTACTTCATCAAGACAAGGATGTGGGTTACGAGGCAAGAAGCTCGACTGAATATGAGGAAACAGATTCTGCGTGAACGAGGGCTAATTGGAGTTGGTAACAAGAGTGATGAATTGCCAAGTTGGATAAGGTTTCCCGATACAGAGCGAATTGAATGGGTCAATCAGGTTAGATTTTGGCGTTTTTATTGTAATTTTAGGCACAAAGCAAAGATTGTGTTTAATAAGTTGTGATAGACCCTCCTGAAGCTAATGAGCTTTTGGTTTTAGGTGTTGAAGCAACTGTGGCCCTTTATTTCCCAGTATTCTGCTCAATTCATGCGAGAATTCATCGAACCTCAAGTTCTTGAGCAAATGCCCTCTCCATTCAAATCTTTCAAGTTCTTGGACATCGATATGGGTGATATGCCCTTCCGAGTTAGTGGGCTGAAGGTATACACGCATAATGTTGGAAGGGATCGGATTATTGTTGATCTGGATGTGGCTTATGCCGGAGATGCCGAGTTCAAGGTGAAGACCTGCGGATTTACTGGTGGAATGAATGAACTTGTGGTGAGTGAGATTTTTTTCTTCTTCTTGCATTTTTAGGCGGAACGTGAAGGTTTTTTTACATCGTTTCTTATATTATTTATGTTGTTTTAGCTCTCCGGAAAAGTCAGATGTGTTCTTTGCCCATTATTGCCTCAACCACCGATGATTGGTGGATTCTCAGCCTCATTTGTCGAACTTCCCAAGTTTGACTTTAATTTGACCGGAATGGGCGACTTTCTTCAACTTCCCCTTCTGATGGATGCCATCAGATCAATTATCAATGCTCAGATGGCTAATTTGTGTGTCTTGCCCAATTCAATTGTTATTCCATTGGTTCCAAATGTTGATGTGAATAAGCTGAACGTACCAATTCCAGATGTAAGTGTGATTTTTGATTGTTTTTTTATTGTTTTAGGGAGTTCTTCGGATCAAAATTGTTGAGGCGCGGAATTTGGAGAACAAAGATGTTTCATTCCTCACCAAGGACAAGAGTGATCCCTACTGCGAAGTTCAATGTAAGCCGAGCAAAAATTTTGTGACTTTTTTATCTTTGATACCTAGATTATGTTGCACTTGATTTTAACTTCCATGTTTTTAGTGGGATCTCAGCTTTTCAAGACCGAAACGATCAATAATGATTTGAATCCCGTCTTCAATGAATATTTTGAAGCCATTGTGGATCAAGCATCAGTTCAGAAATTGAGATTGAACATGTTCGATGAGGATACAACGAGACAAGATGAAGAACTTGGTCGACTTTCAATCCCATTGTCTTATGTTAGAAAGCAGAAGTTGGTCTCAAAAGTAAGCAAATTCTCATTTGTTTTTATGCCTTTAGTGGTTCCATCTCGAAGCCTGCAAACATGGCGAACTTTACGTCAAACTTTTTTGGTGCGACCTGAGTTCGGAGAATAAAGGATCGATCCCAAATGATAGCGAATGGCTCTCAACGAACAAGACTGTCCACACTTTATTGCTGATGGCATTCGTCGACAATGTGAGGGAACTTCCGTATCCAAAAGCCAACCTGGAGCCGTCTCCGGTCCTGGACTTTACCATTGGAAATACGACTCAAAGAACCCCCGTGAAAGTGAAAACAGTCAACCCGATTTACCAGTTCAAGTGCTATTTCTTTGTCCAGAACGCTGAATATAAAGAGTTGACTGTGAAGGTATGTTTTTTAGAGAAAAGAGACTTGATTTATATTGTGCTTGATGATATTGAAAACTTTTAGGCCATCGATTCCACAACGACTAAACCACTTGGAGAATTGAGCATTTCCCTTGGCTATCTGATGGAACAGCCAGAAATGGAAGTGTTTGATAAAGTGTTCCAACTCAGGCATGGAGTCAGCGTCAGTCATATTACACTGACTTTGAGGGCAAGGGTAAGACATTTTTGAGTTCTTTTTTTGACTTTAGGCCCTGTATGGAAGATGAAGTCTAATAGCTGCGGTTTTAGCATATTGTCCCCTCTCATGGTGACTCGGCCAGCCTCTCAGGCACCTCTGACGACATTTCTCAATATGCGAATGCCTCTCACATCGAAAGAGCATATGATTTGAAACAAGAAAACAATAATATCCATGTCAACTCCAATGGGGTCCACAAAGACCAAAAGGATGATGTCATGGCCCCAGAACCGGGAAAGATCCCAGAAGTGAATGAGAAGCTACATCCTGAATCGAAAAATCAATTGAATACGGGGAGATATCAGACGTTGGACCGAAAAGCAAGCTTTGGGTCGCAATCCAGCTATCAGAAGGGAGATAATAAATTGAATAGACTGTTGAAACCGAAGTTCCGAAAGTAAGTTTATGTTGATGTAGTTGGTGATGGGTAGTAATGGAATTTTGTGAACGATTAAAGGGATGGAATTAATTTGGGGGACCGTTTATGGCATTTGAAGTTTTTGGGGAACTTTTTGAGCCAGAAATTGAGGAATTCTATATCGTTTTAGGTGATTTTAGGTATAATTTTTTTTGATAAAATTGTTTTGATTCATTGATTTAGTAAAAGTAGAAGTCCCAGTATCGCAAGAATCCTAAGACCAGTCAGTAAAAGGCATCAGTTGTAAGTAGTGGCGAGAAAAATATTAACAAAGGGATTTGTGAGGCTCGAAAAATATAAATTGATTTGTCTTATTAATAACAACCCCGATTGAAATAATTTTTGAAGTGATTTTGATATGTTATAACCCTGATCTTTTTTTAATTTTGATGAATTATTTGTTGTTTTTAGAGGCCAACGAGACAGCTCCAAACCAGTCGGAAGGCTCCAAGTGAACCTAAAATATGACGAACCTGGCCATAAATTGCTGGTTGATGTAATCACGTTAGAGTAAGTTGAACGCAATGGAATCTGAACGCGTATTTTACCTAACTTCGAAAAAAAATTATGATTTTTTCCCACAGAAATTAATTTATATGGTTTTAGTGAGCTGGTCCCCCTGGCTTCGGATGGGTCTGTCTCCCCATACGTTCAAGTCAAATTGATACCTCATAGATCCAACCATGCACGAGCAAAGAAACGAACTAACACGGTAGTGAATAGTGGGCCGAAATTGGCCTTCAACACCGAGCTGGATTTCGAGATTGATTCGAATGACATAGCTCAATATAAGATGAAATTTTCGGTCAAAGACTCATTGAACTATGGAGTCTTGTCCAGGACACCGACTTTGGGAGAGGTAAGGAATATCTTTGATGCTTTTGGAAATTTTGAAATTGCATTTTTCACAATATTTTTGATGTTTTGAATGAGTTGATCTCAAAAAATTTTTATTTTTCAGTCTGAACTTCCCTTGACCAATTTCCACCCATCGAAGCCAATCCTAGGCCATTGGTTGAACCTAGAAGCCCCGAGGGAATAGTGAACCATCAACTAACATGAACTGAATGCTCGGTGCAACCAAAAAACCCGACAAAAGAGATATGGTTTTAGATTTTTCAATATTTTCAAGGATTTTTTTTCAAGTTAACGACAATTTTTGTTAGTTTTACTTCGTTTTCTGCCTTTGCCATGTAATTCTTGCACTTATTTTTATATTTTTTGCTCATTTTTTCTTACCACATTGTTAAAATTCGGGTCCCAAATAATTTTGTAAATACTGTATATCTCACCCAAATTTTGCCTTTACTCTGTTTTTTTTATACTTACCTGTTTGATCTTATATATTGTTCAAGCGCTTCGTAACCCATTATTTTGCCTCATTTTGTGATAGAAAATCTTACATGACCAAAGTATTGTGATACACGAGAAATGGAAGAGAAAACTGTGAATAAATATATATTTTTGAGATGAGATTGTAGATTTTGGCATTTGTTTTTGATGTTGAATTTCCCTATGATATTTATAATGATGGTTTGTTGATTTCCGTGGATGTTTTGGGGATAATTTGGACAGGGATAAGGTTGAAAACGATCAGAAAACCTCTTACTATTGGAGGGTGCTGGGTGAATTTTCTAATAGAAAATTTGCATAAAACTTGGCAGTACTGAAAAATAGATTTTTAAAACACCATTTCTGACTCACTGAATCAGCCGTGTGCAAGGCCGGGACATAGGAAATTTTCGATTTTGAGATTTACAGCTGGATATGACCGCACCCATCATATAAGTGTGTCCCTGAAGCCTTTTGCCCTAATTCTCCCGTTAACCTAGTTTTATTTACAATTTAAGCAATTTACAGTAACGTCAAATAACTCAAAATTGAGAAGATACTGAGCCGTAAAATTGTTACCATGTATGTTTTTGGGCACTGGGAATCCAATGGAGGTGGTTTTGGGTCGAAAGGATTACTGTAACATAGCAAACTTGCGCTTCGGCCGCACAAAATCGGCCGTAAAAAAGTTGTTTCTGAAAACCCACAGCTGAATTTTTGATATGTTGATCAGCATAAAATTCTGCCCTAGAAACATTAAAAAAAAGTCCAAAAATGCGGGGGGGCTATTTTCGTGGTATAGTGGATTTTGACAAAAACTACCAATCTGACGGCCCGAGTTCGAGTCCGGGTGGACGCAAATCGCTTAGAATTGGTCGGGAATGTCTTTAAAGGCGCGGATATGGAAGATGGAGTCTATTTCAGGTGATTTTGATAACAATCCGGCAGTTTTCAGATTTTTTTGTGGAAAAAAGGCGAAAATACAACTTTTTGACAAATCGTATTTTCTACGGCTGTTTTGCGTTCATGACAGAATAAGAACTTATATGTAGTGTTTTTAAGGCGTTTCCAATAAGTAGAAACCATTTTCTGAGTATTTAGATATTATACTAGGTACCTGTTAATTTTGCCTCTTGCAGGCATCTGTAGTAACGAAACTTGGCTAATGACAACGTAATTCACTGTTTTATGACCATATTTCACATTTTTTTCAGAAAATGGCTCATCATCGAAGTAATTGGCTTTATAGAAAAATCGATGAAATGCGGAGAAAATTTCGTTTTCAAACTAGGTTTCTTGTGGTTAGCCGTGAAATAATTTAAATTTTATGCTAGTTATAACCTTTGTAGACAATTTGTCAAGTCAGAGCGAAAAAAATTGCAACCTGGATGGTCTATGCACTGTTGCTTATCAGATGTCAAGTACAATATAAAAAAAAATTTTTTTGACGGGTTTAATTGCCGAAAACTCCCTTCAAACGATTAAATATAAGTTCTTATTCTTTCATGAACGCAAAACAGCCGTGTAAAATACGATTTGTCAAAAAGTTGTATATTCGCTTTTTTTCCACCAAAAAATCTGAAAACTGTCAGAAGCTCATCAAAATCACCTAAAATAAGCTCAAGCTTGTATATTCCCTCCATAAAAGTCATTCCCGACCAATTCTCAGTGATTTGCGTCCACCCGGACTCGAACTCGGGCCGTCAGATTGGTAGATTTTGTCAAAATCCACTATACCACGAAAATAGCCCCCCGCATTTTTGGACTTTTTTTTAATGTTTCTAGGGCAGAATTTTATGCTGATCAACATATCAAAAATTCAGCTGTGGGTTTTCAGAAACAACTTTTTTACGGCCGATTTTGTGCGGCCGAAGCGCAAGTTTGCTATGTTACAGTAATCCTTTCGACCCAAAACCACCTCCATTGGATTTCCAGTGCCCAAAAACATACATGGTAACAATTTTACGGCTCAGTATCTTCTCAATTTTGAGTTATTTGACGTTACTGTAAATTGCTTAAATTGTAAATAAAACTAGGTTAACGGGAGAATTAGGGCAAAAGGCTTCAGGGACACACTTATATGATGGGTGCGGTCATATCCAGCTGTAAATCTCAAAATCGAAAATTTCCTATGTCCACGGCTAATTCACCGAGTCAGAAATCGTGTTTTAAAGGCTTGAGTCAGATTTTAAGCCCGCGCTTTGTAAAATTCGCCGTGATCAGGTCCGAAACTGAAATGTTGTCTTCTCTATGCAGAATTTCGGGGAGTGGTTTATTGGCTGATAATTCTATAATATTGCTTATTTTCTAAACTAAACCCTAATTCCCTCTCTTTCTAACATCTTGCGATGAATCGCTAAACTACAAAACTGCGTTAGATAAAAAGCCCAAAAATGGGAGTTTTTTTATTTGTTCTTCTTATTTTTCGTTTTTCCTAAATTGCTTATTCCTTTGGGCGACTAACTAGGGAAGTGTACAAAGGAACCCTCACCAAATGGCAAGTGATATACTAGTCGCGGAAAAAAGTCCTGGGATTTTTCTGCGACTCTGCACTGTGCATGAACCCGAAAAGTGCATTTGCACAGTGCAATTTTGTTGATGTTGGCTTATTGTCGCGCGCGATTCCCGCGACAAATCAACTTTTCGGAGCGCGACGGAATTTGGGGGGCGCGAGAAAATCCCAGGACTTTTTTCCGCGACTAGTACTAGTCGCGGAAAAAAGTCCTGGGAATTTCTCGCGCCCCCCAAATTCCGTCGCGCTCCGAAAAGTTGATTTGTCGCGGGAATCGCGCGCGACAATAAGCCAAAATCAACAAAATTGCACTGTGCAAATGCACTTTTCGGGTTCATGCACAGTGCAGAGTCGCAGAAAATTCCCAGGACTTTTTTCCGCGACTAGTACACCATTGGAAAGCCCTTGAAAAATGGTGCAAGATACTAGTCGCGGAAAAAAGTCCTTAGAATTTTTCGCGGCCCCCAAATCTCGTCGCACCCCGAAATGTTGATTTGTCGCGGGAATCGAGCGCGACAATAAGGCAAAATCAACAAAATTGCACAGTGCAAAATGTGTTTTCGGGTGAATGCACAGTGCGGAGTCGCAGAAAAATCCCAGGACTTTTTTCCGCGACTAGTATCAGTCTGTCGGAAAAATAACGGCGGATCGTCGCATCAAAATGTCTCGCCTCGCCGCTATCGCGCACGAAATCCCCAGTCGCGGCTTGCAGTCGCAAAGCGATGATGGGCGATTCCGAGGCGCGACGATCCGCCGTTATTTTCCCGACAGACTGATACCATTTTCATTTTTTGCAGAATGCCTTTCCGCGACGACATACTGTAAATTTCATTATTTTTATGTCATTTCGCAACAAAAATCTTTCTTTCTCTTGAGCGGATAAAAATCCTCGAAGAGGGTCGCTTCAATAGTGCAGTGGTTGCTGAGCAGGCTGAAAAACCAAAGCAAGCTAGGCTCGATTCCCAGCCTGGGCAACGTTTTGCGTTTTTACAGTTAGGAAAATATTTGAGTTAAACTTTTACAAACGCTTTAATTTTTTTAGAAAACGGTCGATTACGGTTAAAACCATCAAACTTACATGTTTTTCAAAATTAAAAAAAAGTGAAAAGTGTTTTTTCACGTCATGGGTGTTTAAAACCAGTAAATATCATATGTAAAATGGTTTTACTGGCAAGCGCCAAACTTCATAATGAATATTAGGCCAACCTAGTAGCGATATTTACCGTTTAGCGTTTTGAAATAAGATTTATTTTGCCCCACAGCAGGTATTGTAACTATTTAAAACACGATTTCTGAGTCACTGTATCAGCCGTGGACATTCAAAAAAATCGATTTTGAGATTTTTGTTTTAAAATGACCGGGGGCATCCTACTAGCACATAACCATAACATTTTTGCCCAATTCTCCCGTTAACCTACTGTAATTTACAATAATATGATTTTACAGTAATCGGATATTACTCAAAAAGTACGCATCGTAATTGGCTGAAATCGGTATTATAAAGGTTTTGGCACCTTGGCATTACAATAGAAGTCGAATTTTGGCTGTCGGGTTACTGTAACATAGTGAAACCTTGGTTCGGCCGCACAAAATCGGCCATAAAAAATTTGTTTCTGAAAACCCACAGCCAATTTTTGGATATGTTAATAAGCATAAAATTCTGCTATAGAAACATTAAAAAAAAGTGCAAAATGTCATAACACCATTTTCGTGGTATAGTGGATTTTGGTCAAAATTTGTAATCTGAAGGTCCCGGGTTCGATTCCCACTGGACGAAAAATGTGAGAGGCTGCATAGAAACTTAGGAAATCGCCCCAGATGGGTTTGTTATACACATTTGAGCCATATAAGACTATATCCAAGGTGGTAATGCAAATTTTAACGTATTTTTTGAAGGTAAAATGAGCGTTTTTCTTTTATAGGATTTTCCAGCAAGCTCAGTTGCAGAAAAACGGTAAAACTAAAATAGGTAGGGTTTTCGAGCATACTCAATTCAACGAAAGCGATTTTTCGGAGCCAAAGTTACTGTAACATAGAAAAACAAGGTTTCGGCCGTTAAAAATCGGCTGTAAAATTTTTCTTTTTATCGTTAAGCTGACGGTTATTCGATTTTCGGAATCACCGTAAAATTCTGCTCTAGAAACAATCAAGAAACGATCTTTTTATAAACAACACTTAATTTTGTGGGGAATTACTTTTAAATTTTAAAATTGTAAATAAAAGTATGTTAACGAAGGAATTAGAGTAAAATAGTTTAAAGACAAGCTTAAGCCACGAATTCAATTAATTTTAGGCTAAAAACTCAAAAAAATTTTTTTTTATTTTCGCACAAGATTTATGAACTTGGAAATTTCGGTGCAAGCGTAAAAAAATTGTGAAATACAAAAAGTGGAGTTAAGATACACTATAAGATGTCTCTAAGGCAGAATTTTACGGTGATTCCGAAAATCGAATAACCGTCAGCTTAACGATAAAAAGAAAAATTTTACGGCCGATTTTTAACGGCCGAAACCTTGTTTTTCTATGTTACAGTAACTTTGGCTCCGAAAAATCGCTTTCGTTGAATTGAGTATGCTCGAAAACCCTACCTATTTTAGTTTTACCGTTTTTCTGCAACTGAGCTTGCTGGAAAATCCTATAAAAGAAAAACGCTCATTTTACCTTCAAAAAATACGTTAAAATTTGCATTACCACCTTGGATATAGTCTTATATGGCTCAAATGTGTATAACAAACCCATCTGGGGCGATTTCCTAAGTTTCTATGCAGCCTCTCACATTTTTCGTCCAGTGGGAATCGAACCCGGGACCTTCAGATTACAAATTTTGACCAAAATCCACTATACCACGAAAATGGTGTTATGACTTTTTGCACTTTTTTTTAATGTTTCTATAGCAGAATTTTATGCTTATTAACACATCCAAAAATTGGCTGTGGGTTTTCAGAAACAAATTTTTTATGGCCGATTTTGTGCGGCCGAACCAAGGTTTCACTATGTTACAGTAACCCGACAGCCAAAATTCGACTTCTATTGTAATGCCAAGGTGCCAAAACCTTTATAGTACCGATTTCAGCCAATTACGATGCGTACTTTTTGAGTAATATCCGATTACTGTAAAATCATATTATTGTAAATTACAGTAGGTTAACGGGAGAATTGGGCAAAAATGTTATGGTTATGTGCTAGTAGGATGCCCCCGGTTATTTTAAAACAAAAATCTCAAAATCGATTTTTTTGAATGTCCACGCCTAACTGGCGGCAGATTCACTGACTCAGAAATTGAGTTTTAAGGGAGAAATCAACCGTTTATAATTTTTTGCCCTGAGGCATCCTGCAAAGAATGAAAATGGTACCTTTCACCATTTTTCAAGGGCTTTCCAATGGTGTATAACACTTGCCATTTGGCGACGTTCGTTTGTACACTTCCCAAGTAAGTTGCATTTGTCATAAAAGGTGTGTTCCTTTGCAGATTTTGCTACATTTTTTCTTTTTAGCCTAAACGTTTGTTTAGGATGAAGTTGCGCAACGAATGCGCACTGCATATGATACGAAATTTTATTATTTTGAATGACCCTGGTAATAAAGAAGTTTGCCCGCTTAAAATTCCGGTAAGTCCGCCCTAGGTTTTGTTATTCGTTTTTAGCTAATAGCTCGTCGATACCTTGTGCTTATTTTTGAACGCTCCGGTTACATTTACGTTCTTCGAATGCGTTTATTTCTCCTTAAGGTTGGAGGGTACCTTGATCGGATACGTTTTAATGCATTGGGTAGGTGTGCTTTTGAGACAATCGCTTGAAAGTTAGGTCTTTGAACATCCCCTTACAAGGGCTCGGCAAAACCTCGTCCCCTGGTTTCTTCCTGAAACATATACCATTTGAAAGAGCGCAAAAAACTGGTCTAGGATCACCTTCAATTAGCTGCTAAGATTCACTTACGTGCTAGCTAGCGGACTTTTTTTCAAAATTCCCAATTAGACTTTGGGAACCTTTTCTTCTGGGATGCCAACGAGATCGAATAATCACTTTTCATACAAATATTAGTCACCTATGGTAATGGAGGCTTCAATCAAGATCAAAAAACATAAAGTTTTTTCCGAGCTTGAAACTCTCAGGTCGAAGCCTTCAACGAGTGATTAGGCGATGTTTTAGGTCTTGTAAACCGAGACATACTAGGAGGTTTCAAACATGTATACCGTTTTCAGGCTCGCTTTTCACGTACTGTCCGTAAATGGGCATTCCTGGCAAAAAATATTAAAGCCGTTGAAAGTTGCGACCATTTTGGATGCCCACTTCAGGGTCAAAGACACCTTTATCACAAAAAATTAAAAAACCTGTCCATTTTTCTAATAAAACTAATCTAGGGTACCCCAAAAATCAATTTAAAATTAAAGAATACATGCGAGCCTTCTTCATTCCATAATAGCCAAAAAAATCCAATGATTCAAAAGAGGATTCGAACCAGGTCCGCAGGTCCTCCTTGTAAAGCGCCTTACCCCACTAGGCCACCGACGCACTGCTTCGCCGTGCTTTTGAAATCGATTCCTTTTGTTTTCTTGAAAGAAGGGTGAGACTGGCTTAGAACTAAAAAATGCTCGCTAGCTGGTTGAACCTGAACTCTACCCCTTTTCTGAACTTTACCCCTTTTTCAACTCTACCCCTTTTTGAACTTTACCCCTTCAGAACTTTACCCCTTTTTCAACTCTACCCCTTGAATGAACTTTACCCCTTTTTGAACACTACCCCTCATTTTGAAAATTGAAAAAATGAGATGTGACACCTTATACGATGAAAATTTTTTTCAAATTGAAAATAATAAGGTGTGACATCTTATACGATGAAAAAGTTTTTCAAATTGAGAAAAATCAGGCGTGACATCTTATACGATGAAATTTTTTTTCAAATTGAAAATAATAAGGTGTGACATCTTATATGATGAAAATTTTTTTCAAATTGAAAATAATCAGGTGTGACATCTTATATGATAAAAATTTTTTTCAAATTGAAAATAATAAGGTGTGACATCTTATATGATGAAAATTTTTTTTCAAATTGAAAATAATAAGGTGTCCCACCTTATACGATGAAAATTGTTTAACGGTCGAATAGTATTTATTTTGCTAAAATCATATGTACAGGGTGGTTCAGCTAAGTTCGCGGATGTAAAATGCTTATAACTTTTTATCGGATTGTTCAATTTTTATGAGCAATAGCTCATTTTATTCCTTAGTAGTTACCATTTTGTTTAAAAAAAAGATCATTAAAAATGATCAGTCCTACGTCGAGTTATGACCCTTCAAAGTCAAACATGCTTTTTCACGCAAATTTTAAAAAAATTTGATTTTCAAAAATTTTTGAATTTTGAAAACTGTAATAAAAACTGAGCTATTCAACGTTGAGATATCCGGAAAAAAATTTTAGTGAAGTTGCTACACAAAATTCTAAGACTTTTGGCATCAGCGGATAGTTGAAATTTTTCGTTTCCGGCGAGCTGCGCTCTGTTAAAAGTGGGATTTTTTAATCGTTTTTTTCGCCGTAACTTTTGACATTTTTTAGGTAGCCCTTAGCTTTTTGGCTATTGTCATCAGCGAATGGGGCCGAAACTTTGCGTTTTTTCGAAATTTGCATATCTATGCCCTCCGGATATCACCCCTAACGGTTGGAATTTTCGGATTTTTTTTTGATTCCATCGTATTCTACGCAAAATTCTATGACTTCTGAAGCCCATTTACAATTTACAATTATCGACCGGTCGAAAGTTATAAGCGCTTTTCGAGATTTTTCGGAAATTTTGAGATTGAAGCGTGAAAAAGCATGTTTGACTTTGAAGGGTCATAACTCGACGTAGGATTGATCATTTTTAATGATCTTTTTTTTAAATAAAATGGTAACTACTAAGGAATAAAATGAGCTATTGCTCATAAAAATTGAACAATCCGATAAAAAGTTATAAGCATTTTACATCCGCGAACTTAGCTGAACCACCCTGTACTTATGTGTTTATGGTGTATATCGCTTCCTTTGCGTAAGGTTTCTGGTTGGTCTCTCTTGCTGGGGCATTGTGTGGGGGTTCTCGCAAGTTACCGCGGTAGTAGCCGGCTGATTCGTCTTTGCACTCTGTTTATTAACAGTTGAACGCAATTTGAAAAAAAATTTCATCATATAAGATGTCACACCTTATTATTTTCAATTTGAAAAAAAATTTCATCGTATGAGATGTCACACCTGATTATTTTCAATTTGAAAAAAATTTTCATCGTATAAGATGTCACACCCTATTTTTGTCGATTTGAAAAAAATTTTCATCGTATAAGATGTCACACCTGATTATTTTCAATTTGAAAAAAATTTTCATCATATAAGATGTCACACCTTATTATTTTCAATTTGAAAAAAAATTTCATCGTATAAGATGTCACACCTGATTATTTTCAATTTGAAAAAATTTTTCATCGTATAAGATGTCACACCTGATTATTTTCAATTTGAAAAAAAATTTCATCATATAAGATGTCACACCTTATTATTTTCAATTTGAAAAAATTTTTCATCGTATAAGATGTCACACCTGATTATTTTCAATTTGAAAAAATTTTTCATCGTATAAGATGTCACACCTGATTATTTTCAATTTGAAAAAATTTTTCATCATATAAGATGTCACACCTGATTATTTTCAATTTGAAAAAATTTTTCATCGTATAAGATGTCACACCTGATTATTTTCAATTTGAAAAAATTTTTCATCGTATAAGATGTCACACCCTATTTTTGTCGATTTGAAAAAAAAAAACATCGTATAAGATGTCACACCTCATTATTTTCAATTTGAAAAAAATTTTCATCATATAAGATGTCACACCTGATTATTTTCAATTTGAAAAAAAAATTCATCGTATAAGGTGTCACACCTCATTATTTTCAATTTGAAAAAAAAATTCATCGTATAAGATGTCACACCTGATTTTTCTCAATTTGAAAAAATTTTTCATCGTATAAGATGTCACACCTTATTTTCTCAATTTTCAAAATGGGGTAGTGTTCAAAAAGGGGTAGAGTTCAGATTTTTTGGCGAAAATCAAAAAAGGGGTAGAGTTCAGCCTTTTTTGGGGTAGAGTTGAAAAAGGGGTAAAGTTCAGATTGGGGTAAAGTTCAGAAAAGGGGTAGAGTTCTGCCGCAACGCTCGCTAGCTAGTATGTAAGAGAATCTTAGCAGCTAACTAAAGGTGATCATAGACCAGTTTTTTACGCTCTTTCAAATGGCATATGTTTCAAGAAGAAACCAGGGGACGAGGTTTTGCCGAGCCCTTGTTAGTTTAAAATTGACTGTTGAGACCTCTGATATTGGTTTTTATGTACAGGTTTTGTTGCAAAGACGTTAAATTGTATATTCAAGGTTCAATACAAGCCTGAACTCTTTACGTATTTTTTTCATAAAGTGCATGGAAAATTTTTCGTTTTTGCACGGTTCATCTTGGACTTTTTTCGACGCTTGTCGTCAATGCAAACCTCAAAAAAACCCCCGTTTGCACTGTAAGTACTAGTCCGTTTGTAAAGTCGCTGGAATGTTTTCGGCGACATGCACTCCGCGAAACCGAAAGTTCACTTTGCACTGTGCAATTTTTGGCTTTTTGCACAGTGCAATAGGCTTTTTCGAGCTGTCGCTCGCACCCTGAGTTTTCTTGCACAGTGCACGTCGCCTTCCAGCGACTTTACGAACGGACTAGTAATATAACTGAGAAAATTTCTCTCTAGATGTAGAGGAAGAAGACCACAAAATCAAACATCAAACTCCGCTGATTAAACTCTTAAAGCTTGTCTATTCCATGCCGGAGATTGAGCCAGGAAAAAAGAGATACATAGGTCAATTACAAGTGGAAACATCAACCTACAAACACTCTTTATTCGTAATGCGCGCGTTGTTTTGTAAGTCCGGATTTGTGAGTTTCCTCTAGTTTTTACAACTATTGCAGATGACCGAATTCCAACCGTTTATAGAGACGGCGGTGCTCTATCTCGAGAATATTATGACTTACTTTCCAAAGAATTCGATTTTTATGTAGACAGGGTAGAAGGAAGGAGCTGGGCTCTTCATCCTTTGGGGTCTAATCCAGATGATCCTAGGGTTTTTCGGGGCGTTGAAGTCTTTGGTATGGATCAGTATGACTGTGAGTAAATGTATATATGAATGAATCTATGTTTCAAGATTGTCCACATGTCTTTAACATCAAAACAAAAGATTTGAGAATACACCTGGACAACATTGCCTTATATGATACGTAAGATATCCGTCTTTCTTTCAGACCATGTCGTTACGGTGTCTTCTTTAGCCTTCCAGAAATGCCTCATCTGGAGACTATGTTTTGTCATATAAACCCGATCGGCCTTTATGACTACTCCGTTGCCTCTTCGCATTACGAGAAATTAGCGGAACGCTTGGCCATTGCAGCTCCATATCTGTATTGCATTGGTCTGAAGATGAATTGCGCCATAAATTGTAATGTAAGACTTTCAAACTCTGCATTAAAATTTTAGAGCCTTGAAAACGGAGAGAAAGCATTTATCCGAGCACTGTCGTCGCTTGAGCTTGCTGTCGATGGGTTGAATCAGCACATCTTAGTTGATCCGAAATTTTTCAATATCACATTATTTCTTCCCGCAAAAGCAAGAGTGAGTTCAATTTGCTGGCCAAAATAGCACAAAAGTCTTCGAGTTTTCGTATTTGACTCAGTCATTTAGGAGGAGCTCCCGGCAAGAGTTGAATCAACAGTCATCGATGAAGATGAATCCTTAGGCGTTGATGTCAACGACGAATTGAACCACGATGTTTGCGCACATTTCAAACGCTTAATGTATTGGCACATTAATGAAGCGGGCATACCGGATTATCTAGAGTTGGAAACGAATATGCATTTCCGATTTCTCTTTGATGATGGCGTTGATGCTGAACACCGCCGTGACAAACGGATTGACCCTCAGAATGGGTACCATTTTTGGGTTGACCGGTTTTAAGGGCCAACTGTGAGCATTCCGGATATTGTGATAGCGTTTGTTTTTGCAACCTTATAAATTATAATACCAAGCGTGAAAATTGTTGTGTTTTTGCAAGAATTCAGAGTAGATAATGGGCTCACGTCAATCCAAAATAGAAGAAAAAATTTCCCGCCCCCCTTTTGGTGATTCGTCCAAAACGAAATGTCACTATCCGATAAAAAGCGTTTTTTTATCTTTCTTTCATCTTCCTTTTCGAAGGAAATGCGTTGGATTGACATGGGGCTTAATATTTCGACCTTATTGCTTTTGGATATCTGGCTTTGCAACGTATTCCTTTCTCTCTAACTTTTCCGATCGATCTTCACTAGACCAATTGCACAATTAATTTTTTCTTATTAGCATTTTCACAAAGTGTATGGACATCATTTCGCTTTCGCACAGTGCATCTTGAACTTTTGTCGCCGACGCACTGTGGATTTTTGCATTTGCGCACCGTGCAAACCCCAAAAAAGCCCATTGCACTGTGCACATTTTTGATCAAAATCGCGGCGGCGCAGTTGAGAAAAGCTTACGTCGCAGCGATATTTCAAATGCACAGTGCAAAACCAAAAAAAGGTGAGTGCACGATGCAAAAAATTGGGTTGTTTGTGCACGGTGCGGGCCGCGACAAATGTCCACGCACTTTATGAAAAATGCAGGATCGAGCGTTCAAAAAGCTTCCATTTACCTCCTGGAGGCATTTTGAATACCGCCAAATAACTCCCTTCATGGCCTTGAAAGTAGTCTGCTTATGTAGAGCAGAACGAAAGTTTCCTTTTTGGAGGGAAGAACTCAATTCTTATTGCGGTTTTATATTGACGCGAAAAAAGAGCAAAATTCTCTTCGAAGGAAGCGTTTTTTCTGGGCCAGCATTGTAAAAGAGTTTTGAAATAATGCAGCATGCAACTCGCATGCACATCGACCTTCGTAGTGATGAAAAAAGCACCCTATTTTCTAATTCGCCTTGTCCGAGGATTGTAAAATATTGCTTATACAGGGTGTTTCAAGAAATTTGGAAGAAACTAGTTGCGAATATTTTTGAGCTCTTGCTAGTTATCGCAGAAATTCTTTTTGTTTCTAAAACTTGACAGCGGGCGGTTTTGTACTGAACAAAAAAAATTTTTTTCGTCGGCGGAGAGGCCAGTTCTCGGCGGAGGCATTTGGGGCCTTTTTTAAAAATCACACCTTATTACATCGTGGAAACTCTGTTACAGTGGCCAAAATGATGTTTACGTTAAACCTCCGTGGATTCTGCGGTATGCTTTTTTTTTGTTTTCGATTTTCGCTCATCCGCGGAGGCACGGCGGAGACCTCAGGTTTCGGCGGACGTCGTTTTGAGCCTTTGGATCATTCAATTCAGGTTGGAAAAAAGTGTGGGGTGATTTTTTGTTGTCACCCGATGCACAGATGCAAAAATTTCGCACTTTCTTTCTCCGGCGGAGGATTCGGCGGAGGCTTTATCAAAGGGTCAGAACAGTCTTAGGAGTCCGGGAAAAAAACTCAGCTACAAGAATCCATCACAGCAACATCATTTTTCTTATTTTTTGGTTCGGCGGACACATCGGCGGAGGATTCGGCGGAGGCTTTATCAAAAGAGTCAAAATTTTGTTTTGACCCTTTGAGAAAGCCTCCGCCGAATCCTCCGCCGGGGAAAAAAGTACAAAATTTTTGCCCTCTGTGCATCGGATGACAACAAAAAATCGCCCCAACCTTTTTTCCAACATGGATTTGCAAAAACCGAGGGCCCAAAACAAAGTCCGCCGAAATCTGCGGTCTCCGTCGCGCCTCCGCGGATGTTGCGTAAAATCGAAAACGCAAAAAAAGCATACCGCAAAATCCACAGAGGTTTAACGTAAACATGATTTTGGCCACTGTAACAGAATTTCCACGATGTAATAAGGTGTGATTTTTAAAAAAGGCCCCAAATGCCTCCGCCGAGAACTGGCCTCTCCGCCGACGAAAAAAATTTTTTTTTGTTCAGTACAAAACCGCCCGCTGTCAAGTTTTAGAAACAAAAAGAATTTCTGCGATAACTAGCAAGAGCTCAAAAATATTCGCAACTAGTTTCTTCCAAATTTCTTGAAACACCCTGTACAACTCCGAAGCCTTTATTTTCTGACTCATCCCTAGGCTACAAAACTTGTTCAGATAAGCAGAAAAATGGGAGAGGGATTTTTTATTTGCTGTTCTTTTCTTGCTTCTCGAATTTTGCAGTATTGTTTCAAAATTCTTTTTATACATGTTATAAAGTTTTCCAATTTAGAAAATACATGTTATAAAGTTTTCCAATTTAGAAACCTATAGACGTCGGGTTCATGAATGATCACAGATTAGTCGGTTTCTCCATATATCACTTTTAAAAACTTTGTATATCTATGTCGATTCTCCAGAGCCTACTATAACTTGTTAGAGCCCTGCCGTTTTCAGCATGTCAAAGCTCTGCGAAAACTGTGCAAATTATTTTCTCAGATTTCACCACAAATACGAGTATCATGAATCCTTCCGTCCAAAAGTATTTCCGGTGAGACTTGTAATTTCAACTACTAATATTCATCTTTTAGTTCATTTCAAAAAAGTTTCTGCATATCGTTGCCCAATATCAGCGTTGTACATACGTCGTTTACGACGCTTGCTGGTTAATGGCTGCGTATGAGGAAAAACGGGAGGTCAAATTTTCTTTTATGAGTAAGTCATAGACTAAAATTTGGACACAAAATTTGAATTTTTTTAGGTTATCAGAACGCATATACTTATTTGAAGCACATTCGACCTTTAATCAGCCTTTTGAAGTTATTTTTTAATATGCGAGATCAGCATTCGAAGCTGGTTTACATCAATTCCAATGCCGCAGAGGAAACAAATCATATTCTGAAAGCGTTTTATAGTAAGTGCACTTTTTTGAACACAAAAAATATTTTAGAAGCACGAATTCCAGTTGTTTTCCGAGGCTATGATCCCTGCTGCCCACAAATATTTTATGATATGATTGCTGATGACTTTGACTATAATCCAGAGCGAATACGAGGATTCGCGAAGCAATTACACCCGTTTGCAGCAAGGAGAGACGATCCTCGTGTATTTGAAGAGGTGTATGTTGAAGCAACGGGAGTTGGTGATTGTACGTTGTACATTTCGATGCATTTTATTTCTTGTGATTGGTGCTCAAACACATTGCTTTTAGACTGGAGTTTTATGCTTGACATAAAGACGAGACATCTGAATAACATCCTGCTTGAGAACCTTCATCCGATTGATCCGTAAGCCTACCTTATAGTGAAAAGAAAGAGACCTGTCAAACCGAAAATTATATCAGTCCGTCAGGAAAATAATGGCGGGTCTAAATAATAGGCTTTTAGCTTTATTGTAATTTAAATTTCGAACCAGAAACGTCGAGTTTCACCAAATTTTTATGTTGTACTTGCTTCACGTATGTGACCCCTCCGTCAAGCTGCTATTCCTTAAAATTAGTCCTGTTTTCATGGTATAATTAACCTAGTGGCCAGTCCTAAACCTATACTCCCCGTACAATGTATTGACCCCCCTCCTAACTCCGTCCAAAGTGTACTAATTCGGACCAAATTTGGTATGTAGTATACTCACAGGCTAGTAACAAAAAATAACATAGCAGGACATACCTTATAGTTGAATTTCAAAAGCTAGGGGCAATTTTCAAAAATCACCTTAAAAAATCGAGGAAAAAGTTTTGACCCCCCTTAAAAAACGTTTGATATCGCCAGCGGATGCCACGCAAACCTATTGTAATCGACGTCCCATACCTGAATACAGGTTAATATATGGTTATCCGTTGAATTCTTCGTTGTATTTGAGGATTCAACGCGTTAAACCGTTTTTGATGTAGAGCTGCCCAAAATTGTAAAAATCTTGCCCGAGCGCTTTCCTAGAGCTCTAAATTGGGTTTATATTATGTGCTTTAGACCTGTATTTACCTTCTCCTTTCAATAAAAGTGCGTCGTGGCCTGGCGGTGTAGATTCGGTAGATACCCTCTTGTCATGCCCAGCCTTGGTGAGCCATTTGCTCTTTGACTCAAGGTCGAGATGTGGTCGTTAGGTCCTCAATGTAATCCTGAGACCCTTAGTTACTCTCAAACAAAGAATCAACTCCGGCTGACACGGTCTCATATGGTTTGCAGGCGCAACTTCGCCGATCTGCACCTTAACGAAAAACCCGCGTTTTTCAAATGGATTTTTAGCCACCAAAAACGGCTTTCATTTGATGGACCAGGTAATTTAAGGCGTTACAGCACCCACCATACTCATTTGAGACGTATGAAACGCCAAATGGGAGGTGGGGATGTAATAGTACTCGGAGTCATCTACAGTAACGGCAAACTTAAGATTAAGGTGAATGAAACCCATTAAAAAACGTGTCAAATCAAAACATTTTACATTACTGAGAGTAAATAGGAGTCTCAGGATTACATTGAGGACCTAACGACCACATCTCGACCTTGAGTCAGAGAGCAAATGGCTCACCAAGGCTGGGCATGACAAGAGGGTATCTGCCGAATCTACACCGCCAGGCCACGATGCACTTTTATTGAAAGGAGAGGGTAAATACAGGTCTAAAGCACATAATATAAACTCAATTTAGAGCTCTAGGAAAGCGATAGGGCAAGATTTTTACAATTTTGGGCAGCTCTACATCAAAAACGGTTTAACGCGTTGAATCCTCAAATGCAACGAAGCATTCAACGGAAAACCATTCATTAACCTGTATTCAGGTATGGGACGTCGATTACAATAGGTTTGCGTGGCATCCGCTGGCGATATCAAACGTTTTTTAAGGGGGGTCAAAACTTTTTCCTCGATTTTTTAAGGTGATTTTTGAAAATTGCCTCTAGATTTTGAAATTCAACTATAAGGTATGTCCTGCTATGTTATTTTTTGTTACTAGCCTGTGAGTATACTACATAGGAAATTTGGTCCGAATTAGTACACTTTGGACGGAGTTAGGAGGGGGGTCAAAACATTGTACGGGGAGTATATATCTGTCCATTTTTTGGCGAGTTTTCACAAAAATAGGAAAATCGACTTACATTATCCATGGTACAACAACTATTTTTCCGACAGTCTGATAACTGCTTCTTTTTAGATTCCCAAACATGCCTCATCTCAAGGTCATAACTTGTGAAATCCAGCCCGTCGGGATCTATTTTAATTCCATTGGCTTCTCTTTTTATGAGCAGCTTGCCAAACGACTAGTTGAAGCGGCTCCAAATTTGAAACGGCTCAATCTGCTTTATCACTCACAACTCTACCGCGGAGTAAGTCTTATTGTACTTACAATTAACTAAATTTATAGGGTAAAGGGTTCATGGAAGAGGGTGTAATCGAAGTTTTGACAGCGCTTAGCTATGCAATTCGCGGACTCAAATTTCATATTGAAAATGTGTTCGTAGAGAAGTTGGTGTTTGCGACTGCATTTCTTCTTAATGTAAGATCCATTTGCAAAATTGTTACATTGATTTTTTTTTTGATTTATAGTATTATGATCGTGACGCTTTAAGAAGAGCCCGTCGAAAGCTAAATTCTGCTTCAAGCATTCCTTCAATAGTTCGTCAGCACTTCTCCGAGAACGATGCCAAAGACCTCAATTTGGACATTCTGAATCTGCAAGTTTTAGCCGATAGCTATCCTTCCCCGCGATACGTTGATAATGTATTCAAAATCTGTGGCGGTCTGTATTTCAAATACTTGCATCCGTTATCGCTTTGAAAAACATTCTATTTCCTACTCATTCATTTTTCGACGGTATACAAAATGCACATGTTCAGGAAAGGCCTGGTAAAATACGTATGAATTACTTGTAAAGTCAATCTACCTGTGTAATTTGAAAATAACCGCTGATTTGAAGGTGTAGCCAGCACTTTTTCATACCCTTTTTTTACGTTTATTTCCCTCTGACTCACTAAACTACAAATGGCCGTTCGATAAGAAAAAGAGCTCGAGGAACGTGAAGGGAAAGGGAGTTTCACTTATATTTTTGTTGTTTTCTCTCTTTTTTCATTTTGGAACCCGCATTTTGGGCTTCTTGATGGGGAAATAAGAAGGGTGCGTTATATTATTCCAAAAAGTTTCAAACTTACTTCATTTTTAGCCTACATGAAATTTTTGTTTTTTTTTAATCTAGGCAAAAAAAAAATTTTTTTTTTTGGCATAGGTGGTTTTTTTTCATGTGGGCGAAGTTTTTTTTTTTTTTGGCATAGGTGGTTTTTTTTCATATATCAGTCTGTCGGGAAAGCAATGGCGGATCGTCGCGCCTCGGAATCGCCCATCATCACTTTGCGACGGCGAAGTTTGTGATCTCAGAAATTGGAAAGATGAAGAAATGGAAGTAGGCTAAAACCGAGATTTTGGCCTAGTTCATGCAGTCGGTGAAGTCGGTGAAGATGTAGGCCAAAACCGAGATTTTGGCCTAGTTCATGCAGTCGGTGAAGATGTAGGCCAAACCGAGATTTTGGGTTTTGGCCTAGTTGATTAAATCGAAGTTGATTAAATCGAACTAGGCCAAAACCATGATTTTCGCCTACTTCCTACCCGCTTGGATGAACTAAGCCAAATCCACGTTTCCGCCCAGATCATAGAAAATCCTAAAACAGGTGGAGTTATATATCCAAAAATTCGCAAAATTTTTCTGATTCAGAATATGTAAAAATTTGTTGCCTAATTTTGGTTTGAAAGGGTGAAAAATTCCTCAAACCTTTTCTCGCAACACCATGAAAATGCCTTTTTGACCAAGTTTTTACCAATAAGAAAATAAAAATTCAATGGATAAATGTGTCTTGCCCACAGCAATTTCGCGTCACGGCACGAAAATAATTATTTGGCATTCTGTTCAAGAGGCGTCCTATTGGAAAACAAGTTGTTGATTTCGCAATGTTTTTTCAAGCATTTGATTTGGTAAAAACTTGGTCAAAAAGGCATTTTCATGGTGTTGCGAGAAAAGCTTTGAGGAATTTTTCACCCTTACAAACCAAAATTAGGCAGCAAATTTTTACATATTCTGAATCAGAAAAATTTTGCGAATTTTTGGATATATAACTCCACCTGTTTTAGGATTTTCTATGATCTGGGCGGAAACGTGGATTTGGCTTTGTTCATCCAAGCGGGCAGGAAGTAGGCGAAAATCATGGTTTTGGCCTAGTTCGATTTAATCAACTTCGATTTAATCAACTAGGCGAAAACCCAAAATCTCGGTTTTGGCCTACATCTTCACCGACTGCATGAACTAGGCCAAAATCATGGTTTTGGCCTAGTTCGATTTAATCAACTTCGATTTAATCAACTAGGCGAAAACCCAAAATCTCGGTTTTGGCCTACATCTTCACCGACTGCATGAACTAGGCCAAAATCTCGGTTTTAGCCTACTTCCATTTCTTCATCTTTCCAATTTCTGAGATCACAAACTTCGCCGTCGCAAAGCGATGATGGGCGATTCCGAGGCGCGACGATCCGCCGTTATTTTCCCGACAGACTGATATGCCAAAAAAAAAAAAAAATTTCGCCCACATGAAAAGAAACCACCTATGCCAAAAAAAAAAAATTTTTTTTTCGCTCACATGAAAAAAAACCACCTATGCCAAAAAAAAAATAATTTTTTTTTGGCCCACATGAAATTTTTTCACCTAGGCAGACCAGATTTTGAAGTAGGCCACAAAATTTCATGTAGGCTAAAAATGAAGTAAGTTTGAAACTTTTTGGAATAATATAACGCACCCTTCTTAAATCTTTTTTGAAATTTTAGAGTTTAAAATTCGTTAGCACATTTTCATAAGCTTTTGTAACATTTACATCTGTTTTTTATACAAGTCTTTCTACTAAAAATCCCGAAAAAATTTCAATCTCGCCAAGAGCGACAAATCGAGCCTGAAATCAACATTGAGCCTCCGGCAGATCTTGTTTTTGGTTTGGACCGATTTCGGGATTTTTCTCGACTGGACTTTATGCTGTCTTTGGATAGTAGTAAAAACGCAAATTAAATATTACATTTACTTTGAATAAACTTGTTTTTTATGTGTTTATCCGAGTATTTATTCTTGTTCCTTCTTACGGCGGTCCGCACTTGCGGGCAACCGCTTTGCGGCCAGCTAGAACCATGGAGATTCAGCGGGCATGTCTAGAGTTTTCAGCATGTCAAAGCTCTGCGAAAACTGTGCAAGTTATTTTCTCAGATTTCACCACAAATACAAGTATTATGAATCCTTCTGTCCAAAATTATTTCCGGTGAGACTTGCAATTTCAACTACTAATATTCATCTTTTAGTTCATTTCAAAAAAGTTTCTGCATGTCGTTGCCCAATATCAGCGTTGTACATACGTGGCTAAAGACGCTTGCTGGTTAATGGCTATATATGAGGAAAAATGGAGGGTCAAATTTTCATTTATGGGTAAGTCATAGACTAAAATTTGGACACAAAAATTTACTTTTTTTTTTAGGTTATCAGAACGCATATACTTATTTGAAGCACATTCGACCTCTGATCAGCCTTTTGAAGTTATTTTTGACTATGCGAGATCAGCATTCGAAGCTGGTTTACATCGATTCCTATGGCCGAGTGGAAACAAATCATATTCTGAAAGCGTTTTATAGTAAGTGCACTTTTTCGAACACAAAAAATATTTTAGAAGCACGAATTCCAGTTGTTTTCCGACATGATTATTGCTGCTCGCAAATATTTTATGATATGATTGCTGATGACTTTGACTATAATCCAGAGCGAATACGAGGATTCGCGAAGCAATTACACCCGTTTGCAGCAAGTAGAGACGATCCTCGGGTATTTGAAGAGGTGTATGTTGAAGCAACGGGAGTTGGTGATTGTACGTTGATCTTACATGTGTTCCTATTTGTTGTGATGGATGCTCTGACACAATGCTTTTAGACTGCAGTTTTGTTCTTGACATAAAGACGAGACATCTGAATAACATCCTGCTTGAGAACCTTCATTCGATTGATCCGTAAGCCTACCTTATAGTGAAAAGAAAGAGACCTGTCAAACCGAAAATTATGTCAGTCGGTCAGGAAAGTAATGGCGGCTCTTGGAATCACCCCTCATCGTTTGGCGACGACTAGCCGCAGCTGGAAATTTGGTGCGCGACACTTTTTTCGACGTGACGAAGCATCGTGCTGCCGCGAGCCGCCATTATTTTTCCGACAGACTGATAACTGCTTCTTTTTAGATTCCCAAACATGCCTTATCTCAAGGTCATAACTTGTCAAATCCAGCCCATCGGGATCTATTTTAATTCCATTGGCTTCTCTTTTTATGAGCAACTTGCCAAACGACTGGTTGAAGCGGCTCCAAATTTGAAACGGCTCAATTTGATTTACCACTCACAACTCTACTGCCGAGTAAGTGTTATTGTACTTACAATTAGCAGCCGCTGTAAATTTATAGGGTGAAGGGATCATGGAAGAGGGTGTAATCGAAGTTTTGACAGCGCTTGGCTATGCAATTCGCGGCCTCAAATTTCATATTGAAAATGTGTTCGTAGAGAAGTTGGTGTTCGAGACTGCATTTTTTCTGAATGTAAGATCCATTTGCAAAATTGTTACGTTGAGTTTTTTTGATTTATAGCGTTATGATCGTGACGCTTTAAGAAGAGCCCGTCGAAAGATAAATTCTGCTTCAAGCATTCCTTCAATAATTCGTCAGCACTTCTCCGAGAACGATGCCAAAGACCTCAATTTGGACATTCTGGATCTGCAAGTTTTAGTCGATGGACATTCTTACCCGCGATTCGTTGATAATGCATTCAAAATCTGTGGCGGTCTGTATTTCAAATACTTGCATCCGAGAGCAAGATGAACGGTGAAATGAAATGAAGGTAATTATCATTTAAAAACTTTTATTGTATGTGTTAATAAACTTTCTTTCGGGTTCTTTCCACTTTTTATTGTTGTTGGCTGTATAAAAGATTATTGCTGTTACAATCTTCAGATTTTACTATTGTAAGTAAGGCCCAAGCTGTCAACATCGTTGTATTCTTGGTTTACGCGGTTATCTAAAAACTGCTTTTAGACTAGATATAATCGGTTGCAATTAAGGATAGATTTGAGAAAAGCCAATCTATTCGAAGTTCAATGACCGAAACAAGTTCTTTGCTATTACATATTGATCGCTACCGGTCCCTGGACTTGGCACAGAAGGCAACGAAAAACGCGGACAATGGGGAACTCCCTCGCCCGAAACGCTTTCCATTTTTAAATTTCGACAAAAATATTTTTTGAATTTCGAGGGTGCCTTTGTTGCGAATTTCCTTTCCTTTCACCGAACGATCTTCGTTTTCTTAATTTTTATGTCCGCTTACATATTAGGTCGTTCGTAAAGTTTCTTCAATTCGCAGGTTCAAAATAATGAAGCCAAAGCTGCGGGATACTTGTATTTCATACCTACGAGAAGTATTTTCCGATCCCGACGGTGAATTGTGGGACGAGAGAAATTGTCCGTACTTCTTTCCTGTAAGTTGTACCATTCCTGCCACGCAAAGGGCAAATATACGATTTGCAATTACAGCTGATTTCTCGTCGTTACTTTGTCCAAACCTTCAGCAATGTAACTCTTTCTTACCGGATGAACGACCCAAGCGATATTATGGTCACGTACAAAGAAGGTTTTTGCGTCTTCAATGCCTCGGGTAAAGATTTTTGGTGAATGAATTGGCCTTTATATATGGCCTAATTTTAGATGAGACCGGTAGCATGGAATCACAGCGTCCGTTAATAGCGCTATTACAACTGGCTACATTGGTGCCAGAAGCTGCTTCCTCTGAATGGAACGATCATTTGGTCATTCTGAAGAGCCGGTACTGTGACCAATTGCTGCTGATCATCAGGAAGATGTTTGGTAAGGTGTTTTGGCACAAATATACAGTCACACCTCAGTGCAACGTACGGAGGTGTCGTTGCACCAATTGCTAACAACATAATACTTGCAGCATGTCGAATTCCCATCTCGCTGCTGATCTTCGGGCGAAAAGGACTGCTTTTTGACGAATTTAACGATCTCATCGCTTCCGAGCCCTCTTATTTTCCACGATTTGTAGTGGGAAGCGCAAGATCGCTCTGTCCTCTGACTGCCAATGAAAATGATCCACGGGTTTTTGCATCCATCAGGATCGATTCACCTAGTAGTCGAGATTGTAAGTGTTGTTGTCATAAATAGCATTATTTTAAGACTGTCCTCACGTCCTGGGCATTAAAACTAAACAAACATGCGGTCATTTGGACAACCTGAATTTGTATGAAGAGTAAGTTGAACACCGGAAAAAAAACGACTAATCTTACAGTTTGCCGCACATGCCGCATTTGGAATCGCTGCATTGTGCCATTGAGCCAATCGGAGTTCACAACGCAGAAATTGCCAGAGAACACTATGCTGAATTTGGTCGGCGGTGGATCAAAGCGGCTCCGAATCTTAAAGTAAGGCCATATTACAGACTCAGCTTTTCAAACAGAGTTTGGAAAGAATGTTTGAAATTTTATCAAAAATTTGAATTTCAGGAAATCTTACTTTCTACCAACTGTGACGTCTATTGTGCAGTAAGCCAACTACTTCTGTTTTACTAATAAAGACACCTGAAATCCTATTTTTTTAGTCCGTCGAAAAGGCGTTATTGGCACTTGGACGATTTGCCATGGCATTAAAGAGCACTGTAGATGGGCTTACGGAGTCTGTTCCTAACACAAAGTTCAGGTTGAAATCCCTGAGAATCCACCTTCCTGAAACCGAGATGGTAAACAATTTAGCTTTATGATACCAGTACCTCTTATTTTACCAAAAATGCTCTTCTTTAGAGAGCTATCATCATCAGTGCTCGCCATTACTACGCCGAAACGGAAGATTGCGCTGAATTTATTCCTTTCTCTTCGGATCAAGTCCTTGAATACTTTGTTACTTCTTATGAAAAGTCCAAGATTTCTGGCAGCACCTCAGCTTTGGACCTCAGGGCAATTAATCTCAGATTTCTCATAAGCGATGGAGATCCAGAGGTTGAAAATTTGCACAAGGATGGAATCTTTTTCAAATTTTAGTAAAGATTTTTGCGTTATTTTACATCAAAATATGTATACTGCATCAATGTTTATCAATCATAAATGCAAGACTGCACCTTCTTCTCCTAAATTTTCTTTGCTGACTCACTGAACCAATTTTTTGATAAGGGTTAAAAATATAGAATGTACTTGTTGCATGTGCTAGGCAGGGGCTTTGAAATACATCTGTTAATTAACTATGCCTAAGCTCCGAGAAAGATTAAATCGGCGACGCACGTCAATCCAAAATAGAAGAAAAAATATCCCGCCCCTTTTTGGTGATTCGTTCAAAACGAAATGTCACGATCCGATAAAACGCATTTTCTTATCTTTCTTCTTCCTTTTCGAGAAAAAACAATTATTTCGGGTGAGAAAAAGTGTCCATAATTCCGCGACATTTCGTCTCTCTTTTAAATCAATGAAAACGATCCGAAGTTTCGAAACGGTTCAGGAAATGGATTGACGTGCGACGCGCACTGTGAGAAGACAAAAGTTTTCTTTGCTCTGTACAGTTTCTTGCTTTTTGCACCGTGAAACAAGCTTTTCTTGGCTGTCGCTCGCACTCTGACTTTTTCTATTTCCTACTCATTCATTTTTCGACGGTATACAAAATGCACATGTTCAGGAAAGGCCTGGTAAAATACGTATGAATTACTTGTAAAGGTCAATCTATCTGTGTAATTTGAAAATGACCGCTGATTTGAAAGTGTAGCCTTCACACAACACCTTTACATACATTTTTCCGCGTTTATTTCCCTCTGACTCACTAAACTACAAATGGCCGTTCGATAAGAAAAAGAGCTCGAGGAACGTGAAGGGAAAGGGAGTTTCACTTATACATATTCTTGTTGTTTTCTCTCTTTTTTCATTTTGGAACCCGCATTTTGGGCTTTTTGATGGGGAAATCTTTTTTGAAATTTAGACTTTAACATTCGTTAGCACGTTTTCATTAATTCTTGTAACATTTACATCTGTTTTTTATACAAGTCTCTCTACTAAAAATCCCGAAAAAATTTCGATCTCGCCAAGAGCGACAAATCGAGGCTGAAATCAACATTGAGCCTCCCGCAGATCTTGTTTTTGGTTTGGACCAAATTCGGGATTTTTCTCGACTGGACTTTATGCTGTCTTTGGATAGTAGTAAAAACGCAAATTAAATATTACATTTACTTTGAATAAACTTGTTTTTTGTGTTTATCCGAGTATTTATTCTTGTTCCTTGTTACGGCGGTCCACACTTGCGTGCAACCGATTTGCGGGCAGCTAGATGCTATAGTCCTACGTAGATTACGGTAGAAAAAATGCAATTCTAAACGGAAAACGTCGGGTGCCCGCAAAGTGGTTGCCCGTAAGTGTCGGTTATACAACTTTAAAGGTTTTTTTGATACTGTAATAGGCTCCACGTACATTAATATGCTGAAAAAGCTCTCAGATGAATGTCTCAGCTACGTTTTGCACATCAAGGCTAGACACGAGTTCCGTTGGCGCTCTGAGGTCGCCTGGAGGGATGCGGTAAGTTTAAAGTCATGCTAGAAACACAAAACCTTTCATTTCAGTTGATCTCTCCTCGTTTCTTGCATCTTTATTCCAATTATTCCTACTCCCTGCTTGTTCTACAAAGTTTGGGCGCTGGGAGTCGTATGTCGCTGCAATATGGAAAGAACCTGCATCTTGAAGTTTGCTTTTTTGGATTAGGTGAGTAAATGAGCTAAGACCGGAACTTTTCTTCAAGACGAAGATGGAGGCCCGGAACATTACAAACCGTTCATTTCAATCCTCGCACTTTTCAAAGCGATCCGAGGAAATAAAAAATCGAAAGAGAGTGCATTAAACGTCAGGTTGCCTGAGGAGATGCCGATGACTCTTGTTGAGGAGGTGAAAGGTAGGGTAATATGGCAAACATTAACCTATTTTGGGGTTTTTCAAGGTATTTCAAACTGATTTTGTCAGGAAAGGAGAATAAAGTTAAACTTCTTATTGAGAATTTTAGTTTTTGAACATGATCAGCACTACCAAAAGCCATTCTTTCGAGTATTTTTAGAAAAAACGTGACGATCGCCGAAGTGCTTACAAGTCATTTTCTGTTGAAGAGGACAACTTTTCGGTCATAAGGAGTCATAATCGCTTTCATTCTTTTCTTTACATTCTTTTTCAAATTTGCAAACCATGGTATTTTAACCAATAATATTTCAACGAACAGTGCGCCTGTGCGAACCGTGCACCTGGGTTGACAGCGCACCTTAAAAAAAGAAGATTTTTTGAAAATAATTGAACAAAATTTTGAAAAGTTTTCGCTTCAGGACAGGGAAAAAAGGATTTTTGGCGTGTGAAAAAAGGCAAATATGGCAAGGGGGGATCTAGGCAAGTTGTTCATTTTTTGTTTGTGAAAAGATAAGTATAGTAAGGGGGATCAACGATGTTTTAACGGGCCGGCCCACGAGCCATGCCTAGTGCCATGTTATCACAAACCAAAAATTGTTTTTTCCCAGTCCTGCAGCGAAGACATTTCAAATTTTGTCCAACTCTAACAAAAAATCTTTTTTTTTTCAAGAAGCACTCCGCCCTGATGCACAGTTCGCCCGGGCGCACTGTTTGTGTCAGTTGGACCGCTGGAGCCCAGCCCTCCCGTTTGTGCAGCCGTTTGGCACATCGCGATCGCCGAAAATCCGATTTACAACCCCGAATACTTGCGGGGATCACCACGGGATTTGTATCCCATAGCAATGAATCAAGATGATCCTCGAGTTTTTGAAGAAGTTTTTGTCAAAGTCACAAATCCAGTTGAGTGTAAGTACACAATTTTTTAACGGTTTTAAGACTTCTTGTCAGCAATGTTACAAAGATCTCATTTTGCGACCAAAATTTCAGATTGTCCATTTGTTTTCAATATCAAAACCAAGCATTTGAATAATATTCTCGTCGAGAGCACGTGGTCGTATGAAAAGTAAGGTTCTTTTCGATATTTTTATCGCCAAATTAGCTTGCCAATGATGCCATTCCTCGAAATCTTGACTTGTCAAATATGGCCTATTGGAATTTTCGATAAATCAAGTGGATACTCGTATTACAAAGAAATTTCCAAACGACTTGCTAATCTTGCGCCGAATTTGAAACAAGTGAATTTGGTTTATAATGCGCAAATTGCAACCGAGGTAAGTGGAACGACTGCTTTGTCATTTTTTTATTTTTTGCGGGGAATATGTAAAGTATCAGTCTGTCGGGAAAATAACGACGGATCGTCGCGCCTCGGAATCGCTTTGCGACTTCAAGCCGCGGCTGGGAATTTGGTGCGCGATAGCGGCGAGACGAGACATTTTGATGCGACGATCCGCCGTTATCTTCCCGACAGACTGATAAATTCGAAGCAAAAAATAGCAAGATTTAGCTGTATTTAAGCCATTGCTTTCTGGCCAAAGCTGGTTGTCATGATTACATATTTTTCTTTTCTTTTTTTGTAGGCCTACATAAATTTTTAGTTTTTCAAATGAAAGTTTATAGAGCCCTTTTTTAAATTTTTGAGGCCCAAAGATGCCGCAGGATATTTATCATGACAAAGATGTTAAAAACAAGTCAAATTCAATCTGTTATAGTAGCTTTAAAGGGGTCTTATAATATGTACAGCGGCGGACTTGATCCATTTGGTTAAAAACGTACCATTTTGGATCTGGGAAGTATCAAAAATGCAGCAAAATACTTCGTTCTCCAAGTGAAAAAACTCCGATTTCAAAAGCGCGCCCGCTCTTTTTGTGAGGGCGCGCATTTCAAAAACCCACTACAATGTTTTTTATTGTAGTGGGAGGTACTTTGCCACATTTTTGATACTTCCCGGGTGCAAAATTATACGTTTTTTTGCCAATGGATCAGGTCCCTCACTGATATCGAGATTAACTGGTACTCAGTACACATTAAAAAACCTTTATGCTACTTATGGCAGTACACAAAAAAAATGAGATGAGATCAAGGTCTTACACCTAGAAGTATACTTATAGAAATTTATTACATAGGAAATTTTGGCTAGCCTTGTTCCGACTCAACTTGGCCAGATCAAAGAATTCTTTAAATTCAGATCGAAATTTCTTGTAAAATTTCCTTATTTCAGTTGAACGGCCAAATGGAACTGGGAGTGAAAACCGCACTTTCGGCCTTTAACCAAGCCATCGAAGGACTTCAATGCCATTTGGAAAAAGTTCAGATTCATTTCATACAAATAACTGTCGTATTCTTGGAGAACCGACCATTTGTAGGTTGATTTAAGCCCAAATTTTTCAAAAAAAACTGTATTTTAGCTTGACATGATGGAAAGGATTAAAATGCCGCCGAATCCTGGTTATCTGACGATTAGGTCTTTTTTGAAAGACTTTGTACTTAAAAATTGCAACAAAAACACGCAAAGCGTAGACACGGCCAATGTGGATGTCGTAACTCGCGTGCGACCATATGAAGGCCCGGATTTTCTGGAAAAGACCGCAAGGATTGGCGATGATTTGCATTTCAAGTACAAAATAGAGTCTTCATGAGACAAAATATTTTTTGTTTGGTGAAAAATGGCTTTTTGAAGTTACATATCTTCTACATTCCGTGCATCTTCCGTTTTACTGTGATCTGTAGGAGAAGATTTGACCCATTTCTGTCTTTGACCATGGCACATATAGCTTGCCGTTTACAAAATTTTCAATCGCTCTGTTTTAATAATTATATTGGAAGACTTTCAAATACTTTATAACCATTTATAAATTTAACGGGCCTTTAATTATTTTCTCATTTTTCATCGGTTATTAACCGTGCCATATCTTTATTTTGACGTTGTTTAGCCTATAAAAAGCTTTCAGAATGTCCCCTCAACTGAAAGATGGATGCATTGGCTACCTTTTGGAAGCCTTCTTTTACTACGACCTAAAGGCGACTGATCGAAATACGAGCCCCTTTCATCGAATGACCCTGCCGGTACGTTATAACTTACTTTTTTTTATCTTGGAAATGTAAGTTTTCAGTTGATATCCCGCCGATATTTTGTTCAAATCTTCACAAAGGAATCGTACTGCTATCGCCTTCAGTTTTATAACTACATTGTAGCCAGACACAACTATCAGCGCGAAACCCAATTTGGCTTGACTGGTAAGAAAAGCGTCGGCGATTTCTCAATTTTTCTTGGCTTCAGTTCAAGAATCTGGCGTGCCTTTAGTCCATCAGAAACCCATGGTATCGTTGCTGAAAATGATCACCGTAACTCCTGAAGTTGAGCCGCTGGAGGGCCGAGAGGACTATTGCGTTGTTGTGGATGGAAACGTGGTCAGCGACTCTCGGCAGATCATGAGAATGTTGTACGGTAGGTGGGGGTCGTTTCTTTAATTGGAACACAACATTCGCAGCGAATTTTTGATATTCAGACAGCCGAATCCCTGCCCAGTACATGTCTTACTACACGGAATCAGTTGTGACTGCGGAATTCAATGACTACGCAGCTCAAGACTTTACTTATCCGGCGCACGCACTTTACGGCGAGTCGGCGCAGTTGTTACCATTTACGCTACATTCAGGAGATCCGAGGATATTCGCTGATGTTGTTGTCACAAATTCGAACGCAATTGATTGTAAGAAATTGGCTTTCTTAAGCATTATTGGATGTTTCAGATGCTCCGCATATCTTTGAGATCAAAACCAAGAAACTCTCAATTTATTTGGACAATCTTATTTGGTACGATGAGTAGGTTAATAAGCTTAAATTTTAATACTTTTCAGTCTGCCGGAGATGCCGTATCTTACCGAGTTGAGCTGCAGTTTTGGGTCAGTTGGACTAACGATTAAAGAGACCGTCGACTTTTACAGCGCAATCGCTGAAAACCTGGTCAACTCGTGTCCAAATTTGACTACGATAAAAGTATCATGTCAAGCTCATGTCTCTGGAGATGTAAGTCAAAGAATAATTAAAAAAAACCACGTGTTTTAGGACCTCGGAGACGAAACATTGGCGGGCTTGTTTAGGGCTGTCGAATCGGCTTTAGAAGTGCTCAAAAAATATGTAAAAGATGTCATCGTTGACGATTTCTACGTAGCTGTCAAAATTCCGGAGTCTCGAAGGGTAACTGGACTTTTTTCCTGTTTTCTTAGTAGGGCTTAAAACAGTGAATAATCTATTATGAATTTCTTGAACTACATAGCTTTTTTAGGGTGACCTGGACCTGGAGCTCACATTACGCACAGAAGAGCCCGTTCCAGAGCTCTTTGATAATATTTACAGCGATGTTTACACTGACTACTACATGAAAATGTTGCATTATTTATATTACAACGAGTCGGATGTTCCGAAGCATTTGCTTGGGAAATGTGTCAGGTTCAGGGCCTTTCTCGAGGAGGGTGGCGAGTTTGAACCTGGGAAACTTTTGGAAGTCTTCTAATTTATCTACAATATTCATTCCACTATTTTAATAATCCTTGATCTCTTACTTTTACGGATAAAGCTATAATTTTAGTTATTATAAAACCAGAAATTAGCCCCACCCCTATTTCTGGAACTTTTAGTTGTATGACATTTTTTGTTTTCGTTCGTGGAAAGACGTCGAAATCGATGCACTCTGTGACGTAGAAGATTATCTCACCGCTGAGAAATATGAGTTTGATTACTTCCGAATCGTTGTTGTTAGATCTAATTTTTCATAAATGTTGTAAACATATGTTTGAACCTTTCTCTGTTTACATGTTGACTCCAATCACTATAGAAACTGTAAATCCTGTGTTTCACTTTTTTGTGGAGCTTTAGATGGCAAAGTTACGGGATGAATGTGTAGATTTCTTAATCAAACATCTCGCTATGGCCAGCTACGATGACTTCAACTCTAGCTTCGCTCAATATTACCCGTTTTTGGTGAGTCTGTCGGATCAGAAGCCAACAAAAATATTCAATTTCAGATGGTCTCCCGTCGATATTTTACCATTGCTTTGCCCAAAAAATTGTATACCTACAACTTTTCGCTGGACGGTGTTGGATATCTGCATTTAAAAGTGGAAACAGAAGACGAGTTTTATGATGGGCCTGAATTCGGGATCGAGTTTGAAATTACTAGTCAGTTCCTAGCACTTTGATTTGCGTTTTACATCCTCATGTTTAGATGAAGAGGAAAGTAAAGTTATTGAGAGTCACCGACCGCTAGTCACACTGCTAAAATTGGTTGCTTCCTTCCCTGACGCTTCCGATCATCCAGAAGACTTTTTGGTTAAGCTCAGAGGACCTGATAAATATATCCTTCCAATCATCAGGAGCTTAGTCGGTATGTTTGTTGCCAGTCGCCGCTGGAAATATCACCAAAATAAGACTTCTTTATTTACTTTTTAGCAGCCAAAATTGCGCTGGAAATCCTCACAGACGCGTGGAACGATGTGGCGTTGCAGGAGTTCTATGACTTAGCATCAAAAGATGTCACGTATCCTCTGCGAAAGTTGAACGGCGAGGCCATTAAGTTATGGCAATTTGGCGTAAATGCCGCGGATCCCCGAGTTTTTGAAAAAGTTGAATGCATTCTTTGGCCATTCAAAGACAGTAATTGTAAGGAATTCTGCAATATATAATATTATAGATTACAAGGTCTACGTATGATGTCGGTAAATTTTCAGATGCCCCGTATCTTCTCAACATTAAAACCCAAAGGCTTCAGACGCACTTGAACCTTTTCGTTGAGTCGGATTGGTGAGTTGTAAAGGGGTGGTGGTACATATTATAAATTTAAAAACGAAGGTTTAGTCTCCCGTCTATGCCCTACTTGAAGGAGCTTTGTTGCTATCACACACCTCGGATGACTAATGACGAATCAAATTTTGAGGAGTATTATAAAGACCTTTCTACGAAGATCTCAAACGCTGCAAAAAACCTAGAGAAACTTTCTTTGATCTCCATATTTAAAATCTATACGGATGTAAGTGGACGCTATTGAGAACGTGACCAGGTTGCACATACAAGACCTTAAAAAAAGTTTTCAGAACTTCGAAAGAGCCATCCAAGCGACTATTCAAGTCATCATGGCTTTGCATGTGTCCATCAGAGGACTTACATCCCATATTCCTCCAGGAAAACATGAACTTTCAATACGGATCTTTGTGCGAGATTACGACGTAGGTACCGCTATTCTCTGAATGGTGCCTAATTTTGCAGGGTCTATTTTCGACGTGGTCGCTTTCTGGACAGTCTCTCCGGGGACGGATCGATGACTATTTAGAGAAAAATAATATTACCACAAGCTTCGATTTGGGAGATCTATCAATGACCGTGTGGCAAGACCAAGACATGGAACGATTTCTAATTAACGGTGTTCCAGAGAGAGGCTACCTTCATATTAATCCAGAATAAAATAATTTTTTTATGAAATACGAACGAAAAAATTAGTGTGAGAGCCACTGAAATATATTTTGTTATTCTTACATATACATACTATAATATTTGTGTAATCTTTTATCTGTTTTTTACAGACTTTTTACTTTTTTTTGTTAATGCACAAGACAGAACACAACACACACCGGCATAAAACCTATATTTTCTTTCCTATAGGATTATTATAGCTGCTTCAGTGATGAAAATATTGAGCAATGGCTGTCTTCAATACCTCTTCCAAGAAATCGCATACGCCAAACTGATCATTGCTAATGGCAGGGCGGATTTTGCAGATGCTTTTCAATTTGTGGTGCGTTTTTACATAGACACATGATGGAATCAATTTTTTAGCTCATCTCGCGTCGTTATTTCGTAGAGGTGTTTTCGAATAAAATCTACGTGTACCACCTAACCCCAGTCGATGCTGTCCTTCAGCTTGATGAGGATGAGAACAACCGAGAGAAGCAAGGATTCCTGCAGCTTCTTCAAGTGGAGTTTCGTATCCGAGGTAGGCTTTATTACAGTGTTTATATTTAAGATATTTCGTATGATTACAAAAGATTGTTTCCAGCGGCAGGTGGCTACCGAGGGATTTGCCGGCAAAGACCGTTGATAACTCTTCTGAAGCTTGTTCAAGCAATAACCGAAGTCGAGCCCTGTAATGGCCGCGATCAATACGTCGTATCAGTTGATGATCGGAACCTGGAACAATCTTTATACTTGATGAGAAATTTGTATGGTAAATTATTGCAAACTGATTAACTTATTTCAATCTTGTAGCCAATCGAATCCCAACAGTCTACCTTCCAAATGGAGGAAGATATGTGATGATTGAAGAGTTCTACGATACGATCTCAAACGACTTTAGTTATCATCCCCGGCGTCTATTCGGGCGGTCCAGAGCGCTGTCGTACATGGGAGCGGATGCGGATGATCCAAGGGTTTTTCAAGTCGTAACTGTCTGTGATCCGCAGGAGACTACTTGTACGTAAAGCTCGGCTTCTTTTTGGGTTTTCTGCTCGTGCTTCTATTCTATTCTTGCAGATGATCCTTTCATCTTCAACATCAAGACTGAGAAATTGTGTGTGCATTTAAGCTCCGTTGAGGAATGCGAATGGTGGGTTGTTTTTTCGGTTATTAGGACACTTGATCATAACGAATAACTTATAAAGGCATTCCGAAAAAAGTTCCTTATTCTGGCCACAACAAAGGTACTCCGCGTACTGCGCCCAAGCTTGGGAACTAAAGTAAGGAAAAAAGGCTTCGACTTAGATCACTGACTTACTATAATAGCCCTATAGTTGTATGGGTACCTAGGAAGACTGTGACGACTCATTTAGTTTTATACGGGGGCAATAAGTTTAGTTCCGGACATGTTTCATCGTATACAGTGTGAAATCGCAGGCTGCAGCCATTTTTGCACGGTGAGGTGGTACGTAAAAAAGAAGGTACCTCACTAACTAACTCCACTGTTTGCATTGACAACGGTGAATTGAGCCTGCACGCCAAACTTGGGCCAATTCTGACCAGTTTCCGCAAAGTTATAAGTTGTGGCCAGAATAAGGAATTTTTACCGGCATTCCTGTATGTCCATAGTCATCATTAAATCATTACTTTAAACTACATGTCAGCCCTGAGGTGCTCTTCATTTTAGAGCAGCTTTTAAACAAAGAAAAGTTTGGTTTTTTTATTTTGATATGCCACTTGTTGCAGCTTGCCGTATATGCCGCATCTCAAGATGCTTGAATGTGATTATGTTCCTCTCGGTGTCTTCAACAACTCTGGAATTGATACGTATTATGAAGAACTTTCGGAAAAGTTAGCCGAGGCAGCCCCAAATTTGGAGCGGTTACATCTGTCATGTGAAGTTCATGCCTTTTGTGATGTAAGTTATTTCATGTGTTTGCTAAAAAATTTTTTTTTCCGACCTTACGACTAGCCGAAGAAGGAACTGTCCAAGCTGGACTGGCAATTCACAATTCCATAAAAGGACTGCAATCGAAAATAAAGAAGGTCGGATGCAGTGTTGAGATTATTGTAAGGAGCAACGATGACGTGAGTAATTCATTCACGAGGGAAATTTAAATTTAGAGTGTTTTGGATGAAGTCGACGATGTTTGTGATCACTTCAGACAGAAGATTAAGGACAATTTCAAAAAAGCTGGGATCACTTCGTCCGTTGATTGGGATGAGGTGTTTTTCGATCTGTGGTCGGTAGAAGAAGGAGATCCACTGCTGGAAAAAAGTCAAGGAAGGGATAATTTTCTGATTTTTGAGGTTTTTTGATTTATTCCCGGAGCTTTAAACAATTACTTACGAATAACATGAATTTATTGACTGCCCACTTGTTGTGAAAGATTGTTTTGGCTCAGAATAAACGTTTTGTAAAATACTTTTACTGTTATCATTAAGTGTTTCAACCCACAAATATTTTAAATACGTTGTTATCAGTGGTCGTTCAGTGTCTGTTTATTTTAGACTTTAGCATAGATAATTCATGTTTGTAGGAAATACATTCAGTTGCAATACTCAAGACCTTGTCATGTCTTTCTGGTCCACGTAAACTTATTATACGTCACTTTTCTGAGTATGCTATCGCTCTATGAGAACAATATTATTTTTAATTCTGCAGTTTACCCACACCTTCCTTTTATTTTTCTTGACTGCTATTCCGCTCCAAATCAATACGTTACCTTCTTGAGGCGTGCTGTTAACCTTTGATTATGCTGTCATTCTATGACTAGCTGTTAAAAGAATTTATTTTTAGTTTTGAGTTTAGCCACACCTTTCCCTTATCGTTTTGGTTGTTATTCCACTCCCAGTCAATTCTTTGTTTTGCAAGATTTAGAAAAAATATTGCTTTTATTGTAGATTTATCTTGTAGTATATCCACGCATTCTCCTTATGTACCCAGCTGCCAATAGAGATCAATTGGTTTTGCTTATGTTTTATTGAAATCAAAATTAACCTTTCTTGTTTCAAAGATGCCCTCTAAACTCAGCAATGGATGCGTCAGGTACCTTCTGGAATCCTTCTGCGATTATGACTCTTTGTTGACTGGGTCAAGATATCATCGCATAACCATACCGGCATGTCACAAAATTTTTAAATAATATCCGTTTTCGTCTAGCTAATCTGTCGGCGATACTTCTTCCTGATCTTCAATGGGAGGTCGTATTCCTTTTATTTGCAGTATGCCCATGCCATCAAATTAAAAAGCCATAACAAGTATGTGTATGTTTCGGGACAAGTATGTTTTCACAGTCGAAGGAGACTTTGGATGCGCAAGGCAATTGCTAAAGGCTTTGTTCGGTAGGTGCAAAATTTATTATCATTTTACGGTTGTCGGTCTGATTGTTACGTTCATTTTATCCATGTTTAAGAGAACCGAATCCCTGCGGAATATCGTTTGTGGGGTCCCAGTTCCGTATTCGCTGAAGAGTTCTATTGGTTGATGCAAAAGGAATTGCGGATTTTTTAATTTATTCGTATTTTTTTATAGGATAGCTCAATTCAAAAATGGAAAAAGGTATATAGTAGTAAATTTTAAGAGGATTTTTTCTGTATATGTGCTATTCTTATGAAAGTTATCAAACGTTACCATAAGTTACCACGAAGGTACCCTAAACATATTAGTATATTTTAAACCAATTTTTTTACATATTGTTTTGCGGCTTTATCCATTTTTGAAAATATTTTGATAAAATACGTTATATTCTATCAAAAAACAAAAAAAACCCCATTTTTGGCAAAGCGTTAAAACGCTATCCCAAAAATTCAAATTTCAGCAAATTTTACAAATCGTGTCATATAAGAGCGAAGGAATAAGAATTTTTTCTCGAGCTCGAGAATGTTTGCTGGATTCGCTACCAATTTCAAAAAGTAGCGGAAACCTCAAATCGCAACCTCCAAAAAAGGCGTCGGAAGCAAATCGGCCATTTTGCGACGGCGCAAAATTGGGAGGTAGCAAATCGGCCATTTTGCGACGGCGCAAAATTGGGAGGTAGCAAATCCATGGATTTGCGACGTCCCAAAATAAGCCCCGCCCCCTCAGTTTTTCAGCCATCACGTTTGGCTTTTTGACGAAAAAACACCGTTTAGGGTGCAAAATTTAGCTTACAAATCGGACATTTACGATACTATGAAAGAAAAAAGGTCCCTCGACTCTTTAAAGCATTTATTGGAAAATAACGTACATTTTATGAAGAATATATTTTATTTTTTCCACGATTTTGTCCAAATATGGCCGGAGAGTCAATGGATGGGGCTGAAGAACATTTGTTTTTCCACAATGTTGTCCAGATATGGCCCAAGAGTCAATGACTGGGGTGGCAGAACATGGTCGAATATGGATCTTCCTGGAAATCAAAAGCAATATAACATTTCCTTCTCATTTTTAGAAAAAAAGACCTTCATACTTACCTCATAGTGCATGTGTCTAATCCTAGCATCGAAATGGGCATAGTCTTGGGCAAAAATACGGCCGATGGGAGTGAAATTGATTCCAGGTAACAATTTCAATCTCTAAATTACCTAAAAACAAAGTAATAATACTTAAATCAAATCTTACTTCCTTTGGCAACTACCACACGGCTTTTCCTTTGTCCGATTTCAATGTTTCTGCCTCCTTAAAAAGATTTATTAGACTCTTGCGATGAATAATGTAGAAAAAATTAGAAATCTCGTCCAAAATCAAAAAATAATAAAAAAAACACCTTACCATGGAGTCAAAAAGCCTTGTTCCCCGCCAATTTCGTCCCCGATGGGTATGGCGATCACCTTGAGTCGGGTTGTCTTCTAATTCAGCTTCTCTGCATCTATTTGGCCAATTCAACAAAAGGAAAAAGAATTATGTTTTTCGCGGCCCGTGAAAACGAAATGCCACGCAGTCCGAGAACGGATTTTAGGTCCAATTTTCGTGGGATTTCTGTTCATTCGATCCGAATTAAAGGCAACCGAGGGCCGAATTCTTGGTTGGACAATTACGTAAGCTTTATTCTTGGTATGTTGTTGTTTTAGTTGAATAACAAGGATTTCCTCGGTCTTATCAAAAGAGTCTGCCGTCTTTTGGACAGTCGAACCTTTTGAAAAGCTGTTGAGGCCGATTGCAAGGCCGAATTTCAATGTTTGGACGTAGTTTATGTAAGACTTGCTCTTTTTTATTATTTTTTTAGTAATAACGACAAGGATCAGGTCAGGATGTTATGGTTTTATCAGTAAGATATGGTCCGAGCGGGATGCGTCAAATTGGAGATGTGTCTTGGTCAAACTTGAAAAGAATGGAGTGCGGGAAGATCGATGCATCGACGAGTCGTTTGGAATCGTTGAAGGCAGAATTGTCTATTGCACCCGGCGCAGAAGGCCATATGTTGGAGACCACATGAGGATAGTTATCTAATATGTGCACGAATTGGTTTCTGCCAAGAATTGGGTCTACATCGTGGGTCTACAAGATAGTAAGAAACATTTTTATTTTATTTTGTTGCTTTAGGAGAAGAATGACCGGCCCCATCAAACGCCGCGGCTACGTCTGTCTTAGCCGTTCAACCCCGCACAGCAGGTCCCAGGAACTCCCCAGCAGATCCAGGACCTCCCCGGCAGTTCCAGGGCCATGTCTCCACACGGACTTGCAGTATTGTCCATAACACCGTGATTTCAATGCCGTATTCTCTGTTGTTTCATCCCTGGCCATATCATATTTAATAGAGATGTTGTTAGTCTTTCTATTGGCCTTATGTTAAGCTTTATTATTGTTTACCTGTGTGTTCCCAAGAGGCATTTTTATTTATTTAGTTGTGAATTGGTAGCAAGAATTATTTTATACCGATTTAAATGTAAAATATCTCTATTTCCTCTCTTACGCCTTGTTATTTTTTGGATTATTTGTTTTAATAAATTGTTATTGTCAAGAAAAATGTATGGGAGTTGTGAATAGTGCTTTATACACTCGAAATATATTCAAAACGGCAAACCGGAGCGCTAGAAAAAAAAATTCCGCCGGAGTGGGCGGAGTCAATTTGGGAGGTCGCAAATCCACGGATTTGCTACCTCCCAATTCCGTGCCGTCGCAAAAACGCCGTTTTGCTACCTTCTCTCTCGCGGAGGAAGCGAAAACGCCGATTCGCGACAGATTTTTTTCGGAGGTCGCGAAAAGAAGGATTCGCTACCGAGACCACGTTGCAAATAGATCATTTCGCTACTTTTTGAAATTGGTAGCGAATCCAGCAAACATTCTCGAGCTCGAGAAAAAATTCTTATTCCTTCGCTCTTATATCTTTTTTTTAATAAGTCCAAAATAAAAAATTCTTTTTGCTTTCGATTAGTAACAACATTTTTAAGATTTTTGTGACAAAAAACATCAAAATCAAAAAAATTTATTTTTTTGGCATTTTTTGACCAAAAAATAAAATTCAAGATTTTGATGTCTTTTTTTCACGAAAGCCTTAAAAATGTTGTTACTAATCGAAAGCAAAAAGAATTTTTTATTTTGGACTTATTAAAAAAAAGATATGACACGATTTGTAAAATTTGCTGAAATTTGAATTTTTGGGATAGCGTTTTAACGCTTTGCCAAAAATGGGGTTTTTTTTGTTTTTTGATAGAATATAACGTATTTTATCAAAATATTTTCAAAAATGGATAAAGCCGCAAAACAATATGTAAAAAAATTGGTTTAAAATATACTAATATGTTTAGGGTACTTTCGTGGTAACTTATGGTAACGTTTGATAACTTTCATAAGAATAGCACATATACAGAAAAACTCCTCTTAAAATTTACTACTATATACCTTTTTCCATTTTTGAATTGAGCTATCCTATAAAAAAATACGAATAAATTAAAAAATCCGCAATTCCTTTTGCATCAACCTATACGATCTGGTAGCCACCGATTTTTCTTACCCTGCCCATCGCCTCCGAGGAAAGCCTTACCAGCTGGGCCATTTTACCTCGCATGACCCTCGGGTGTTTGCTGACATTAAACTAGAATATTCTTATTTTGGTCAATGTAAGATGTCATTCAGAAATTTCCAGGTTTTTAGATGATGCTCACATTTTCCATATCAAAACCAAAAAGCTGACTATGTACTTGGATAACTTTATTTTGTACGAGTAAGTTGGCTAGTAGTGGTGCCGTATAGTGCGGACTTTTTGTCGCTGGTCGCACTTAAAATGCGGAGAAAAATCGCTGCGAGACGAGTATGTGTTATGAAATGTCAATTTTTAGCCTACCACCAATGCCTCATCTTGTAGAGTTAGAGTGTGAATTTGGAACAGTCGGACTTATGATAAACAACGGAGCTCTTGAATTTTACGGAGAAATCATTCAAAGACTGTTTGCAGCGGCGCCTAGTCTAAATAGAATTATGTTGGAATGCGGGGCTAGCGTTTTAGGGACCTTTACGGTATGTAAACCGTACTGTAGAGAAGACGTCTTTTTTAGGAGCTCAGTGAAGACAGAGTAGCCGATTTTTTCCGGGTATTGGAGTCAACGCTGGACCTCTTTTCAAAACATTTCGAAAAAATGGATGTCAAACTCGATTTCGGTGTGAACCTCCCACATTCGCTGTTGGTAAATTGATTTCTTGATTTTATTTGTTACACAGCTTGTAAACAGCGTTACGTCGCATTTTTAGGACGAGCTTGACGCAAAGACTGAGCTTATTGCTGCAATCCCTGTTCCGATGCTGTTTGACTACCATCCGAACGATCTTCACGCCGATTATTATCTTAAAATGCTGAATGATTTGTATTACAGCAAACCGGACGTCCCAAAGCATCTGCTGAACAAAGCTATTGGGTTTGAAATTCGGTTCATGGAGGACGTTTATTTTTCGTGGGGGGATAGACTTAGAGTTAGATGAATCGTTTTTTCTTATTAAGTTGTTACTATGCTCAGCGATGAATGCACTATGTATTTGGGAGCCTTATGTGGCTATGTACAAATCAATACCTGAAAATGTTTTTGCTTATATGATAAAGTAATCATGTGACGCGTTTCTAAGGCGTACTTTTGATTGTTTATATAGTCCCCTATGATTAACTGGTGAAAGAATATTGTTTTTAGTTTTGTAGTTTTGCCACACCTTCCTTTTTATTCCTCGTGTCTGTTATTCCAATTCAAATCATTTTTTCTTTTGCAAAGATGCCTTCTAAACTCAGCAATGAATGCATCATGTACCTTCTGGAATCCTTTTGTAGCTATGACTCTGTGGTGATGATAGAGCCGTATCATCGGATGAGCATCCCAGTATGTCATGACTCCTTTGTTTACACTTTTCTTTACCTAGCATACGTTTTTATTCACCTTTACTTTAATTCAGCTCATCTGTCGTCGATACTTCGTCCAGATCTTTAATGGGAGGTCGTATTCGTACTGGTTGATGAGCAGTTCTATTTTTTGAGGGACCGTCACCGTGTCGAAATTCGGTTTGAACGTGCAAGTAAGAAATCGATCAAGAATCAGGGTTCAGCCGTATGAAATTCTTGACATCATATTGAGTTTTTACAGGACACACAACACGAGAAAATTATTTGCATAACCCGTTAATCTCATTCTTTAAATTGGTCGCAATTACACCTGAAATTGAGCCGTTACCAGGGCGAGACAAGTATGTGATCAAAGTGTATGGAGAGGTTGAATACATCAGGCCTCTTTTAAAGATATTTTTTGGTAGGGTAAACATGGTATCTATTCTATTTCTTCCGTTTATCTGTGTTTCAGAAAATCGGATTCCAGCGCAATACGCTTTTGGTGCCTCACACGCGGCCGCCGCGGAATTCAACGATCTTGTGGCCACCGATTTTTCTTACCCTGCCCACCGGCTCTTCGGCATGCCTTATGAGTTGAGCAGTTTTACGTCGTGCGACCCTCGGGTCTCGAATTATATTGTCCCTATTGTAATCAATGTAAGACGTCTTCCAGAAACACGTATGTCTTTTAGATGCCGCACAAGTTTTTCACATAAAAACGCAGACACTGAGCTTGTACTTGGATAACTTTATTTGGTATGACGAGTGAGTTGGCTTGGCTTCCCTATATATCATTGTTTAGTCTACCACCAATGCCTCATCTTGAGGAATTAAAGTCTGAATTTGGAAAAATCGGTCTTATGCTAATACATGACGGCGCTCTTGAATTTTACGGAAAAATCGTTCAGCGACTGCTTTCAGCAGCTCCAAACCTTAAAAGAGAGTTTTTTACAGAATGAAGCTTCTCATAACAAGGGCCGGACATTTCGAAAAAACGACCAACTTAGAATCTTTCGATATTTTGCATAGTTGTTGTATTATGATAGCTGAACGTCAGTACGAATTTTTAGTTTCTGAAATTACCGTATACGGGGGTTACGGTAGGTACAATTTTTAGAAAGATTGGGTTCGTGTGTAAAAACCCCGAGGAGTAAAAGCACAAAACCTCGCTGTTTTACGTTTTTGACCATGGGGAACATTTTCATAATTGACAACTTTACCGTAGGATGGTGCCTTCGACTACTTTGAAAAATACCAAGGTACCATAATGAATGTAACTTTTTTGCAGAGAACTTGTCTCAACTTTTGAAACCTCTCAAAAATACCTTGACATAGGTGTAACAACATATCAAAAATGCGCAAAAATGAAAGGGGTGGTTTTGGAGTTACGGTACTTTGAAGGCAGCCGGTACCGTATATCAAAAAATAATTTTTTCCAAAATCGGTGTAGAAGACCCGCAAAAATTGCCAAAATACGTTTTCGACCATGGCGAACATTTTTGTAATTGACACTTTTTCTGTAGGATGTCATCTTCGACTACTTGGAAAATGACCAAGGTACCATGGTCAATATAACTTTTCGGCATTCTACTTGTCTCAACTTTTGAAACCTCTCAAAAATACTTTGACACGTATGTAACAACATATCAAAAATACGCGAAAAAAAAGGGGTGGTTTTGGAGTTACGGTACTTTGAAGGCAGCCGGTACCGTATATCAAAAAATAATTTTTTTCAAAATCGGTGTAGAAGAGCAGCAAATCATGCCAAAATACGTTTTCGACCATGGAGAACATTTTTGTAATTAACACTTTTTCTGTAGGATGTCATCTTCGACTACTTGGAAAATGACCAAGGTACCATGGTCAATATAACTTTTCGGCATTCTACTTGTCTCAACTTTTGAAACCTCTCAAAAATACTTTGACATGTATGTAACAACATATCAAAAATTTAGAAAAATAAAAGGGGTGGTTTTGGAGTTATGGCACTTTGAATGTGGCCGGTACCGTACATCAAAATTTCCTTTTTTCTAAACTTGACGTAGAAAACCCGCAAACCTTGCCAAAATACGTTTTCGACCCTCGCGAACATTTTTGTAATTGACACTTTTTTTGTAGGATGCAGTCTTCAACCGGTATGAGAAATATCAAGATACTATGTTCAATATAACTTTTCGGCATTTTACTTGTCTCAACTTCTGAAACCTTTCAAAGACACCTTGACATATGTGTAACAACATATCAAAAATTTAGAAAAATAAAAAGGGTGGTTTTGGAGTTATGGTACTTTTAATCTTGATCATACAGTACACCAAACTTTTGTTGTGCTGCTGACATCCGAATTTGGAAGATTCCACCGTCGTATGGCATACACGAGTCTAAACCGTGGTAATCGTTGCAAAAAAAAATAAGAAATCGCTGATCTTGCTGTTACAGTAACCAATTATATGCGCACGATATGTTACAGTACGCTTAGGCCTAAATTTTCTGAATTTCCTAGTGAAAATAGTTTCTGAGGGTCGTGCAACATACATAAAACATTACATCTTGTTTTTAAAATAATCTGCGTAAAGTTTAGCCGAGAATAAATCCAGGTGTACTGTATGTCCAACATTCAAAGTGCCATAACTCCAAAACCACCCCTTTTATTTTTCTAAATTTTTGATATGTTGTTACATACATGTCAAAGTATTTTTGAGAGGTTTCAAAAGTTGAGACAAGTAGAATGCCGAAGAGTTACATTACACATGGTATCTGGGTCATTTTCGAAGTAGGCGAAGACTACGTCCTACAAAAAAAGTGTCAATTACAAAAATGTTCGCCATGGTCGAAAACGTATTTTGGCAATTTTTGCGGGTCTTCTACACCGATTTTGGAAAAAATTATTTTTTGATATACGGTACCGGCTGCCTTCAAAGTACCGTAACTCCAAAACCACCCCTTTCATTTTCGCGCATTTTTGATATGTTGTTACACCTATGTCAAGGTATTTTTGAGAGGTTTCAAAAGTTGAGACAAGTTCTCTGCAAAAAAGTTACATTCAATATGGTACCTTGGTATTTTTCAATGTAGTCGAAGGCAACATCCTACGGTAAAGTTGTCAATTATGAAAATGTTCCCCATGGTCAAAAACGTAAAACAGCGAGGTTTTGTGCTTTTACTCCTCGGGGTTTTTACACACGGACCCAATCTTTGTGAAAATTGTACCTACCGTAACCCCCGTATACGGTAATTTCAGAAACTAAAAATTCGCGCTGACGTTCAGCTATGATAGTTCAACAACTATGCAAAATATCAAACGATTCTGAGTTGGTCGTTTTTTCGAAATGTCCGGGCCATCCTTCGAGTTGTAAAAAACTCTCTTTTAATTCCGTTGCATTTATGTGCCAACCAACCATTCGTGGGAGCTTAACGGTATGAAAATTGAGTCATGACAACTAGACCTTTTATCAGGACCTCGGTGAGAACGAACTGGTCAATTTTATCCGCACGTTCGAATCGATTTTAGACATGTTTTCGAAGAGTTTTAAAAAGATGGATATCCGCTTTGACTTGGTCGTAGAGGTCCCGGGTTTGTTGGCGGTGAGGCAACCTTTCTTTTATCTTCTTGCAATGCCTTTTGCATTATTCAAAGTGCGGTATATACCGTTTTTAGGAGGATCTGTTCGCAAAAGTTAGACAACTGGCTGAAGTCCCAATTCCTTCGCTCTTTTACTACACTGACTTCAACATCAAGAATCCTCATGTCGACTATTACCTTAAATTACTTGATGATTTGTATTACAGCAAGCCCGACGTACCAAAATATCTGCTGCACAAAACGATTCGTTTTGCAGTTACCTTCGCGTCCGACGAAGATTTCTTGAATGGACGCAGACGTATTTTTTATCCTGATTACGGCTTGGGAAATATTTATGAGTTTCTTTAACAACCTTAATGTCTATGAATGTATAATTTCTATATTTTTCATAAACAATTAAAAGTTTCGCGGTATTGAAAAAAGTGTTTTGAAGTTTTAGCTTCAAGCGGTTGGTTTTCCAGCTACTTATTTAGTGTTTGCGGTCAACGATATCGAATATGTGAGGCGCAACGACCGAGCTTCGAGGATTTTCGCACGAGGAACGGCCTACATTTATTCAAATTTGATTGTACTTTTCTGCGTGGGGCTTTCCTATAAAAGGCCTCCTTTCCACTGAATAAATCACTTGACTCTTGAGCTCTCGTCTTGTCTCGTTACTGGGTTCTCGGGCCTTTCGACAGAATACTACATCCAAAATGTGTTGGAATTTTGACTTCTTTATAGTTTGGGATTGTTTTTTATTACATACATATGTAGGTGCGCCTTCCTACTCCACCGGGCCCTTATTCCAGTCCAAATCAATTTTCTTTTCTGCAAAGATGCCCCCTAAACTTAGCGATGAATGCGTCATGTACCTTCTGGAATCCTTCTGCGACTATGACTCGCTGCTGGCACAAAACCCTTGGCGGGCGTATCATCGAATGAGCGTCCCGGTAGGTCTTAATTTTATTCACATTTGCTTTACTTCAGCTCATCTGTCGACGATACTTCTTCCTCATCTTTAATGGGAGATCGTATTTCTATTCCTCGGAAATTTTCAGTTCCATTGCTTTGAGGGACCATCAGCCTGGTGAAATTATGTTCGGACTTGCGGGTAAGAAATCGATCAAAGATCAGAGTTCGGCCGTGCGAAACTGTTGACTTCTGAGGTAATTAAAACATCAAGTTTTTACAGAAGAAACAACACGAGACATGCGCCTGCAAACACCGTTAATCTCATTTTACAAATTGGTTGCAATTACACCTGAAATTGAACCGCTGCAAGGGCGAGACAAGTATGTGGTCAAAGTCGAAGGAAACAATGACTATACAAGGCCTCTTCTAAAGATTTTGCTTAGTAGGTTCAAATAGTATGTTGCATTATTACAATATTTTTCAGAAAATCGAATCCCCGCGCAACATAGGGGTTCTTCTTGGACGTACGATTCTGCGGCCACTGAAGAATTCAACGATGTTGTAGCCACCGACTTTTCCTACCCTGCCCATCGGCTCTACGGAATGCCGTATCAGCTCAGCGAATTCACGTCTTCTGACCATCGGGTATTTACAGAGGTCAAATTAGAATGCTGTCATTGTAACGATTGTAAGGCGTTGCCTTACAGAAATCAGCATTTTTTTAGACGTTCCTCACATTTTTCGCATCAAGACGAAGAAACTGACCATGTGCTTGGATAACTTTATTTGGTACGATGAGTAAGTTGGCTATGACATCAACTAAATTTATGCTTCTGATCCGCTTTTCTGTAGCCTACCACCAATGCCCCATCTTGTGGAATTAAGCTGTAAATTTGGAGAAATTGGACTTATGATAAACGACGGAGCTCTCAGATTTTACGAAGAAATCGTTCAAAAGCTGTTTTCAGCAGCTCCGAATCTCAACTCAATCGCGCTGAGTTGCCGGCCAAGCGTTTTTGGGACCTTGACGGTATGAAATATTATAACTGTGGCTACGGTATTCTGTTTAGGACCTTGGTGAAGATACAGTGGCTGATTTTTTCCGGACGTTGGAATCAACTTTGGACCTCTTCTCAAAGCACTTCAAAAATATGGATATTAAGCTGGATTTAGATATCAACCTGCCGCATTCGCTAAGGGTAGGCTTTATTTTTCAATCCTTCAATACGCTTAACATCACCCGAGTATTACATGCCGTTTTTAGGCCGAACTTGACGCAAAGCTTGACCTCTTCGCCGAGATCCCTGTTCCTATGCTGTTTCACTACTACTTACAGGATCCGCATGTCGACTATTACCTCAAAAAGCTGTATGATTTGTATTATTGCAATCCGGAGATTCCAAAGCATCTTTTGAACAAAACGATTGGGCTTAGAGTTAATTTCTTTGATGACAATTTTTTGACCGAAAATAGACTAATGGTTCACTGAATTGTCATTGTATATTATGATTAGATATTTATGGAATCTCAATTTTACAAAAATTGCGATATTAAATAAAAAAAAATTCTATTTTATTTTTGCAGCATTGCGCATTTGTTTTATTATACTATTATATCTATTTATTTAGTAATGAGTTCTCGTGCTACAAAACAATATTTACATGGTAAAATACGCTTCTAGAAATAATGTATGTACTATCTAAACTTGTTGTTCAGAATACTGTAGACGTCTGCTTGTCCTAAGGGCTTCGTTGGGAATGAGATATTCAATGGCTCTCGGTCGTCATACAACGATGGAGATTCAAGGATAATCCACAACGTGGCCACGTTCATGAGACCAAAAATCCATAGAAATAATCGATCCAAAACTGTGGCCACGAACACCCAGTCGTCCGAGATCTAAAACCCATTTTGTTTTTTATATTATAGATATACTATTTGATACACTGGGAGACGTTAGCGAGCACGTATTTTACCTCCATTTCTTCCTGATACCTTCGAAAATGCTCAGCGATCAACTTGACCTGCTGCAGAAGCTTGGCGAGGATCAGATCATTCACTTTCTTCCTTGTTTTTCGCTGCTCCTCCTCAACTTGTTGCTGGGATTTGCGGCGGGTCATCTGTTTTTGTATTGAATGTGGCAACGAGTGGGTGCCATTCATACTTCGCTCAAATTTGACTCCAGTCTCCTAAAAAATAGATTTCAATGTTAGAATTCTCATTAATTCATTCCTGCAGATCTACTGACCGTAAATCCAACCGAATTCCCCGGAATCGGCCCATTGAACGAGGTACTCATCATTCTCGGCGGAGGTATTGCTTCCAGACTGTCGTGGGAGTACCCGATCGATGGTGTTCTATAGCTCATGTAGCTGGGTGGAGCCATTGACGGACGCTTGCTCAAGTACTCCTTGGCCTCTTTGCTTCCGAACTTTGTTTTCGGCAGACTTCCGGAAGGACCGAAAAGATTGGCAGCGCCCGCAAACAGCTCGGTAGCCACGTGGGGAACGGCGGAAGGACGGCGGACCGCGCGTTCCACCTTCTCCGGGCGCTTTATGAACAACAGTCTAGACAGAGAGAATTTAAATATGTAGGTTTAAAGTAACTTACTTTGGCAGCAGTTTCATGAATACTGTCTTGGTCCAAGGCGACATAATGTGGGCAGCTCCACTTCTGAATCGGAAGTTGACGGTGATAACGGAGACAATTGTGGAGAGTGCGACCAATACCATTGTTGTGATTAGATATCGGCCAAACATTGGTATCACCAGACTTGTTGGGGGCATTATGTCAATCAAAACCTGAAATGGGCTGATTGAAGATAAATAATAAGTTCACAAACGAGAACTTGAGATAAAAAGTTAAAAGGAGATCCCTCCAATTTTGCTGACATTTACAAGGGAATACCCCAAGTTCGATGCTCAGATTTTCTTTAAATCTTGAGGATACATTAGGCATGAACTAAGTATCAATTCCTGAAAGTTTTAGCTCGCGCTTTGCAAGCGCCACCGAGATATTGATCCATCTTTGCCGCCGAGAGAGTACGCTATATGCGGAGAGCGGTCAGAGAGAAAAACTAATGGCTTTCTGGTCATAACTTTGCCAGTTTCGTGCGGAAAAAGTTGATTTTTTGCATAGACATTACCAATTACAAAAGAAATAGGTATGAAACTTTTCGTGGCGGAATTCGACGAAAAATCTTAAATTTTCGCCGACTTTCCATACAAAAATCTCGGTTGTTTCTACAAAGCGCAAGCTAGGATTTTCGCACATGTTTTAGCAAAAAATATTCTAAATTTGTGCCAGCTTTCATCAAAATCTGAGCGTCGCACTTGGGGTACTTCTCCTGTAAGAAAAAATTTACTTACCAAGAAGAACACAGTCAACGTGACCAGAATGGAAATTGAGAATGTAATTTTGTGATGCGACAGCAGAAACACGAACGTCGTCAGGAATGAGATCAAGAAGCACGGCATGATCAGATTGCAAGTGAAGAACAGTGTTTTCCGACGCAAGACGAAGTAATATGTGATGTCAACGTATTTCTCAGGACCACAACAACTTGCGTACAAAACGGAATGTCTTTCGGATCGAAGAGAAAGAAGATCCCATTCAGCTGATCTGAAAAGAAAGATATATCGATAAATATCCAAAATGATAACTTTATGATTATTATTTAAAAAATTTAAGTTAAAAAAAAAATCTTACTTGTAAAAAAAGCTCAAATCCATTCCATTTTCTTTGACCTCAACGGTTGTGCCATTGTCATCGGCTTGCCGTAGATCCACATAAAAACCCGTGTAGGACCAAGCTCCGAACTTCATATTGCAGTTTTGTAAATCGTATGGGAACCAAGTGACGTCAATCTGAACAGATTTGAGAATAAAAAATGGAAGGTTTTCGATTAGATGAGTAATGATATTACAAAGTTTGGACAATGCTCTAGACATTATATTCCAAAAGTTAGAGCTGATCGGTTCAAAAAATTGTTTCTGTTTGACAGACAAAACTTTGAGAAATGGAGCACAAACGACTGGTTGAATGTGAGTTTGATACGAAAGCTTTGATCTACTCCTTACTCTAAAGTCAAACCTCTGTATGGCAAACCGCAAGAGATCAAAAATTTTTTTTGATGTAGTGAGTTTGTTGTTCAGAAGTTCTTGTGTATGTACGTGACAAATCATTATGATAAACTAATTCTCTAAACAAGAAATAAGAAATCTATTTCCAGTGGTTCGAATGTTTTTCAAAGCCCGAATTGGTGAAGGAGTCGTCGCTGGTCATGTTGGAAAGGCCAAAGCAATGTCTGAAGTTCACGAAGATGTGGTCCTCTTCACTGTGGAAGTCCTCAATAGCTTCAGGAATGCCTTGAACATCCCACACCAGTTCAAGTTGAGTAGCGAGAGCTCGAAGAGGAAGTTTGTGGATAACCGGTTTATGTTCGGTAAGAAAAACTGTCCAGTCTTACTTTCCATATTTCTCCTTACAGGAGAAGTATCCCAAGGGCGACGCTCATATTTTCTTTAAATTTTGCACACCCATCGGTCACGAACTAAGTATCAATTCCTGAAAGATTCAGCTCGCGTTTTGAAGGCGCCGCCGAGAGGGTACACTAAATGTGCAGAGCGGTCAGAGAGAAAAACAATTTTTGGCCATAACTTCGCTAGTTTCGCGCGGAAAAACTTTTTTGTGGGAACCTTTACGGTAGAAATACTTTTCGTGCCGAAGTTCGGCAAAAATAGTCAAATTTTCGCCAACTTTCGATCTAAAAATCTCGGTTGTTTCTGCAAAGCCCGAGCTAGGATTCTCGCGTATATTTTGAAGAAAAATATTCTACATTTGTACTAACAGGGGAAGTACTTCAAGTGTGACGCTCAGATTTTCTTTAAATTTTGCACACACATCGGGTATGGACTAAATATCAATTCCTGAAAGTTTTAGCTCGCGCTTTGCGGGCGCCGCCGAGATATCGAACGATTTTTGCCGCCGAGAGAGCACACTAAACGTGGAGAGCGGTCAGAGAGAAAAGCGCTTTTTGGCCATAACTTTGGCAGTTTCGTGGGGAAAAATTTGATTTTTTGTAGAAACATTATCCTTTACAGTTGAAATAGGCATGAAACTTTTCGTGCCGAAATTCGGCAAAAAGTCCTAAATTTTCGCCGACTTTTGATCTAAAAATCTCGGTTGTTTCTGTAAAGCGCGAGCTAGGATTCTCGCATATATCTTAGAAAAAATTATTCTAAATTTATGCCAAGTTTCATCAAAATCTGAGCGTCACACTTCAAGTACTTCCCTTGTAAGTTTCATCAAAATCTAAGCGTCGCACTACTTCCTCTGTTAGAGATAAGCGCCTAAAACAGTGACCAATACTATAAATGAACTTTCAGTCGTCCGAGACTCCTACAAGATTTTCATTGGTGAGAAAATGTTAGAGAAGAAAGTGGAGACCGCAAGAATTATGTCACAGCTAATGGATGAAGTCTTACTGGTAATTGTAAAGCTACTGGTCTTCTTCAGACATCGAAAGCTCAGTGTAAATGCAGCAATTATTTTGCTAGATAACAATAGCAACGAGATGTTCGATGGGTATCTGCAGTTTTCAGAGGATACCACTTGTAAAATTGAGAGGCTTTGAGTTTTTCTTTGATTTTTAAGGTAATGATATGTACCTTACACATAGCTTAATAAAAAAATTTAAAACTGACCGGACAGAATGACTTGTAGATTGCCGGTGGCTGCCAAAATACCCGTCCGTCGTACGAGACCAAAGCGTCCGTGATTATTGTAATGTCGGGGTCTCCAGCGGCACTAAAATTCAAAATGAAATGATATAAATAGAACTTACTTGTTGTACAAGACAAGATCTGGAGTCCAAATCATGTCCGACGGGATATGCAGAGCGGTGATTCCACCGTATTTATTGGGGTCCCACTTCAACTTGGCATCTACCCATTTCTAAAAGTCTCAGCGAATTATTATTTTTTAAAAGGAGTGAAAAAATTATGTTTGAAGGAAATGAAAACATACCATGTCAAGCCAAAGATTTGTGGTGAGGATTTGGTTTTTTTCATCCTGAAAAAATATGTATTAGAGAGACAAAAGACGAGTGATGATTGGTCAAAAAGGCACTTCGTAGAAAACTCTTTTTTGGTTGAACTTTAACCCGTTAAAGATTAATTGTATATTGTCCTTTTTCCCTAGAGCAAAAGAACAAACAACTATCATATTTCAAGGCAAAATTCAAAATAAAAATGCCCAAAATCTTGGTAGACTAAGCGGATATGCTCTAATTTTAAAGCGCAAAACAAAGTTTGGAGCTGTTTCGGAGGCTTAGCACTAGTCTGTCGGGAAAAAAATGTGGAGTTGTTGCAGCAAAATATCTTCCTCGGCGCAAACGCTCATCATATCTCCAGCACCCCAAAAATGATGATAGGCGATTTCAAAGCGCGGCGAATCCACTTTATTTTCCCGACAAACTTGTACAGAAATTGTCTAGAAAATAATTGTAAGGCCCTTGGAATCCCGTACATGTAAAAATCCTCAAATGTTTGGCCAGCCTACTTAAAATGATGGCTGCTTACCACATCAATGATCCTGATCAAACTGGCTCCAACATCGACCACCAAAACATCACTCGAATTCTTGACTGGCCTTGGGATCTTTATATAGTCAAACAACAGATCTTCATACAGCTGCGACTCCAAGTTCATGCTTCTGCTCATCCCGGCTGTCGCCCAATCAACAAAAATGAGGAATGGCCAAAATTTCGCTGGCACCATTATGTCGCCTTCTTATTACGCCGCATTTGACTATTAAATTGAGCGTAAATTTGCAAATTTGAATATTCTAGTGTCCAAACCCCCGTGTTCTCCTTTATTACATCTTTCCCGTCCGTTTTTAAATTGAATTACCCGGGCATTCAGGGTGCTATTTCCGTTTTCTGAAACTCGTCAGGATAACACGAGATCCCTGGAGGATTTCTTTGACACGGAGAGAAAATGATCGTCCCTTGCAAGGTAACGTTGACAAGTTGGAAATGGAAGGATAAAAGGACGCCCCGAGGGGATGCAAGAGCACAAAATATCAACCGGAATAGATGGTAGATGATAAATCGCGTGGCTTTGCAACTTTTGAGCCGAAAAAAATGCCGCAAGAAAAGAGCCATTGTCTAAATGCTAATATAACGCAACAAGAGAGGAAAATAAAATTGCGGCCAAATTACTCAATAAATGTTTGTAATTTATTAAAAAATTTGCATATACCAAATTTACATGTAAAATATCAGATATAAAATTTTCACCGTCTAAAATACCACCTAAACCGTCTAAATTCCAATTTTCAACAAACTCTGTAACAAAGAATAAGAAATATTACTCAAAATTGGAACAATGCCTCATCGCGCTTCCGAAGAGCCCTCAAATGGAATTTATTCCGTTTCCCCAATGGAACCCTTAAGCCCCACAGGGCTTTAAACAAATTTCGAAGCCGTCGGCCCAAAAGAATGGGCTTGTCACAGAGTGAAGCGCCAGTGGCATCTGAATTCCGTGGTGTCGGCCTCTATAAAACCAAAAAAATTGGAAAACAATGGAAATGCTTTGATTTGGAGAGAGGAAAAGTTAGCCTTGTAAATCAAATATTGAAATGCTGACATTCTATAAAAAAAGCTCTATAGTCCGTTGTTTCTTAAAAGCTTTGCACAATTCGTATTCTGTATTTCACCTACAAGAGAACTGCCTGAAAAGCGGAGCTCAAATTATACTGTTAGAGCAATGTGGCACAAATAATATTGTTTTTAATTGTAAGACGTATGTGATATTTCGAGAAATGTACATATTTTTTTAAACAGCATAATTCCCACTATGGACATTAACGTCCCTGAAAAAAATGCAATTTTGTCAGCGTTAAAATTTCAGTAAAAAGCATTTTTTCTCTCTGATCGTTCTCGGAAATTTGCGCATTCCTACGTCGACAAGGATTGATGAATATCAGCCTGTCGGGAAAATAATGTGGATTCGTCGCGGCAAATTTTCCCTCCTTGCGGCAGTCGCAAAACAATCAATATTCCCGGCCGAGACTAGCCGCGGCAAAGTGATAATGAGCGATCCTGACAAATCCACATTATTTTCCCGACAGTGTGATATTTTGGCTGTCACTGCAAACCTTGAGCTTGGATTTTTGGAATTTATATTCGACATAGGTCCAGATTGTGTATAAAATTCAACGATGATCGGATCTGAGTGTCGTATTCGAACCTTTTCCTTGTTAAATTTGCCCTTGGCAAAATCTGTGCGTCCCAACGTGCGCACTTCCTCTGCAATCCTCAGACAGGGATCCATTTCTTCGACTGTTTACTGCACTATATAATTCCAATGTGACGCAACCACCTTCCAGAAACCACTACACATACATTTATTCGCATTCCGTTCTCCCAGTGCATTCCAAGTTCAATCCGCAAATCCGCATGGTGAAATAAGCCGGTCATTATCCTTCACCGCCTCCTCAGACATCTGAAGCCCTTGTGCCCGCCCTGCGGGAAATGGGACACCGTAAATCCGCTGTGCGGATAACATAATACTTAACGGATTATTCGAGAGCGATCCTCTCTTCTTCAATTATTCTAATGGGGCGAATTACATGACAAATGAATTTTTTTGTGTTGTTCATGAGGAAGGGATTCTTGTTTATGGAAGACGCTGTGTTTGCAGGGCAATGTAGGGCAACGTTCATGTGTTATTCATGGCTTCCGGGATTTCTGGTTGGGAATTGCTCTCATTGAGCTCCAAGCTTCCCATGAAACTCTTAATTTATCGTGATTCTGAAGGCGTTTTTAACTTTTGTTTAATGTTTTCTGGGCCTTGCAATTTTGTAAGGAATCATAGCGATTTTTTTTTCCAAATTCACTTTTATTATATAGTTTTTTTCCCACAGCTCATTGGAAAAGATTCCACAAGCGAGACATGGTTGGACACAGTTTTATGTTTCACGGGATGAACGTTTCAGAAAACGGCATTTACGAAAATGCTGCGGAGTTTTTCAGATTTTTGCTGGGAATAGTCACTAATTTTTCTTCACTAGCTCTTGATTTTGCCAGAGCCGAAGAAACTATAGCTTTAAATTGATTTACACTCTTGTAAGATGGCCGGGTTTCGTCAGAAACCCTCTATTTGATCTTCCTAGAATACCTCTGTCAGACCGGGGATAGGTTTTCCGTCAAGCCCATCGAGAGGCCCGGTGGACAACCACACGATAAGACGAGAAGCTCGAGTTCAAGTGATTTATTGAGTGAAAAGCGGCCCTTATATAAGGAAATCCCACGTAGGAAAGTACAATCAAATTTGAATAATAAATGTGATTTCCGTGGGAATTAGGGCTCGAAGTTCGGTCGTTCCGCCTCACATCTCCAAGTGATCAAGTCGGGCACGGCTTGGCACTTCACAAAGCCATCTAAACCTCGATAAAAATATAAGGGTTAGGATGCAAAATTCAGTAGGCCCTTGACGAACCCAAATATCCAGAACTTTAAGAGCGAAGTTTACACTTATATACATATGTATCTGTCGCGCCAAAAATCTTATCGCCGCCGGGAAAATGAATTACGTCCTGACAAGACCGAATTTCTTTTCTCTTCAGCGACGCGATCGACGCAGCAACATTGCGCTCATTATTTTCCCGCCTGACTGAAAACTGGATATTTTTTGTGCCTTTGAAAAGAAAAACGATGTTTTCAAACTCCCGTCAGTTTTACTTCCCACTGATCCTAATTGCCCTGAAATAGATGTTCTTTGTGCGCATGGCTTAACCTTGTTATGGAACTACAAGTTTTTTGTGGCTTAAGTTCTACTTTTATTGTTAAACATATGTATATCCTAGCAGTTCTCAAAAATTGTCCTCCAATTTTACCGTACCTTTCAACACACGAGATTGATTTCTTAATCCCGTTGGAATAATAAAACGGCCTATATTTGAAATAAATCCTTATAATTCGGCTCCCTACACGTTTTCTGGCCCCCCGGATTGTCCCGTGGATAATATGGCCCGGGGAGTTAGGGGATTTAGATAAGATTACATGAGTGTTCGGTTGGGAGGAAGATTCTACATCTGAGAGTAAAATAAGTGCTAATTGGAGCTGACATTTTTCAAGTTTCTGGCCAATTACTGAATTTAATATCATTGAAAATATTACTGTTACTAATTTTTACTATTTTTAAACAGTATTTTGTCAGCAAACCAAATAGCGCAAAACCTTTAATCTTTTGCAAATTACGTTACCTGAACAATCGTGTTATAATGCAGACATTTGTTTTGACAAATGTTCTTTGAAATTGACGCCGCATTTAATTAAGGGCCTTTTAAAGTGGTGTTCGGCTAGGAATTCCGCTCAGGTTAATGGGGAGAGGGCGTCTTCTGGACTGACAAGGGATCGGCAAACAGTTGCAACCTTTAATCTTAACAAAACATATAACGTTTGAAAGAGCATTAAAAATAGCGCACAACGCAAGAAAAATTAGCTGCCTAATTTATGTTTGGACAAAGTTATGGCCGTTTTATGAAAGTAGTTACATGCGGCCAAAACGCCGGTTTCTTATATTACAGTAATCCTGCCGGCTTGAAATCGTCTCCATTGATTTTCTAGTATCTAAAAACGTCTATCACGGTCGTTTTATGGCTCTACCAATCCTCGGTTATGAGTTATTAGACATTACTGCATGTTCCGAAAAATTGTAAATAAAACTAGGTTAATGAGAAAATTGGAGCTAAAAGCTTTGGAAATACATTTATATGATCGTTGTGGTTTTAGTTCACAAACTAAAATCTCAAAATTAAAAATTTCTTATGTCCTAGCCCTACCAACGGTTTATCCACTGTGCCAGCAAATCTTTTGCACGATTTTACAATTTTCTCTTCGTATTTTTTCGAAAAAATGTGTATTTACAGGTCCTAGTAAATTTAATTCACGTCCAATAATTATAATAGGTCAGGCTACTGGTATGACACCCTTGTAATTATATGATAGTGGTATCCCCACTCTCATCACCATCAAATTTGTGGTCGTTTCAAAAAAGGCCAAAAATTCAGAAAAATCCCGTACAAATGAATTTTGTCTGCGAAGGAACACAAATTGTTTAAAAATATCAACATACCATGGTTTTGTGGCGTATAAGATACGAAATGCAAAAAAATTACGGGGCCCGGGCTCGAAACCACGACCTGTTGCGCCGGAAGTAGGGGTCACTACCACTCGGCCAAGTGAACACGACTCCGTTGCGGCTCCAAGAGCTTATAAAGTGACGCGCGAAATTAGGCTAAAATCTGTATTTTGGCCATAACTTTGTCCAAACATAAATTAGGCAGCTAATTTTTTCTTCCTTATACACAACTTTTTAAGCTCTTCCAAATGATATATGTTTTGTTAAGATTAAAGGTTGCAACTATTTGCCGATCCCTTGTGAAGAATATCGTAAACTAACGGACAAAACAAAATTTACTGTGTTATTATTTTGGGATTACATTAATAATTGCACACGATTTTCAAAGCGTATTTTAACAGCCAAGTGGGAGTAGTTTTAGAAATTTTAGAGCTTTTGTTTTTTTATCATTTTATCAGTTTGTCGGGAATATATTGAGCGTAATGTCTCTGCGCCGATCGCGTCGCTGAAGTGAAAAGCAATTTGATTTTTAATTTTTTTGCCGGCGATTTGATTTCTAGGCGTTGCGACTCTTTCGGGCAATTTCTTTGCGGGCTACCGACATTTAAAGATTAGAATTACGATTAATCTACGGAATATGATTGGAATTTTGCGTTGGCAACTCCCTGGGACTGATAAATCTACGAATCTTTTGAATTTATCCACCCCTTTGAAAGTTATGGGAGTTTGTTTTCAAAAAATGTTTTCTGGACCTTCAAAAATGCCTGGTTAACATTATGATGCCTATTCAAGCCACTTATACACCTGAAAATTTAATTTGCAACATCTCACTGCCAATTTCGTCTTAAGAATTTTTTGTTGTAACCAAATGTTGGCCGATTTCCAAACCTGCCCGCAGAATCTCCGTGGTTCTATTGCCCCCAAAGTGGTTGCCCGCAAGTGTGGGCCCGCCATCCATAAATCTATTTTTATGGCTATAATCTTTTGATTGCGGCCAATATGTTTCAAAAACCATCTTTTTTAACGGTTTATTAATGTCTTGGATTATCCGCGTGTTATTTTCGGACACGAATTTTTGTTGTGATCGACAAACCGTCTTTTCAGAATGACAACACAATCCCACAGACCACAATTGAGCCTTTCAGACGGAAAACCTCTGGTGCATTACTGCGGAGGTGAGTTATTTCATGGAGTACAAAGAGATTTCATGTTTTTGAAGTCTTTGTAAAATCGTACTTGGGAAGAGAGGATTTTCATTTACAATTTTGTTAGTAGTAAGTGATGTGAAATCGGGTTATTCTTCGACCAACAGAATCGCTTTATCTTCTTGGCCGTTTCTTGGCTTCGAGCGGTCAATCTCAACTCGTACATGTCATACTTACAAGGAAAGTACTTCTATGGGATATGGAGTTATAGGTCGTGACATATATCAAAACAATTTCACAATTTTTCTGATTCAGAATATGTCAAAATTAGCTGACCAATTTTGGTTTGTAATGGTGAAAAAAACCCTCATAACTTTTCACGCAACACCACGCAAATGCCCATTTTTGACCAAGTCTTTACCAATTCGAAAGCTTTGTTTCCAATATAAAATTTGATTAATATTCTACTATACTTTAATAGTAAGTTCCAATGTAAAAAAGTGACATTTGCGTGGTGTGGCGAGAAAAGTTCTATAGGGTTTTTCACCTTACAAACCAAAATTAGGTGGCTTATTTTTACATATTCTGAAACGAAAAAATTTCACGATGTTTCTGATATATGTCTTGACCTGTAACTCCATACCCAATAGAAGTACTTTCCTTGTTAAATAAGCCCGCTTCAATAGTTATTTTCTCTTACAAAATGCAACCAAAGCTCATCCAAAAACCTGTTTTTCGTACTCCTGATCCCAAGTGCGGAATTCTATATATCATCTCATTTGTTCTCGTCTAGAAAACAAACGCAAAACATGTACGAACCTGCACTTTCATTAGGCGTAAACATGTTTTCCTCAACTCTTAATTCATTTCCAGAATGCGAGATGCCCATTGAGTATTGTGTCTACGGTCAGGATCCAATCCGATGCCTTCGGTGGCTGGAACGGCATCTCCCCGAAGTTCATGCGCAAATGGTTCCGGAGCAGGTGAAAAAATATAAGAATCCGGTGACTCCGACGATCATTGAGACAGTTATGATACCCGAAATGAGAGATGGACGATTCGCGTCGATCGGAAGTCTGGATGAGTTTAAGAAGAAGGTCTTCAGGAAGGAGAGGAAGTAATAGTTGGAGAATAGTTTTTAGAGAGTCTTCAATAATCTCGCAGAACATGTAACACTTATAAAGTCACCTCAACGTTTGCTAATCACAATAAATTTCTTGTCATATTTTGAAATTTCAATTTTTGTTAGAGCCACAACACACGTCGGGCATAATCTAACTCACAATTCCTGAAAGTTTTAGTTGGCGCTTTGGAAGCGCCGCCGAGATATTGAACGACCTTTGCCGCCGAGAGAGTACGCTAAACGTGGAGAGCGTTCAGAGAGGAAAACTTTTTTTAATCATAACTTTGCTAGTTTCGTGCGGAAAAAATAGATTTTTTTGTGGAAACATTGCCCCCTATGGTAGAAATAGGCATGAAACTTTCTGTGCCGAAATTCGCCAAAAAGTGTCAAATTTTCACCCACTTTCGATCTAAAAATCTCAGTTGTTTCTGCAAAGCGCAAGCTAGGATTCTCGCATATATTTTAGAAAAAAAATATTCTAAATTTGTGCCAAGTTTCATCAAAATTTTGGGATACTTCCCCAGTCAGTTTTATTCGAAATGTCGTTAAATTGCCGCTTGAGTTCTAACCCGCCCGGAAACTCAATGTGATAGCTTCAACTTGCGCTTTTCAACGGCAACTAAGGTATTGAACGACAAGGCGTAAGAAGAGCTACTTCGACTAGACAAAGTCGGGTTTAGTCCACAATAAGTTTATATCAGTTTGTCGGGAAAATAATGATCAGAATTTCGCTGCACCATTCGCATCGCTAAAATGAAAAGCAAATTTATTTTATCGCGATACAATTCATTTTCTAAGCGCTGATACGATACGACATTGTGCTCATTATCTTCCCTACAGACAAGTACCATATCCTTTGGCCACAATGCAAAGAAAGCAAGTCTCATCTTTATAGAGCATCGCTCCTGCCCACCGTTCCCTCATGACCAGCCAAAACAAAAAGCACGACTTTTACATTTCATTCAATTCCATTAAATCAAGGTTGATTACCCTCATTTTATGGCCACTTCGGCTCGAGGAAAAGAAAAAAAGAATCGTAGAATGCGAGAAGCCGGAGGATTTTATTGGAGACAGATTTGTGATGAAAAAATTGCTTTTGGGTTGTGACATCAAGCCGGTTGTGAAACTCTTGTTTTTACGGCCTCGTGATGGCTGTTCAGGCATGTTTGCTGAGCCCGGGTGGGAGGCGAATTAATTTCTGGTCGCCTTTGCTTTATCTGGTTGGTCTGTGCGCTGTAGCCGGAGGGGAAATGCGGGGATTTGGCCGTGATTTTCGGGATGAATTCTGTTTTTGATGGTTGAAAAATGAGCGCTTTATTAATGCAGAATTTTTGTCGAAAAGCTTCCGTGATTACTGTATTTTTAATGCAAAGATACTTTTGTTTTCAACGTTCTTCCTTCAGCGTAAACAAGGTTGGTAAGAATGGGCAATGTCATCAAGGTCGTTCATCCAGAAAAGAACGGAATGATTCGGCTCGAAAGTTTTAGCGGTTGAAGAATTTTTTGGAGATTTTAATGGGAACATGAGGATCCTTTGAGGGCAAAAAGTTATGTCGTCAACTGTGATGTGGACTATTTTGTGTTTGAATTTTGGGCGACTGATGAGGAGTTCTCTAAATTTTTTATTGAGAAGTTTCTTTTAGGCGGAGTCAATTTAACGGCCTTCTTTCAAAAAATGCGAGGAGAGCTGTGATTTCAGTCTGTCGGGAAAATATTGAGCAGTCTGTTTCATCAAAAATTGCATCGGGAAAGTGAAGTGTGTCGCGGCAAAATCAAATTGCTTTTCAATTCAGCTACGCGATCGGCGCAGACATTGCGGTCATTATTTTCCCGACAGACTGATATAAAAGGATTTTGTTGATAATTACTCCGCTTTCCAACAAAAAATTGTCTTTGCAGAGGCTCTGAAAGTCAACTTATTTTCGTAAAATTTTGAATTAGAGACAACGTTTAGTGATCATATAATTTTTGATGAGTTTAAAAAAATTGGGCCAATATTTTTTAGATTTGAATTCTTATCGTCACGATTAGTTATACCCTTTTTGAACAACAAGGAAACAAAATTTGTAGACGGTAATTTCCTCAACCGGAAAAGCTTGCAATCTTATACGCACTACATTTAGCTCACATTTTTGTTTTGCAAATTCTCATTTGCAAAATACAATTCCGTCACGCTGAGGCTCCCATAAATAGAGCTTACGTATAAAGCAATGTTTACAACCCAATTCCGACCGGAAAAACGTCTACGAATCGACCGTAACGGTCGATTCAAGTCACATGTCTGTCTTCCGGTGGCGCAATTGCGGTGGCCTCATTTTTTAAGTGAAATTCTAGACTTTGTAGTCGTAGAGCACCATGTGGAGGCGTTTATTTTCCCTCAAATTCACTCTCAATTAGCTGATCTGTCGAATGTGAGGTCGTTTTATGACTTCCGGCCAGCTGATTCGGACGTCTTTTTTTCGTGTTCAACGGCTATCAAAGTCCAATTTGAGTGATTTAGCGGCATAGACTTGATGTCTTAATTGTAATTGGAGATCACCGAGGTGTTAGTTGCGATTTTTGATTGGATTTCTGCAGATTTAATTGGTGGGACAGGTAGTATTGGGAGGGACCAATCTAATGTTGACTATGTAATAATAAGAATAGGCCATCGGGGGTGCTCTGCGTTTATTTCCTCAAAAATTACGGTAACAGGGAATGAAGCCTCTGTTCAAAGACCTCACGTACAACATACCCCGTCTATAGCGAAAGTTCAGAGGTCTTAAAAGTTGAGTTGTATGCCAAAACTCTTCTATAAGGGACAGATTTGTTTGTTCTTTGCAATTCATAAGTAGTACGGATGTTTGACTGTCAAAATTTTACGTCATACTTTTCAAGAATGGCAGCCGACATTCCGGGAGAATGGTTTGATTTTTTACATTTTTCTTGCAGGAAAATATATTTCTTCTGGCCCCATTATACACCACAGCTTATTATCAAATATTGTTGAATTTTTTTTAAACCCCCCACAAAACTGACCCAATGTTCTTGCATATTGTAAAACGCACAGCCAGCAGAAAATAAATATCTTGCCTCACACTGATTTCCTCTTTTTTATCACTAGTTTTTCTGACCTTTGAAAAATTTAATTAGCTCATTTGGTATTATCACACGATTAGGGCTTCTTTGGAAGGGTTACAATAATATTTTGATTGCCTGAAAATGGGTGACAAAACAGGGGTTTTATTAGCTTCTGATAATGCTTTCCAATTTTTCATTTGTTTTTATTCGGTAAAACGTTTACGGCTTCGTATCTTGTACAAAAATACCTTGCCTAAAAAATTTTCTGCTGGCAGAGACCTCCTCTGACTTGTGGTTGATAAAAAAATAAAAAAATTGGCTTCTTTGTAAACTTGGCAATATTGGCAATTATATAAAGATGGAATATCATCAACTGATTGAACATTAGTCAGTACATTATATAAGAAACCAAAGATATTTACAATTGGTTATTTGTTTATCCTTTCCTGTGAATTTCCAGCAGGTTATTAGCGGGAATTCCTACATCTATTTCCCTGTAAGCGTTCCCATGTTTCTATTGCTGGCATAAAAAAGAAACAAAGCGAAGTTCGATTCATTTTCATGAAATGCGGCTGGGTTCTATGAACTTGTACATAGATTATGATTCGGTTTTATGGAATGAACATGGCGGGATTGTGAAAAATGCTGTTTTGAATTAGACAGGGATTTTTTTGAAAATTTTGCTGTATTTTGACCGTCTGTTTAGGATAGTTTGAGACGAAAGTTGGATCTAAATTGAGAAAAATGTAATAAGCGGTCTGTGCATTATAGTCGTTTGTACTTAAAAATACAAGGTTTGAGGAGACTAGAGACAAATTTAGTTTGGCTTTCACATGGCACACACGAGATCTAGAGCTTACATTTAGAGCGAAATTCACCGGAATTTGAAAGTCACACGTTTCCAAAAAATAGGCGTTTTTGCAATTTTCACGATGACAAATTACTACTATAAGTATGTATGAAATTCCAGCTAGGAAATAAGGACCTTTTTATAGCTTTTAAACCCTTTTCCGTTGATCTTTTTAATTAAATATACGTCTTTCTTGCCAGTAGCGTTATATCTAAAAAGCTCGTCGAATATGTGCATACCAGCTCTCTCCGAAAAACGCAATCTAAAAATTCGTTTGGAATCAACAAGTGCTAATTCGGACGGCATATGATAGGTATACGTGCAAAATTTGAAAAAACACCAATTTCAATTTTTGAATAGCAATAAAATTTCAAATTTCAAACAATTATGAAATTAATTTTTGCTCAATCCACACGTGAAATTTCATTGTGCCATGTAAACACGTGTAGCATGTTTACAACACTGTCTTCCTCCTCAAATCCCACGAGAATACCGTGTTCTCCGATTTGGAGGTAACAAAAACAACCTAATTTAGAAATATATATATATAATTCTCATGTTAGTTGCAGGCTCTTAACCCACGTTTCTCAGTGTTTGCAAGGCTTAGATGTCTTTGTTATTTGCTGTAAAAGTTGCCTCCGTCTCTAATCCACACGCGGATCCAGTAGAGTTGCAGCTATTTCCTGACCAAGGCTAAATCAATGTGGCATTTGGTCACAAATAAATACATAGTCTTTGGAGAAGAACCTGCAGCTATTTTTCTCTTGGCTAGCAGAGAAAAAACCTTGTTCTCTCCAGCAAATGTCTTATTAGGGTGAGCCAAAACTTTTTTCCGAATCTTTATTAAAAATTTTTACATAATTTTGATTTTTTTGGGTCAATTTCGTCCACCAAAAAAATTTTTCCGAAACTTTGGTATAAAAAACCTCTTCGTCAATCGATAAAAAAATACGTTGGATTAGCGTGGGAGGCCACTTTCAAGCTGCAGTTGTCGCATTTCCTCTGAATACATTCTTTCTGATCTGACTGTGAAATCTAGGGCCGAAAAGCATTCTAAAATGGTCAATTTGCAGACTGCATTGGTAGAA